TCCGTAGACTTGCATGGTTAATTAGGGTGCGCCAAGTCCGTAGACTTGCATCATTTTCCATCGTAAATAAAATGGTTAATTAATGCCTTCCTAAAGAAACCATCGACATGAGACCAGGTTTGTTCCACTCTACGAATTTTTTTTTTTTGCGATTTTTCCACCAAGTTTGATGAAAAACGATTGTGCCGTTTCGGCTGCCCAGAACAGACAGACAGACAGACACACGCCTAGTCCTATAGTATATTAGATTTAGGATTAAGATATATAATTATAAGGCATAAGGTCACAATAGGTAGGAAAGTGTATTATGTGAGAACCAGAATAATGTCAAAGTGAAAATTAAAGATTGGAAACTGTAGGCCTAGTTCAGTGTGTGACCCAGGTATCGCCCTCAGTGACGCCCGACTTCTCCTCAAAACAGGTCAGTGAACTCCATCGTGCTTCATCAGCACTCAAGAGACTTATCTAGCATTTTTTTTACATCTTAAAACCTTCTCTAACGTTATTAAGTGAAGTAATAGAGTTGTAATAGTGTGTGGTGATAAAAGCCCCTCAGGCATTATTCTCAGTGATGCCCGACTTCTCACCAAAACAGGTACGTACCCAGAACGTAGGCCTAGCAACCACCACTGTGAGGAACCCACCGGGTGTGGTGTGTACTGCTTATGGCCATTATGCAAGCAACACTGTGAGGAACCCACCGGGTGTGGTGTGTACTGCTTATGGCCATTATGCAAGCAACACTGTGAGGAACCCACCGGGTGTGGTGTGTACTGCTTATGGCCATTATGCAAGCAACACTGTGAGGAACCTACCGGGTGTGGTGTGTACTGCTTATGGCCATTATGCAAGCAACACTGTGAGGAACCCACCGGGTGTGGTGTGTACTGCTTATGGCCATTATGCAAGCAACACTGTGAGGAACCTACCGGGTGTGGTGTGTACTGGTTATGGCCATTATGCAAGCTCCACTGTGAATCTGTGGATACCCTACATAACAACACCCAGGATAGGAGAACATGATTATGTGTTTGAGAAGTTTCGCGGTCGTCACGTGGAGTGACCTAAGGATGTCAGGTGTGGAACCAGTACTGGTATGATTACCTGGGAAGTATCCCATCTACTTAGCAAGAGTAGAGTGTGAACGAGGTACCTGGTATGCGTACCTGAAGAATACCGAGGAGTTCCATACTTATAGGTGAAGAGTGTACCTGAGATGTGGTGCTATAATATAACATGTGGTGCTGTACTCTAACAGGTGGTGCAGTCTGATGTGTTGGGTGTTATAGTAAGAAGGAATGACTGAGGTAAGGAGGTCATTGGTTGTGATGAAGATGATAGCAGTAGTTATTTGATGAAGGACGGGTACTGATGTGAAGTGTAATGAACATAATAGTGGTTATTCTGATGAAGACCAATTATTTTTGTATCGTGACTGGATGCAATATGTTTTTATAAGAAATAAATTAGTTAAGTCATGACTGTGTATAGATGTAACAGTAGTGGTGACAGTGTATAGATGAGACAGTAGTGGTGACAGTGTATAGATGAGACAGTAGTGGTGACAGTGTATAGATGTAACAGTAGTGGTGACAGTGTATAGATGTAACAGTAGTGGTGACAGTGTATAGATGTAACAGTAGTGGTGACAGTGTATAGATGAGACAGTAGTGGTGACAGTGTATAATGAAGGAACTCACGAGGGTCTAATTATTGTAGAGGACACAGATATAAAGACGGTTCTCTTCTATTAAAGTGTTCACACATTTTACCCATGACCGAATCTTTGCACTCAATAGCTTAGACAATAAATCTATGATGTTTCCGTCGCAAATAACAGAGAATTTAACGTAAATTTTGCGTAAAATAATCCAACTTATTTCTAACGTAACATAACCGAATCTAAATCTAATGTAACATAATCCAACTTAAATCTAACGTAACATAACCCAACTTAAACCTAACGTAACATAACCCAACAACTAAAATGTAACATAACTTAATTTCAATGTATAAAAAACAAATCTAAATTGTACCTCCCCAAATCTAGATAATTTTATAATAGCCTGACTTGAAGCTAACGTATCTCATCAAGAGTGGAAGTGAGCCCTTCCAAAATAAGGATGGACCTTTCAGTGCAGTTCAAAGACAAGAACAGAAATCCAAAGGGGAGATTCGACAGCTGACCGCTTCATGGTTCTATAAAGCTCTGCCAAATGGCGAGAAAGTTTAGAGAACATGGATGGTTTACTATCCACCAAGAGAAAATTTTTTTGCGTTTTCTGTAGATTGTTTGCTCTTGATGACAGGAATTGGGATATCCAGCTTTGTCACTGGATTTCAAGTATGGTGGAAGCTAAACCCAAAGGTGTCTGACAATGAGGCTTCCAAGGAACATCTCTCATGCCTGGAGAAATTAAAGACCTTGGCAGCAGGGATAAAGCTTCAAAAAACCATTGATCAAGTTCATCAAGCAGCAATGGACAATGAGAGAAAGAAATGGAGGAATACTCTTCATCGCCTCTTAGACGTCACTTTGTTCCTGGCTCAGCAGAATCTTTCTTTTCGTGGTTACAAGGAGGATCTCTCATCAGCAAACAAAGGAGACTTCCTGGAATTGGCGGAGTTGCTGTCAAATTATGGTCCTGTTTTGAAAGAACATTTTGTGAGGGTTAAGCATGCTATTCCACCTGGGAGGAGAGTGGCCTCATATTTCTCTCCAAAGATTCAGGGCGAGTTCATCTGTCTTTTGGGGAGCCATGTCAAGGAGAAAATAGTGTCTGATACCAAGAAGGCAAAGTAATTGGGGATTCTTTTTGACAGCACTCCTGGTGTGTCCCACACTGATCAGATGTTTGAAGTGTTCATATATGTCTATATTGAAAGCGACACAGTTGAAGTAAGGGAATCATTCCTGGGCTTCTTCCCTGTTGCTGGAAAGATTACTGCTGAGCTCACGGAAGATATCCTGAGACATCTGGAGAGAGATGGACTGGACATAAACATGTGCCGTGGTCAAGGATATGACAATGCTGCCACTATAGCTGGCATTCATAGTGGTGTTCAGTCAAAGATCAGAGAGATTAATCCAAAGGCTTTGTTTGTGCCTTGTGCAAATCATTCTCTGAACCTTTTTGGGGTGCACTCATTTGGAAGCACTTCTTCATGTGTGACCTTCTTTGGAACCTTGGAGAGAGTCTATTCCTTCTTTTCAGTCTCACCTCATCGATGGGAGGTGCTAAAGGAGAATATGGGCCTGACAGTCAAAAGACTTTCCCAGACCAGATGGAGTGCTCATCATGATGCTGTAAAGCCAGCGAAGGCAAATTTTGAAAAGTTGACCTCAGCCCTTGAAGCACTGCGTTATCCAAAAGAAAATGTCGATACAAGAGCATCAACCCAGGTTTTGCTGTCTGCTGTATGTGATTTCTCTTTTTTGAGTTATCTTTCTTTCTGGTGTGAAGTCCTGGAAGAAGTTAATCTCACACAGAAGTGTTTGCAAACAGTTGGAATCAGCCTTGAAAAGTGCACTGTGAAGCTCCAAGCTTTAAAGCTGTTTCTTGAAGATCAGCGGAATTAAATTGTGGAGAGGGCCATTCATTATGCAACTTCACAGTGTGAGGAAATGGGCATTTCTATGGAGAGAAGAGGGAGGATAAGGCTTCAAAAAATGATGCCAGGAGAGATGGCAGAGGATGCTGGACTCACATTGCTAGAGGAAGTGAAAAGGCATATGTTTGAATGCCTTGATCGCTTTCATCAAGAATTGGAGATTCGTTCAAAGGCGATATCACATTCTGTCAATCTTTGCTGCTATTCAGCCAAACTCTTTGGTCGTTGTAACAGAAGAACAACTTCGGAAGTGTATTCCAAAATTTACTAAAATGTTCGATGAATTCTCTGCTGAAGATATCAATGTGGAAATTGGACGATTTCGGAAGCATTTGGAAGCTGCCAAAATCAGCCTTGAATAAGAAAAGAAGTGAACAGCATTGCAGTTGTTAGTTTATTGTAAAAGTGTATTTTTGTGTAAAAGTGTATTTTTGTGAATCCCTGCCAAGCTTGTCATTGTGTTTGAGGTTTTTTTGACTGTCTATTACTTCATGTGAAAAAAAGTTTTCCAATTTGAAACTGATAAAAAAAATTCCTTCACTCAAATATGAGTCAGACAAGATTGACAAACCTGGCTTTACTTTCAAATGACCATGAATATGCAAAGAAAGTGAATTTGGATGAGGTCACTTACCACTTTGGAGAAATTAAGGCTCGAAAGCAAAGTCTGCGAATGTGTTTTCTATTCATCTTTGAAGAATATGCTGAGCATTGAGACTGGATTTCCTGTTATCTTTTTGAAAAATTTTACTGGTGAAGTTTTCTCTGTGGTTGAAGATGTGTTTTTGTTATATCGGTGTCATGCAGTATTATCTGTTTGCTGAATTTTTAAAGTCCTGCATTTTCCTTATTCCCAATTTGCTCAGCACAATACGGTAATCCGCTTGAAATTTTACTTACAAACATGGTACACTATATATTTTCTGAGTATTTTATTTTTAAAATTATTCATCTCGGGGGAAGGGGGGTGCCAAAGAAGGGTCCGTCCCGGGTGCCAAATACTCTAGGTACGCCTTACTTCAACCACTCCTAACCTTACGTAGCATAACCTTCAACTAGCATAACTTCAAATATACCTTAACCTAGCGTTACCTAACTTAAACTAATACCCTAACCTACAATGTTTCCTAACAAACCTACAATAACCTAACCTAACCAAAAACATAACCAAACTTCCCTTAAAACCTTCGCTAGGCTATAGATAAGACACTGGTTGACTATTCACCATGGCGTAGCTCCACCACAACACAAACAAACGGTTTATTGTTTTTTTTTTTAAATTCGTCGGTCTACTGTACTGCATCCGCCACCCCACACACAATGCTCCCCTTTATCAGTCTTATCTCCTGATAGCTCATCACCACAACCAACAGCTTATCATCGTTGCCCAGCCAGTTAGCTCTTGGTGTGACATACAAACGCTCCTTCTTATATTGGAGTTACAATATACTTATCATATACAGTAAAAATTATTATGCTCTTTAGTGTTATGTAACGTGGATTATAATCATGCTCCAGTGTTTAGTGACAAGGTGTTTGTTGTCGATACTTGCTCCTGTGGTAGTGTGACATGATTCATTCTCCAGTGTTATAGTGTGACGTGATACATGCTCCAGTGTTATAGTGTGACGTGATACATGCTCCAGTGTTAGTATGACAGGATACATGCCCCAGTGTTATTGTGACGGGATACATGCCCCAGTGTTATTGTGACGGGATACATGCCCAGTGTTATTGTGACGGGATACATGCCCCACATTGCCCCAGTGTTAGTGTGACGGGATACATGCCCCAGTGCTAGTGTGACGAGGTACATGCCCCAGTGTAGTGTGACGGATACATGCCCATTGCCCCAGTGTTAGTGTGACGGATACATGCCCCAGTGTTATTGTGACGGGATACATGCCCCAGTGTTAGTGTGACGGGATACATGCCCCAGTGTTATTGTGACAGGATACATGCCCCAGTGTTAGTGTGACGGGATACATGCCCCACATTGCCCCAGTGTTATTGTGACAGGATACATGCCCCAGTGTTATTGTGACGGGATACATGCCCCAGTGTTATTGTGACAGGATACATGCTCCACAGGTTTCGAGAACAAAGATTATGAATCAATTACAAATTAACAATGAGCAGCATCAGGTGTGTTGGCCGAGGTAAAGCTCCCCGGTAAGACGAGCAGAAGGAGATTTTCCCACATAAACAAGTGTGAAAGCAGTTGGAGTATGGATCTGCCATCACAATGAAAATCAGACAATATGGAGATTAAACACCCCAGTTTTGTTTTCATCTAATGCTTAAACTCCCTAATGAAAACCTACCCTCCTCCCCCCCAACAGGCGGCGTGAAGGTGTTTTATCATCAAGTGACCGCGAAAATTCCACCCACAAACACATCCAGCGAACACTTGTAAAGGCGACGTTTAGCAGACAATCCTAGATCTCCGGAATAACTTCGAATAAAATGCTGTGTGTGATCATTGTCTGTTTACTGTGTAGACATAGTTCGACACGACTACTCTTGTATATAACTTATATCTACATAACTTCTATCTTATACAGTTTGTCTATCCTCGTTTGAAAACATAACTGGGGAAGTTCAAGTGACTAAAAAAATCGGTAGACAGAATTTATTTTTTCTACAATCCTCTTAGTGTAAACGATAATTTTCCCTTCTGCGTATATTGTTTACTTAATAATTTAAAGCTATTTGTTCTGACGTTTTGAAAAGTATTTAAATCCTTCATTACGAGGGACGCAACTTTTGATATTTTATTTGACTGACACTAGACGATTTTATTCAGCTCGGGAAGGAACCCATACACAAGGAGTTAGTAGAATATCTCCGCTAAGTAAAAGAATATTAATATTTACTATCCCACTAAAGAACTTCCACACTTTAATCATATCTCTTCATCTGCTTCTCTACGTATAACATATTTAACTTAATTCTGTTACCTATCTTCACCTGATATATTTCTCGCTCCGACACCTGCTACAACCACAAACACATCTGCCCTGCCTCCACACCTGCTACAACTACATACACATATGCCCTGCCTCCACACCTGCCCTGCTCCGACACCTGCTACAACTACATACACATCTGCCCTGCCTCCACACTTACCCTTCTCCGACACCTGCTACAATTACATACACATCTGCCCTGCATCCACACCTGCTGCAACCACATACACATCTGCCCAGCCTCCTCTATGCCTACGTCAGATACAGGTGCTTTACCCACATCCACACACCTGTCCCACCACACACCTGCGTCACCTCATGTGCATCATCTGCCTAATAGTGCTGGCCAGGATGCTGAACCAAAGTGTAAAGTGTATTTCAAGCAATGTACTCAATGAAGTGTACTCCTAGGAATGTATTCAGAGTAGTGTCATGACTCCCGATACAACAGGTCACGTGGTCAACTTGTCAACAATAACTTTTCTAATCGTGAGAACTTAAGGACTTGGGATATACCCGTAGAGGAGGAGGAGGAGTGGTCACTAACTTAACTCAATTATTCTCATCCAACAGGTATGTGTGTGTGTGTGTGTGTGTCTCCTTGCCAAACTGCTGTACTGTGCATTATCTGTTACACCATCCACTCACTACTCATTGACCCTCTGATACTGTCTCATCGCAAATTGCTCTACATTTCCAAGATGGTGAGCACCACAATAAGATATACATCAATTAATTAAGAACAAAGGCTGTAGAGAAATATATTTGAGAGGACACAGAACCTTCACCATCAAATGACAGAATATAAAAAATACGAGTGAAGGAAAACAGGAAAACAAAATCCCATGAGTGCTGTTTGTCTGTGATTGTCGAAGGTGATATCAATAGACCATCAGTGAGGAAGAAGCGTGAATTATGATGCGTGAGGGTGATGAGGTCCTGCCACTCCTCTCACACTGAAGCTTCTACCATGAGTCCTACAGTGTGTGTCGGGATACAGTTGGTCTTAGCCTGGCTGGTCTCTGGTCACGGTGACACACAGATGCACAGGTATGCCAGTACAGGTCTTTTCTCTCCAATATCCACCAATGTCACCACTACCATAGCTGCTACCGTCACCACTACTATCACCCCCAACGTCACCACTACCATAGCTGCTACCGTCACCACTACTGTCACCCCCAACGTCACCACTACTGTCACCGTCAAGACAACGACACCATATACAGACCCTAATTGTCAAGGCTCCATATGTAAGTAAATGGCCGGGAAGGAACACGGTGTAGCCAGGGGGGGTGGGGGGGGGGTGTCTATCAACCACAAGAAACCTAACTTAACCTCACCCAATATAACCTAACTAGCCTCAAGGAGTTAACCTAGCCACACTTAACTCGTCTAACTAAGCCTACACACGATAGCGCTCCTCACACAAAAGTAGCCACACACACACACACACACATTGTAATACGCAGGAACATCTGGGTTAAGTAACAACACAAAATTCATTCACTGAGTCTTTGCTGTTCTATTTAGACAGGTGTATGTGTGTATGTGACCCACAGTCCATGACCCAGGTTAACACAGGCTCCACCACTTCCCCCTTCAACTGTTACCACTTAAGGACTGGCTAATGATGTGTCCTGCAGAAGGTTATTAATTCTTGTATTATTCTGATAACTAAAGTAGAATAGAAAGTATATCTAACAGCCTAACTTAATTAACATTTTCATATCAGTGTCAATTGAAAGTAAGTTCATACACTAAGAGATTTGTTCGTGGTAACATTATGACTGAGCGAGTGTCCTGGTGTATACAGGTGTTCCTTTTATGCCCAGATGTTGCTTGTTATTTGTAAGTACAGGCAAAAGAGAAATGTATAACAGTCACATATCCACACGCTATCAGACAGTTAATGGGTGTATATTGTCTAACTATTTCCATATCTATAAATCATATTTATAGATAAGAACACACATTAATACCACTTTTAGAACTTAATGTAAGAAACACGTCCAATCAGATTAAGAACTTACGTCACTTCTAAGACTCGTTCACATTATCACCCTCGTCCTCTTATCGGCTCTTCAGATTTTCCGGGTAAATTTATTGTAAAGAAACAAAGGGAAGTCCATGAATTTGCTATATAGTGACAACGCATAATATATTAACTGACGGAAACTCAAGTGACATTGTATTCACGAAAATCAGGTGCGTAAGATATAAGTAAATAGAATGCAAACTTATGGACGTACCTGGGAAGTAGAAAAAAAATGTCAATGTAAATAATTAATAGAAGAATGTAGAAAAGTCAATACTAAATAAATACAATAAAAAAAAACAATTACTGTAGGGAAGTCGTGTATAAGTAACTCTAAAACACGGAAATAGGGAAACGTAATGAAGGAAAAAGTAAAACTGCGAACCTTAAGTGACCCTGAAATAGGATAACGATAGAAAGTGTCAATACTCTACAGGTAGTTGCGTGAAACTGCATGAAATTACGAGGTCCTGAAGTTAATGGTGTAGCAGAGTGTGAACTTGAGAGTGACGCAACAATAACAGTTCTAGGTAACAGTCTCTTGTCAGTCCTCAAGATGATACGATCCCATTTAACTATTTAAGTGACACGTTCTTAAAATCCAAGAGGTATATTATCACTTTTCTGTATTTCAAGATTATGAATGGGACAGACAAAAGGTTTCGAGGAACCTCAAGAAATACATAACCACAGAACGTTTTAAAAACTAAGCTTACTGTAGGGTAAAGTCAGGGTGGTGTATACAGTTATATGGTGACGTTAAGGGAATACCCACGTACTGTCGGATCTATTTATGCCTCTTTGTATTATGCTCATTATTCACATATATTTAAAATCTGTTTTTGTTTTATATTCCGAAATATAAAAACTTCCCACACGGAATGTCGGATTTTAAAACTCACTGAACAAAGGATTAAATAAGAAACGAGTTAAAGAAACAGTATTATCGTAGGTTATTTGGTTTGTAGTTATTAACATGAGGCGACAAAGAGGGACTGAGGTTGAGTGTTAAGAGGCACAGCACTGTCCGTCGTGGTCCACCCAGAAGTGTTTTTTTTTTAAGGTGGGGAAAGGATGGAAGGCATGCTGAGGCTCAAGGCACAGCCAGATATAAAGGATAGATAAGTCACGACAGATAGTCGTGGGGGAAAGGTTGGAAAAGAAATTTAATGAGTAAAACAGAGGGGGACAACCTTTGTTGGCTAACTAAGCTAACCCAGGATTTAGGATCAGGTTGCATAATGGTTACTTTGGTAGACAATGACTAGTTTGATTTTACAATTACATGTTTATTAAAATCTTATACTGTATTACGTTATGGACTCACTAGATTGTGACTTGTTAAATGTGAACTTTTATCATATAAGTTTTAATCTAAGGTGGAACGTTGTGGCGGACATAGATGGGTCGCGGGTTGGGTTGTGCATACTGCGGGTAGACTTCGTGACCACCAGGCGTGGGGCCGGCCTCCGTTGATGTTTTCCCCGCGTAGGTGGTCTGGGCTGTGAGGGTCGTCCAGGAGCCTGTCCCAAACCACCTTCCCTAAGCGATGGAACCTGACGTTGAGGGCCTCTGTTTTAATTCTCTGGTGGATGGTTTCCACTGTCTCCTGGTAGGGTGGCACTTGGCCACTGGCTGACCTCAGACACTTGTTTTGGAAGCTCTGTAGTAACGAGACTCTCGCCTTGCAGTGATGCACCCCACGGGAGACATCTGGTGGGAGGTGGGCGTCAAGAACAACGTTACCTGCTACGTCTCTGACAGCACCTCCTCCCTCACCGCCAACGACCTCGGCTTCTTCCGGTCCCTCCAACCTCTCACTCACCAGGTGACCTCCCCTCACTCACCAGGTGACCTCCCCTCACTCACCAGGTGACCTCCCCTCACTCACCAGGTGACCTCCCCTCACTCACCAGGTGACCTCCCCTCACTCACCAGGTGACCTCCCCTCACTCACCAGGTTACCTCTCCTCCCCTCGTAATTGTATATAATGAGCACTTTTATATATGGTGAGGTTACCGTTATTAGTGACTGTCCTTGTATATAACGAGTCTGTTAGATATATTAGTGACTGTCCTTGTATATAACGAGTCTGTTAGATATATTAGTGATTGTCCTTGTATATAACGAGTCTATTAGATATATTAGTGAGTGTCCTTGTATATAAAGAGTCTATTAGATATATTAGTGAGTGTCCTTGTATATAAAGAGTCTTCCTGACATACAAGGAATACGTGACGTTATCGATCACTTGTCATAATTATACTAACTACGGTATCTCATTTGACCAATTGTTTACCCTTTACCGCATTACCAAAGAAAGGGAGTGTCCAAACGGATACCATTCAATCATTTCCCATTAAACAGAGAAATCTTCATGTATGGTGAACAGCAGATATATGCCACAAATTTCTGGCAGACAGTAAACAATATCACACAACGGTAAACAATGCAGGTCGATTTGATCAAGGATACTGCAAACAAAACCACCATAATGCTTAATGGTGAAATTCCTCCTGTATATTGACAACACCTTTCCCTGTAACTTAGCGATTAGTGAAACCGACCTCCGTTGATGATCCTACCTAGGTGTGAGTGTGTGTTTCTTACAGATTCCACATTACTTACCAATAATTACTTAATAATAGATCACCATTATACCAAGAATTAACCGCCAGACTGTGAGCCAGAAGTGTTGAGATACCTTACACAACACTGAGGCTGTACACTTATTGCAGGGTACACTGAGGCAGGGGAGAAGGTGGTGTTGGATCCCCCAGGACGCCTTCTGACGGTGCACCTCATGCGTCCCACCACACATGCTTTTGTTCTTCATCATCACCACTCACCCAGCCGACCACCCACTCCCTTACATTACCAGGTCCAGGTGACACATTCTACCTCCCACTATCACACCTGCCCGCTGCCCGCGCTCCTCCTCCTGGCCTCCCTTCCCACCACTATTTTTATCTCTGCTAACACTATTAATTTAACTCTGCCAACAAAACTCGTTTACCTCTGCCACCAATGATGATTATCTCTGCCACCACCAATGATTACTTCTGACACCACCAATGATTACCTCTGACACCACTAATGAATACCCCCTGTCACCAATACCCGTTACCTCTGCCACCAATAATTACCTCTGACACCACTAATGAATACCCCTGTCACCAATACCAGTTACCTCTGCCACCAATAATTACCTCTGACACCACTAATGAATACCCCTGTCACCAATACCCGTTACCTTTGCCACCAGTGATGATTAACTCTGCCACCAGGACACACGTTTGGGCCACCTCCATGACGGTGACCACACATGGGCCATATCCTCGAAGATTCGTATGTTAGTTACCATCTCGCTGATCACAAGAAAGCCTTATCTAAACACTCACCAACCACCACACAGAGATGGTGGTCAAAATGGCGTCCAAATTATCATGAGACTATAACAAATATTTACAGTAAATTAATCTTACGAATCTTTAAGAATATGGTTCAGATTCTTACTAATTAAGCTTCTGTGGTATAGTGTTGCGTACAGGTGTGTGGGTACTGTATGTTGTGTACAGGTGTGTGGGTACTGTAGTGTTGTGTACAGGTGTGTGGTTACTGTAGTGTTGTGTACAGGTGTGTGGGTACTGTATGTTGTGTACAGGTGTGTGGGTACTGTAGTTTTGCATACAGGTGTGTGGTTACTGTAGTGTTGTGTACAGGTGTGTGGGTATTGTAGTGTTGTGTACAGGTGTGTGGGTACTGTATGTTGTGTACAGGTGTGTGGGTATTGTAGTGTTGTGTACAGGTGTGTGGGTATTGTAGTGTTGTGTACAGGTGTGTGGGTACTTTAGTTTTGTGTACAGGTGTGTGGGTACTTTAGTTTTGTGTACAGGTGTGTGGGTACTGTAGTGTTGTGTACAGATGTGTGGGTACTGTAGTTTTGCATACAGGTGTGTGTGTGTGTGGACAAAGATTGGCCATACAGTTCCACCCATTAGTGTATTTTTAAATGTCTTTGCTTACGTCATTGTTTATCCTCCTTTTCGTCAATGTGAAATAAAAAAACACGTCCAAGCTATAGCTATTATTCTTGGCTTTGTTCTACGTTGTATAATAAAGAATCAGTAAATATTCTCCATGAAATACTAACTTAAGATATATAACTTAAGTCACATTGAACTGATATTATCCCTCTCATCTCTCTGCTTCCTTATGATGTCACTCATTGATTGTTGACATCGCTGGCGTGCTGATGATGTCATTGACTGGGTTACCTCTGTTGGCGTGACTGGAGTTGGTATAGGTTGTGGACAATTACACCATTACAGCGTCTCTGAAGGATACTGCTACTGCCGAGTACCTTTTGATGTGTGCGGACATTAGCAAGAACAGCTGCTGTTTCGGTCAAGTCCATGTCGGGTGTAAGTCAAGAGTTGTGTCATTTATGTGTGTGGGGGGGGAGGAGCCTGAACTATCATGACTACTACTACTACTATTACGCTACACTGATTCTCTGCTTATAATAAACTGCCCTCTTTATGCTATGCCATTTTATAGGTTTTTGGTTATATGGTTAAGTAGTTCCAATGATCGTAAAGTATTTTGGTTGTAAGATTTGATGTGATGATTATCTTTTACCAGATCCTCCGCTCGACGTGAAGACCTTCCAGTGCGTGTCGTACAACTGGCAGGTTCTCAGGTGCAACTGGACCATCCCGGACAACAAAGTACAAGTAAATTCTGACGACTACAAGCCCTACCTCATTCCTTCCCAGGACGCTGACAGGTTCGTAAAGTAAACTGGTCTTATTACTTCGATTTCTACTTTCCCAGAATTCAAAGCGACTGGTGAACACGAGTGAAGATTAAACACCTCAGCTTATCTTACCCGAAAACGAACTACCCTAAGGCTAAATGAGGAGGGGGAGGGGGTTAGGTTAGAGGAGGGTAGGGTAGTTTAGGTTAGGTTAGTGTTGGGGAGGTTAATTTTTCAGGAGGAATTACCTGGGGTGTCTAATCTTCGAGTTATCAGGAAAAACAAACTTATATCCTGTAATAATTCTTGGCAGATGATGGTCTGAAGAATGGCAGATGAAATTCAATGTGGACAAATGCAAAGTACTTTTACTTTTATCCTCTTCACCACTGATCGGCTCGTTAGCCGTTTAGGCGATCGGTCACGTCTCTGTTACGCGCACTGTTGGCAAGTACTGGGCATGCACCGGCTCCTGAATGTACTTAAGCTTAGTCTAGGACTCTAGGAGATGTAAACAGAGAAACCAGATACCAGATGAACAACGATGTTATAGAGAAATCCGACTGTGAGAAAGATTTAGGAGTAATGATAAGTAGGAATCTTAAGCCAAGTAAACAATGTGTATTTGCTCGAAACAAGGCTAATAAAGTACTTGAGCTCATACAAAGGAGTGTTAGTTACAAGACTAGCAAGGTCATCCTAAAACTAAATCTTGAGCTTGTGAGACTTCACTTGAATTACGCAGTTCAATTCTGGTCACCGTATTACGGAATGGAAATTGAATCCCTTTAAGAATTCAGAGGATAATGACAAGACTAATCCCGGGCATTAGGAACCTTCAGTTCAGAGACAGGTTAAAGCATCTTAATTTGCACTCCCTCGAAAGACGTAGAGTGAGGGACGATTTGATAGAGGTGTATAAATGGAAGTCAGGGCTAAACTAAGGGGACATTACAAAGGTACTCCAACTATCCAACCATGAGCGAACTCGTAACAATGGTTTTAAATTAGACAAATTTAGATTTGGGCGCGAAATAGGTAAACACTGGTTTGGAAACAGAGTAGTGGATGAGTGGAACAAGTTACCAAACACCATCATTAACTCGAATACGCTGAATTGCTTCAAACATAGGTTGGATGGATATATGAGCAATAGGGGCTGGGTGTACATGGGACTGCCCAGTATGGGCCAATAGGCCCGCTACAGTTTCCTCCATTCTTATAATCTTATAAGACGCTCTCAGACGTGATCCTCCCGGCATTAAGATAAAACGGTCAGAACAAACTTAAACATTACTTATCAATGCTGTACACCTTTGTCTAAACTTATCCTAAACTAACCTTACCCGATACTGTCAAACTAAAGTCAGTAGGTTGGGTAATGGATTAGGAGGGTGGGTAGTGGGTGGTGGGTTAGGAGGATGTATGGTGGTTTAGGTGGTGGATGATGGGTTAGCAGGAGTGACTGTACTGGTTGTACCTCACACTCCCTCTGTGTACAGCGGATTGTCTTCACTTGTCAATACAGAGTCGAGTGTAAGTGTGAGACAGGTGGCGTTAAGGACCCCTGTGACTGTATCAGCACCTGCTGCTTTTGGCGGGCTCCGGATTACAGCGAGGTCGTCCGTTTCCCTAGTGTCATATTCCAGGTCTCAAATAAACTGAGTCAGGAGGTCAAAAACTTCACGCACAAGATCGACAACTACGCCGTGGGTAAGTCAACCAATAAAGATTAACTGTTATTTAATGTACAATGTTATTATGGGGCTGATGATATCACTCATAAAAGAAAAGTTATTGAAGTTGTTTGGTGTTTGGATCTCTATAGTGTTGCCGGACCCAGCTGAACATGTGGTTGCAAGTCCTACAGCAGCGTCGCGGCAGTTGGTGGTGAATTTTTCGCTACCCCGGCCGATGGAGGTGTTTGCGGCCACAGCGGGTGTCATGTACAGGATCGACCACCGCCTTGACCCCGCTCACTACCCAGGGTCTCTCTGGGGCACGGTGAGCTGCTGCTCCTCTCTCTCACACATGAGTCTTGGTTGCACGCCGCCAAGAGGGTGCAAATATCAAAGTGGCGTCCATGGTGTATAACGGCGTATAGGTTCCTGTAAATACCAGGACACAAACGACATCATAGTGTTTACCGGGTGGCTAATGAGTTACCGAGGCAAAGTTTGTCGGACTATGTGACCCAGTTTAGACTTCTTTTCTATTAACAGTTTCGATAATTACAGACGGGTGGTCTCGATCACTGTCTAATAAAACAGGCCAGGGAGCTTCTTTATTCTAGACATTTTCTTCAAGCTGTCAGATGATATAATAATAATAAAAAAACTGATTACAGTATTATGTGCTATATGTTCTCGCTCCCTGACTAACGCCATCTTGATATTTACATGATCTAGGCGACGGTAAACAAAGAGAATGGTCAATAACCGAACTCTTTCCAATGTGTTTAAACATCTGTAGCAATACCCATATTCTCGAGACGATTGTTGCCAGAGAACTGTTAGGCTGGTATCATAATTATGGCAAAACTGTATCATGGGTTAAATAACTGTACACTGATAAGATAAACAAAAATAGGTCACCTGGCTACACTGGACCCTCTAACTAGTTACGATACCACACCAGAGCTTGCATAACGTGTTAATTGGCTATACTGTATAAACTCTATTAAATAATGAACAGTTTCTTGGTGTTGACTGATAACCTCAAGCGCCTCGTATTTAACCCAATTACCAAACAAATGGTTAATCCTGTCCTTCGGTGGATTTACAGACGTATTGCTCCTCTTGAGTAGCCGTAGTCAATGTGCTGATCCTGGTACTACCTAGCATCCATGGTATCTTGACTCAGAGCGAAGATCATGGCAAATAGTCTCTGACCTTGGGTAACAGACATGGCTTAAGGTAGATAGGGTTAGGTTAGGTTAGGATTCCGAACCATTATGTGACTCATGGTGTGGACACTCGTGTTCCAGAATACAACAGGCGAATGTCACTCGAACCAAATAGAGCAAAAGGCGGCGGTGGTGGTGGAGTACTGGGGACAGCAGTACCAAGTGTGTGTCCGTCTGCGCTCTAAATACGCCCTCGACGTTGACGGGTGGTGGTCCAACTGTTCCACCACGACTACTGCCGCGTCTCCTACAGGTGAGTATTGTCACCCCTACCACGCCTCCTTCAGGTGAGTATCGTCACCCCTGCCACGCCTCCTTCAGGTGTGTCTCGTAGTGTTGTATATCACGATGATGACCTCAACATTGCAGTATTATGAGGCTAACCTTTAATGACCTCTTTTGCACATGTCTCAGTGCCTGACAGTGCTCCAGTAGTAGGACCTGGCACCTTCCAGGTCAGCAACAACATCCCAGAGCTGCGTGACCTGACCTTAGCCTGGCAACTTGTCCCGCCCCTCCTTCACAACGGCCCAAACTTCTCCTACGTCGTCAGTGGGTAAGATGGTGACGCGCTCTCAACGACTGAACTAGATCTCTAAATTCATGCACAAAGCTGGTCTTTAAAGGTAGGCAGACAGAGGGAGGCGCAAGTCAGTAATAATCTCTCAATCATACGCCATTGGCTATAAGGAAATTTCCGTTTATACCTTTACATAAACGGTCTGTGGACTGTTTTGACGATAATGGTGGCAGACGATCGTTACTGATGGTCATCAACTGCCTCGTCGCAAACTTTAAGGGAAGGGGGAGGGAAGTCTGCACAATAATGACGGGGAAAATGCTAATGATTATCATCTTATAAGATTTTGTTGTCTAGGTTTGTTGACTGAAGTTATAATATTTTGTAAGTCATGAAAATAGAAAAAAAAACCTAACACGAACAAACAAATAAACAAACACCACACACAAACACACAAACACACACACACATACAATTACCATCAAACAGCGGCAGGAGAGAAATTAAATGAATAAAGTATTTTGTGTACAGTAGTAAAGAGTGGCTGGGAGGCGGTGATGGTGTTAACTGATGGTGGTGTGGGTGTTGCAGGGTGCCGGGCATAAGGAGTATCACAGTGACGGAGCCCTTCGCCACCTTCACCAACCTCTCCACCATGGTTCCCTACAGGTAGGTCCTAACAACTACAATATATTACAGTAGTAGAGTCCAGAGCCTTTATATCAAATGCATCAGGGTGATTAGTATTTTTACTTTGTAGATAGTCACTAAGTCGGCAAACTTAGAAGAGGTATTGTTGACCTAGCCAAAACAAACATGGCGAGGCTGTGTGAGAGTGTGCGATGGCTGCTGTAACCAAGAAGGTATACAAAAGCAATATCTTTTAACAGTCAGTACAGAGTGATCAGAAATTGAGGAGTTGAAAATTGGGTAAACACACAGGCTATGTTATTTACAAGTTGCATAAAGTCTCCTGTAATAACAAAGATATTGAAGGTAATCTGTCACATTTTATCTCCTAGCTGTTGTGGAGGCTTCTGAGGTGTAACACAAAGCTGAACATAATAAGGGGTTGCCTCCAGATATCATCCACCTCCCCTTCTACACTACCAATCCCCAAGGCCACTACTTCCTTAACTGGATCTATCGATTAAATTTTCTTTCACAATAATAACAGATAAACACCATCACTAGTCAATTTAAATGCCTATACTTGGTCAGGACTTGCAACCAGAGGCACATGTGAAGACACCGTGACAGTAAATTCATCTCAAGTAGAGTAACTCGCCAATTATTTTACCGCCTTATGCGAAATAGCTCCTGGCTTGAGTCAAAGATACAAGTAAGAATTTGTGAGTACAATTATGTGATATTTTATTCATGCTGCTGAATTCCTCATGAAGATGGGTTCAGCACATGATTGATAGTGACCAAACATTTAGTGTGCAGTTTAGTGGCCAAAGGAGACATTCGCGTAGATAGTGAGAGAGTCCCTCGTGATATTAAATATGGAGACACGATAACTGACCGGCTTTAACTATATTCTTGATTGGAAAACTTGAATGACGTGTGTGTATGTGTGACAGTAGGTTTGTTTACATTATAACTTCCAATAGACTAACCCCTCCACACGGTCATCACTTCAGTTAACAGGGTGCGCCCCTCCCCCCCCCTCCCCTACCTGGCCTCTACCGCGCCAATGGATATATCCTCAGTGGGCAGAATGACCCTGTAGGAAACCATTGAAGTTATTCACTCAGCGTCACAGTTCATGTCTCCTCCTACAGTAAAGGAATCATTCATCTGTTTATCGTCATATACTATTTAATTCCCATATAAATGGTCACCCAAAATTATCACCGAAACTCGTGGAAAATATGAACAAGAACAACGAATAAGGATGTGGTGATCTAGTGATGAAGCAGACTTGTTACAACCCGATGATGGTGAAATGAGGTGACGGTGTGGTGATATGATGGTGATGTGATGGTGAGTGACGGTTAGGAGGTTCTGAGTTGGTAGCGAGGCGAACTAGAGATGGCGAGTTCACTTGGGCACGAAATACACCGCTGGAGAGTTAACAGTTATGGTGGTGCAGGCTGGAGAGTTAACAGTTATGGTGATACAGGCTGGAGAGTTAACAGTTATGGTGGTGCAGGCTGGAGAGTTAACAGTTATGGTGGTACAGGCTGGAGAGTTAACAGTTATGGTGGTGCAGGCTGGAGAGTTAACAGTTATGATGGTACAGGCTGGAAAGTTAACAGGTATGGTGGTACAGACTGAAGAGTTAACAGTTATGGTGGTGCAGGCTGAAGAGTTAACAGTTATGGTGGTGCAGGTTGGAGAGTTAACAGTTACGGTGGTACAGACTGGAGAGTTAACAGTTACGGTGGTACAGACTGGAGAGTTAACAGTTATGGTGGTACATTCTGGAGAGTTAACAGTTACGGTGGTACAGACTGGAGAGTTAACAGTTATGGTGGTGCAGACTGGAGTTAACAGTTATGGTGGTGCAGGCTGAGAGTTAACAGTTATGGTAATTGGTGCCGGGCTGGAGAGTTAACAGTTACGGTGGTACAGGCTGGAGGTTAACAGTTATGGTGGTACATTCTGGAGAGTTAACAGTTACGGTGGTACAGACTGGAGAGTTAACAGTTATGGTGGTGAGGCTGGAGTTAACAGTTATGGTGGTACAGGCTGGAAGTTAACAGTTATGGTGGGTGCAGGCTGGAGGTTAACAGTTACGGTGGGTACAGACTGGAAGTTAACAGTTATGGTGGTGCAGGCTGGAAGCAGTTGCAGGCTGGAGGAGTTAATTGCAGTGGTACAGACCCAGAGTTAACAGTCATGGTGGTGCAGGCTGGAGGTTAACAGTTATGGTGGTGCAGGTAGGTTAACGGTTATGGTGGTACGGGCTGGAGAGTTAGCAGTTATGGTGGTACATTCTGGAGAGTTAACAGTTATGGTGGTGCAGGCTGGAGAGTTAACAGTTACGGTGGTACAGACGGAGAGTTAACAGTTATGGTGGTGCAGGCTGGAGAGTTAACAGTTATGGTGGTGCAGGCTGGAGAGTTAACAGTTATGGTGGTGCAGGCTGGAGAGTTAACAGTTATGGTGGTGCAGGCTGGAGAGTTAACAGTTATGGTGATACAGGCTGGAGAGTTAACAGTTATGGTGGTGCAGGCTGGAGAGTTAACAGTTATGGTGGTACAGACTGGAGAGTTAACAGTTATGGTGGTGCAGGCTGCAGGTTAACAGTTATGGTGGTGCAGGCTGGAGAGTTAACAGTTATGGTGGTGCAGGCTGGAGGAGTTAACAATTATGGTGGTGCAGGCTGGAGGTTAACAGTTGTGGTGGTGCAGGCTGGAGGTTAACAGTTAAGGTGGCGCAGGCTGGAGGGAGTTAACAGTAAAGGTGGCACAGGCTGGAGAGTTAACAGTTGAATTGGTGCAGGCTGGAGGTTAGCAGTTACGGTGGTACAGACTGGTGAGTTAACGAGGATTACAGTGGCATTTCAGACTGGTGAGTGCTGAGGTTGTGGTGGTGCAGGCGGAGAGTTAACAGTTATGGTGGTGCAGGCTGGAGAGTTAACAGTTATGGTGGTGCAGGCTGGAGGTTAACAGTTATGGTGGTGCAGGCTGGAGGTTAACAGTTGCGGTGGTACAGACTGGAGAGTTAACAGTTATGTTGGTGAAGGCTGGAGGTTAACAGTTATGGTGGTGCAGGCTGGAGAGTTAACAGTTATGGTGGTGCAGGCTGAAGAGTTAACAGTTATGGTGCAGGCTGGAGGTTAACAGTTATGGTGGTGCAGGCTGGAGGTTAACGATTATGGTGGTGCAGGCTGGAGGTTAGCAGTTATGGTGGTGCAGGCTGGAGGTTAGCTGGTGTGGTGGTGCAGGCTGGAGAGTTAACGGTTAGCCGGGTGGTGCAGGCTGGAGAGTTAGCTGGTTATGGTGGTACAGGCTGGAGAGTTAACAGTTATGGTGGTGCAGGCTGGAGAGTTAACAGTTATGGTGGTGCAGGCTGGAGAGTTAACAGTTATGGTGGTGCAGGCTGGAGAGTTAACAGTTATGGTGGTGCAGGCTGCAGGTGGTGGCAGAGAACAGTGAGGGGAGAAGCTCGGTGACGTCAGTAGTGAAGGTGGAGGCGACCAGCGACCTGCCTGACCCTCCCGTCCTGCCCGTCGTCGTGTACCATCAACAACAACACCTGTATGAGCTCAGGTAATTATCTCTCTCTCTCTCTCTCGCTCTCGCTCTCGGTACAAACTTATCTTTTAAAGGAAATTGCTACTTTACAGGATAGGTAGATTAACTAAGGTGTATCTGATGTAGGTAGATTAAGGTATACTTGACATAGGTAGATTAAGGACAGGTAGATTAACTAAGGTGTACTTTTTGTAGATGGTGCAACCGGGAAGAGAAGAGCAATGGTTCCTACATGGTGTATGTGTGTACGGATAACCTGGACACGAGCCAGCCTTGCAAGGTATGTCCCCCGTCACCAGTTGTCTCTCACCTACACCTACTGCCCATCTCACCTACATCTACTGCCCATCTCACCTACACCTACTGCCCATCTCACCTACACCTACTGCCCATCTCACCTACACCTACTGCCCATCTCACCTACACCTACTGCCCATCTCACCTACACCTACTGCCCATCTCACCTACACCTACTGCCCCTCTCACCTACACCTACTGCCCATCTCACCTACACCTACTGCCCCTCTCACCTACACCTACTGCCCATCTCACCTACACCTACTGCCCATCTCACCTACACCTACTGCCTCTCACCTACACCTACTGCCCATCCCACCTACACCTACTGCCCATCTCACCCACCTACTGCCCATCCTTCACCACACCTACTGCCCATCTCACCTACACCTACTGCCCATCTCACCTACACCTACTGCCCATCTCACCTACACCTACTGCCCATCTCACCTACATCTACTGCCCATCTCACCTACACCTACTGCCCATCTCACCTACACCTACTGCCTCTTTAACCTACACCTGCTGCCTGCACCTGACAGACTGACCTGTATTGTTGCACCTGACAGGCTGACTTGTACTATTGTACCTGGCCGGCTGACCTGTACTGTTGCACCTGACAGGCTGACCTACGCTGGATCAACGTGGGACAGGTGATGGCTGTCAATGTAACGATGGAGAACTTCAACCTGACGGATGGGAGAGGAGTGAGGTTCGCTGTGTCAGCTGAGTCCGACAGTGGCGCCTCTAGTGGCATGACCTGGGACAAGTGTGGCACCCCGCGACCCTACAACACTAACCTCCAGCCCCCTACAGACCCCAAGTCCGAGGATGTGTTAGTATTTAATCTAAATAGTTTGTAACAAGTTTATTCGGCAGATATCTGGGAATACTTCTGATGACAGCCTCTGATACCAAGCGTGCAGCACAGTTCTAAACGTGTGGTAATGACGTGTTGAAACCCCCTGTAATTTATTTTCTTGTTATGTGGTGTTTCTCAAATAAAGGATAAATATAGGTTATGAGAATATGAACTGCATTGCAGTTAGTGGTGTGTTGTTATTACCGTACAAGCCAAGATTTAGGAGAAATATTGAGTTCCTTTGTCGATATGATCACTGCTAGACTCATTATTAGACACACACCTCACACCTCTAGGTAAAGTATTACGCTTCAACACACCTGTATAGTGAAGTAATGACTCGTTCACCAGCGTCAGACGGTACTTCACCACACTATTTATACGTTTTTGTCTATAGGCTGGAACTACGTGACTATAGGATCACTGCTTATGTGACACTGCTACAGGTCAAACCAATCACGGTGGAACATATTATCTGGTACCACGAATTACAATTATTACTTCTTTATTTGAGTTTCACCATGACGACGAGAACCACTACCATCAACACCACCACTACCATCATCACTACCACCTACACCAACACTACCACCATCACTTGTACCACTACCACCTACACCACCACTACCACCTACATCACCACTACCACCTACACCACCACTACCACCTACACCACCACTACCACCATCACTACCACCTACACCAACACTACCACCATCACTTGTACCACTACCACCTACACCAACACTACCACCTACACCACCACTACAATCATTAAGTCGTGATATCTGCCACCTGCAGGAGACAGACGACGGCATGGGTGTCGTGGAAGCTGGACTGTGATAACTGGGCAGGTGTGGTGGAGAGCGTTGTGGCCAAATGCTGCACAGGCCACCACAACCTCCCCCAAGACTGTACGGGTGAGTGGTGCCTCCTGCAGTGACCACCAGCAGGTTCTGTCTCTTTTTGTCTTCAGTAGTGTGTGTGTGTGTGTGTGTCTCAACAAAATAAGTTAAGGTGAGAAAAAACTCAGAAATTACAATTTACTTTCGGTTGATGATGTTACAGGAGAGGAGAAGGAGGTGGAAGAGGAGGAGAGCGAGGTGTGGAGGCAACGTGTGGAGGTGACGGGGCTGAAGGAGTCTACCCAGTACACAGTGTGGCTGAGACTCAAGTACCGCTCCGGCATCTCCCAGTGGTCGCTCGCCCAGACCTTCACCACAGACAGTAGCGGTGAGGAAACAGTGACCAAGACACTCTCTCTCTCTCTCTCTCTCTCTCACGGTTTAGCAGTACTGTTATGTCAGTGTATCGTCGCGTGTCTGTTTGTACGGTAGGAGATATTTTGAGAGAGAGAGAGAGAGAGAGAGAGAGAGAGAGAGAGAGAGAGAGAGAGAGAGATATGGTTCTTGTGTACCGGTAGTAACTGTGAGTGTGACGTACTGGTAATTAAATGAGTGTGATGTACCGGTAATGAGTGTGATGTACCGGTAATGAGTGTGTGTATGTACCGGTAATGGTGTGTGTATGTACCGGTAATGAGTGCGATGAACAGGTAATGAGTGCGATGAACAGGTAATGAGTGTGATGTACCGGTAATGAGTGCGATGTACCGGTAATGAGTGTGATGAACCGGTAACGGTGTGTGTATGTACCGGTAATGAGTGATGTACCGGTAATGAGTGCGATGAACAGTAATGAGTGCGATGAATGAGGGCAATGAGGTGGATAAATCGGTAATGAGTGTGATGTACCGGTAATGAGTGCGATGTACCGGTAATGAGTGTGATGTACCGGTAATGAGTGTGATGTACCGGTAATGAGTGCGATGTACCGGTAATGAGTGTGTATGTACCGGTAATGAGTGTGATGTACCGGTAATGAGTGCGATGTACCGGTAATGAGTGTGATGTACCGGTAATGAGTGTGATGAACCGGTAATGAGTGCGATATACCGGTAATGAGTGTGATGTACCGGTAATGAGTGTGATGTACCGGCAGGTCTGTCAGCGTGGATCATTGGACTCATCACTACCGGGGCTGTGGTCGCTGCCGTCATCCTGGTCTTCATTTTAGGCTACAGCAGAAGGTTAGTGTGGCCAGGGGTTAGTGTGGCCAGGGGTTGTGTGGCCAGGGGTTGTGTGGCCAGGGGCAGTGGGGGGCCAAATTTGGTGTATATAGAGTTAGTGGCGCCATGATTAGTGTAGCTAGGAGAAAAGACCTAAAAAAAGGTTCTCATTGTCTATGCCAATGGTGTAAATATCACACTTAGTCCCGCCCAGCAATATGACGTATGTATGGGTTTTCTAAATGGCCAATCACAAGCCAAGACGAGAGAAAAAGAGGGCGGGGCTATTGCATTTTTATTTGGTAATTGGCCAATCACAAGCCAAGGCGAGAGAAAGAGAGATAAAGAGGGCGGGGCTATTTGTCATTCCCATAATAAAAAGTAGAGTTTAAATGGACACGTAAATCTTTTTCACAGGAGACTGAAGGACACCATGAACGACATGACCCGAGAGCTGAACATCCCACGAGGACTACTGACGGCGGTGAGTCCTACAGGAGTTTACAGTACCTGCTGGTGCGGGAGAAAGAGGAGGTGTGCCTTTTACCCCTCTCACCTTACTCTACCTTCCTCATACACTTGTCTCACTTCTCTTATCCTCATACACTTGCCTCACTCTACCTTCCTCATAAATTTGCCTCACTCTACCTTCCTCATAAATTTGCCTCACTTCTCTACCTTCCTCATAAATTTGCCTCACTTCTCTACCTTCCTCATACATTTGCCTCACTTCTCTACCTTCCTCATACATTTGCCTCACTTCTCTACCTTCCTCATACATTTGCCTCACTTCTCTACCTTCCTCATACATTTGCCTCACTTCTCTACCTTCCTCATACACTTGTCTTACTTCTCTTCCTCATACACTTGCCTCACTCTACCTTCCTCATACATTTGCCTCACTTCTCTACTCCAGCTAAATAGAAAACACCCCATTTAGCCTTCGAGTATAGTTGACGTTTTACCACATACGGATAACTTTTGTATTTATTGCCATGGCGCTCACAACACACACAAACACAACACAGCAAACACAACACAGCAAACACAACACACACAACAAACAAACAACACAACTTAACAAACACAACACACACAAACACAACACAGCAAACACAACATACGAAATACAACACACAAACGCAGTGAGCGCCAAGGCGTGACTGAGTTAAAACCGTATATGCTGTATTATATCCAAATTTATACTTAACTTCGCATTTTCCCGCAGTACCCAAAACCTGGACCCGAGACTGCAGGAGACTCTAAGAGCGACGCCCACACCGCCCACAACCCTCTAACAACTCCTGTCGACACCCACAGCAAGGACCAAGATCTTATCCTCAGCCCCCGCCACCTCACACACAGGTCTGTTCCTCTTGTCTTAGGTTATCACAACACATCACCAACTACAACAGTATGACACAATGTTAGGCCTCACTCACACGTGACATATTGCACTGGTTTCCATTCTTGAATAATGTTAACGCAAAGAATCCTCGTGCAAGAGTGCCTGCAGGACCATGGTGTGCGGGGAGGTCTGTTGATAGCAGTCAATGGTTATGCAGTGATAGAAAGAGAGCCAGTTTTTATACATGCTGGAGAAACACCTAGGGGCCCCACGTACGATCATTCGGTAAATATTGTCATGAAATGTCTATCTAATGTAGACTCGCTCATGACGCTTTCACTGCACGACAATCTTCCTGCGTTAAATCAAACCGGACTGCACAGTCAAGTTTTCACAGTCCAGACTTCAAGCAGCGCTTGAACTGGTATACAAGCCAGACCGTAAGCCTGCGCAAGCCAGCAAACCGATTTCCCACACACTCAAACTGGACTGAGCAATCGTGTTTGCACAGGCGAACTGAAGGCCGAAATGAGTGTATGCGTGCCAACTTCTGACACTCGACAGGAGACGCCTTTTCAGTTATATCATCAATTCTATGAAAAATATTCCTGATTAAATAACTCACAGAATGACGTTTAAACTTTCCTCTGTCTTAAATGGGAATCATGTTTGACGGTCTGATATATAATTGTTGCATAAAGGTTAAAACTGCAGTGCAGTTACCGTGATGACCTGATAACTCAGTTTTGTCATGATTCATGATTTTCGTCTCTTTCCACAGGCCGGACTTCTCTCTCGACACCGAGGACGACATGCAGCGTGTCTCCGGTGGCCGCGGTCTCTCACAAGGAAGACCTTTAGTCCAACATGATGATGAAGAGGATGACAATTTATTCAACTTAGCCACTGAAAATAGTGGCACTGTTTTTACAAGTTCAGGTACAAGTGAAGGAACAAATAGTTCAGCGGAGAGGAGCATTGCTCTCCTCACCCCAGCCGTCGGTTCACCACAAGGGTCAGTCACACCTCACCATTCTGGCTACGTGGTCCCTGTCTTCCCAGACGACCAAAAGACTATAAAAGAAGGTCCGGTTGATAACTCATTCAGAAGCACCATCCCGACTCCTGGATACGTAGCGGTTCAGCCACATCACTTAAATTCTCAAGAAAATGCAAATTATTATCTTCCAGAAATTATTTCACATGAAATAAACAAAAAGAACGCTAAAACGTCAGAGTCAGATAGTTTATTGTCCCAGAATGTCACTCCGGGCACTGGCTATATAGCTGTTCCTCCTCCTGACTTCGGAACACACAAGGCTGAGGGTTATGTGCTTCTGGACGCAACATGTGATAGTCCTTCTCACGACAGAGAGTATGATGAGGCCCCAGAGTCACTTGAAATGACAAGTCCAAGTATTCAGCCAGACTGGGAGGGCTGTAAAGGCGGATATGTCGCCCTGGAGTTTGCAGCAGACACTGCACCTCCCACTGTGCTCCAGGGTACGAGCACTCCACCTGCAAATCTACGCGGCAGTGACAAATTCAATGAAGAGGAGTCGCTGGAAGATAAATCTGACGTCCTTCAGTCACTCCCAGAACTGAAGGATGAAGATGTACAGAAGAGCAAGTGGGTCCCCAGTGAGGAGACAGATACACACCCGAAGTTCTCACAGCTGCCCAGTGTCGGCCCCACTCCAGGTTATGTTGCCATCCAGCCGTCGGATTTTGGTATATTATACCAGCGTCCTGATGAAGCGACAGTTCCTAAGAGTCAGGATATTGTCGGAAATGAAAACTGTCCTGAAATTCAGGATGAAAACACTAACAGTTCCCTACCCAAAACTTTGCCACATAAGAGTGAAAGCTTCCTTGAACTGAGATCCAGCGGTTTTGTCATATCGCCACTGGTGCAGACTAGCGGTCAAATGATGGACCTGACTGTATTAAATAAGAGCTCAAACCCTGTTAACATCACAGACATGAATAAGGGTGGCGTGAACACATGTGGCTACGTGTCACACCCAGTATCACTCGAGGTGGCGGCTCTAGACACCCTCAGCCACGGCTCACTAGACAGCGCTCTTGGAGGATCTGTGTCAGACCCCACGACCTGGCCATCGTCACCAACCAGCAATGAATATATCTGCCTAGATAGCCTGTGGTTGAAAAATGTTCGCACTTGCCCTCCCAAACAACAAGATAGGGAAACCGATTCTGTAACTGCGGATGATGGTAGTGTCAGCATAGAGGGTCAAGAGGAAGCAGTGCGGCGAGAGAGTTTGACGTTTGAGGACATTGCCATTGGTTATAGTAGAGTGGGAGACGCCACCTAGAGTGCCAACAGTTTTATCTCTTACATGTAAAGAACCAGGGCCAAATAGGCCACATATACTGACCCACCTGACCTCACAGGTGCCGCACACTTGTGACATTTTTCTAAGTCACTACGGACATACAGAATTATGTGTGAACTGGACGTGACCTGAAAATATTATTACATACACAATAGCATCATTTACTGTATATCAGAAATAGGATAAAAGTTCTGTCAGTAAAATTTGTACAGGAATATCGCCCTTTTATAATGGATTAATTTGCCTTAGAAGTAATGAATATATTTTACATGTTAGTTATACATCTTGTGTTTAAGTCTTGGATTTGTACATTATATTATATTCCTCGAAGCTTACTTGAGTCATAATCATCTCTTTGTCTCATCTTGCTCACGACAGTTGTCTAAGGTTCGCGATTCTATATTTTATAACTTGCTCAGTATACTACATCACCCAGATTAGGTACGTGTGTGTGTGTGTGTGTGACCTCATTGCTGTGTAACTCAAGATAAGATTAAAACAATAAAATACTGTTTATCTTTCAGTGGCGGCATCTCATTGACCTTTTAGAATTTCACACTACACTCCTTGTTGCAAGCTGACGAGTAATTTTGGAAGTAGTTAAAGACGCCACTGTAACCTAGGAAGTACCCATCACCTAGGAAATACCCATCACCCAGGACGTACCCATCACCTAGGAAGTAACCATCACCCAGGATGTACCCATCACCTAGGAAATACCCATCACCTAGGAAGTACCCATCACCTAGGAAGCACCCATCACCTAGGAAGTACCCATCACCTAGGAAGTAACCATCACCCAGGACGTACCCATCCCTTGATAGCCCCCCCCTCAACCCTCCCAACCAGCGTAGTCGCCACCACAGTCAAGAGAACGTAACATCCTCTCCACCAGATAGCAGGGCGGTAGTGGTGGATCAACTGCAATCACAGTCCATTACGTCGCCAACACTCGCCTCACACACTCTCCCAGCGTCCAGTCTCTCCCTCCCTCCCTCCCTTAGCTTCTAGCCAATAAGTGCTATCCCCTAATACACTGTAAACAGGCTAATAATCTTGTAAATCTCTCGCAGCTTGTAAGATTGTGATATACTTGTGTCCCATACGTTCAAAACCTAAGAGGGATATTTGCTCTCGTGTTACGGTGTTTGTGTGTGTGTGTGTCGGCAGCAACGGAGGAAGTGACAGGCTCTCTCACCAACTCAGTAGTAAGTACAATATTTTTATTATTACGTTTAGAGAGTTAGAGAGAGAGAGAGAGAAGAAACGTTTATTATGATGCTGTAAACTCCCAGATACGCCTTCATTTGTTTCTATTCTTCTCTTACGTATAAAATTACATTAATAATTTCACAGTAACATTTGCGACGAATTATATCACTTCCCTTCATGTTATATTACACGACATTATATGATATATTATAATGAGTTGTGTATTTTCCAATGCCTATAATACCTAACCTATTGTAATTTAGGAATATACAGTAGTTTGATTAGCCTATGTTATGTAGTGAACGAGGTCTTAAATGAAGTGGAGGAAATGTTTAACATGATAGAATATGAATGAATAATAATTTGGGAGACGAAAATCATTTGAAATTGGTGCTCTGTATAGTTATGAAACTGGCCGCTACCGACACCCAGCGCTGTTCCTCTCTCATCCCCCTTCTGGCTAGTAATAAAATATTTTCGTGTGTATTAAGCTAATATCTTATTCATTAACTGCACCCCAGTATAGGCATTGGCATCCACTATATTCCGTATCATTCAGCATTGTGTACAGTCACAGGGGCGGATCCAGGAATATTAAAAAGGGGAAGGGGTTCAAGAAATATGGCGAACTGAGCGCGCCCATCCAGTTGGGGGGTTTTGGGAGGAAGCCCCCAGATTTTTTTAATCTGACCAATATCATGGGCATTTTGAGCCACGTGCACTTGATACTGGGAGATATTCTGAGTTCAATAGTAATTCCCCTTTTAATATACAAAAATGTCTGAGTACAAAATTGCATTAAAGAAAAAATATTGGCATTTTCTGAAGAAAAAAGGGGGGGTCCGGACCCCAGGACCCCGCCCTGGTCTACACTTTAGACCAAAGAAGAGATGTTTCGTTCATCTTGACGCTTATCCAAAAAGTATTTGATCTGGATCCCTGTTGGTATAGTTAACTTGATTTGTGTGTGTGTGTGTGTGTGTGTGTGTGTGTAATTACATCATACCCAGATATAAAAGTTCAAATATAATTTCAAACTTTTCAGTGGATGACAGACCAACACTCGAGGAGGGGGCTGGAGACTCTCTAGTCCAACAGCCTCATCTTCAAAAAGAGGAATCTAAGGTGGTAGAAACTAATGAAGCCGAGGGTCAGGTGGAGGAGCAGCAGGTATGGGCAGCCCTAAGACATGACAAGGGCAATGGGGTTCACCTAGTCACCTGGACAATTGAGGACCTGACTCAGAAGGGCGACAACTATACGTGCACTGTGAAGCGTCTCAATGTCACCTTCTCCCAAGACGATCAACACCACCACCAGGTATCCTATGTCGCCAAAATTCAACAAATTGGAATAGAGGGACTTATGAAGAGCTTTTCTGAATTAAGTTTTAAGAAAGAGTGTCTCTTCTATGGCAAGATATTACCATTACTTAATGCTGAACTGCAGGAAGCTAAGCTTGAGCCTTTGCGACTTCCTCAGTGTCACTACTACAGTTGTGAGGAAAATAAGGGGATACTCATCCTAGAAGACCTCAGTAAGCGGGGGTTCAAGATGGCCGACCGTAAACACACCCTCGATGCAGCCCACGCAGAACTTCTCTTCCGAGAGTTGGCCAGAATCCATGCCTCTTCCTACCTTCTCCAAGCACATTTGGCGTCCAGCAACTTGGCGGAGGAATATATTCTCCTGGCAACGGACTGGCACAACTATTCCGAGACAGCTGAGGCAGAAGTCAATCCGTTCATGCAGGGTGACACGAACGTGTTAGTGACAATAGCTGAGACTGAGGGCTATGACGAGCTGCTGCCCTGGCTCAAGGATCTGGCATCCAGGCCTTTAAGCATCTTCAAGGACCACCTTAAGACTGTACCACCATTTGCTGTCTTGTGCCACGGAGACTGCTGGATCAATAATTTCCTTTTCAGGTAAGTCAAAAAATTATCAATGGATTTTATATTTTACTTAAATGAAACAATGGACAAATACTTCATTTACCACGGGAACATGACTGATAATGTTGCACCACACTATTTCCAAACAAGTTTCTTTCTGTATTTCTTGACGAGAAATATAGGTGTAATGTTCTGGAATGTTTTATGAGTTATACAGAGAAATATTGCCAGACAATAAAGATTTGGTGTGGCAGAATGTGTCCAGGAAAATCCACATTCCAGCATTAAAATTAGCTTGACCTTCCCAGGTATGACTCTGCAGATCGACCCGTCGACGTGAGGCTGCTAGACCTTCAGGTGTGCCGCCGAGGGTCACCTGCCCTTGACCTTACCACCCTCGTCTACACAAGTTTCAGCAGGGAAGTCAGGTCACCCAACCTCCACCATTTCCTTCACGTTTACCTGGCCTCCTTCACCGACGTGGTGATAGGCCGGAACAATACAACAGTACCTTTCACTTATGACGAACTGCTGAAGGAATACCAAGAGAAAATCACCTTCGGGGTGCTGATGGGGGCAGGATACCTGCCTTTGGTGCTAGCCGATGCCAGTGATGCCCCTGACATCAAACATATTGTGGATGAAGAAGAGTGGGCGAAGCAGCGGGAGGCGGACGTCCTCGAGCTCTTGACCAGAAACCACCAACTACTGAGAAGGATGCGGAGTATACTTGATGACGTCGTCGAGTTTGGTGTAGCTGGTTAAGTTAATGACAGTAAGCAATTGTTGCATCATAACCAAGGGCTCTTACTTGTGTTATGAACATATATCATAACATATGATATGTACTTTCCTGGACTGCAGACAACTAGCAGTCCAAGTGTTTATATTTTGATAGACAATCTTCAATAAAGTGAAAATCAAAGATCCGTGGGAGAGTCAAACTGCCAATAAATTTCTAATTATAATCAAATAAAAATAAGCCATCGCCACGCCACGCCCAAGTGAAGGGCCTTTAATGATAGAAAGATTATTTAAAAAAATGCTGACTAAGGAACTTCTTGGAGATCATATTAAGATCTGTCCATAAAACAAGCTTAGAGAAGTACGACAGCTAAATTTTCGGGATATCGTTATCGGAATGAAAAACGAAAAAGGTTGAAGATAAAGTTACTGGGAAAATTATATAAAAAATATCCTCAAGCTATAAGGTATAACTTATAAAAACAATGAATTCAAAGTTCAGGTACACAGAAAATTAAAAAAATAAATAAATTCGACTATCAACTATGACGTTCATATATTTATTCGTTCATCATAATCAAGTACCGTAACCTTGTAATAACACCATAAGTATTATAAAAAAAAACCCTGCACCACAGATACAGGCGTGAAATAGGTAAACACTGGTTGGATGCTCATATGAGCAATAGGGGTTGGGTGTAAACGGGACTGCCCAGGATGGGCCAATAGGCCCGCTGCAGTTTCCTCCATTCTTATGTTCTTATGTTATATACAGGGTTGGTGCCAGCTGTTCCCCCAAGAGGTCCTAGCTGCAGCCCAAGGTGACGACAGTTAACTCATTACCACTGGACAGGGAAGTCAGACACTTAACCAAGGGTAACGTCCAAGTGTTACTTACAGTCCTTCCCTGAGAGGATTCATTTAATATCCTCATTTATATTATCAGTGTAAATAACGTGGATAAACAATATATACAGAAAAGGCCAAGAAGTGTTTACCACAAGAACCTGCCACTTAAGAGTTCCGGAATTTAACTACAATAATTTATTGTGATAGCAAGACACTGTGACATCCTTCATGTCGTAACTCACTACCAGAACTCAGTTTATCACGCGGAAGCTCCAGTGTTAGGCGCACGGTTGACGATGTATACACAGATGCACGTTAAACTTAAAGCACTTGGTGTAAGCAGCATACAGTATACGTCCACAACCTGTATTAGAATCCCACCTAAAAAACCGAGGCATACGGCGTAGAGTCGTGAACAAAAGTCCTGTCGCCTCTTCTGCTGAAGCTAAAATCAAAGCTACAAATTGTTCAGAACAACACAGTGGGGTCATTTCTTGACATGAAAGCACGGGATCACGTTGGTCACTAAGTTCTTCAATCACTGAACATGTATGTTCAGTGTGGCGGATAGAGTGAAGCAACTGATGCTGAATCATGCTTACAGGATTTTCAATGGACTGTGCCCAGAGTATCTAACAGCAAACTATGAAAGGACCAGGAATATGGACCAGCAGGGCACTTGAGGGAGTGAACATAATTTTATGGTACGTACCTGGCGACCGCGGTCAAGCGAAAAACATTTTTCTTTACTGGTATAATAAACTGGAACAAATTACTAGACCACATCAAAACCATGTTATGGTGGATAAGATAAATCAATCACGCTATATATATATATATATATATATATATATATATATATATATATATATATATATATATATATATATATATATATATATATATATATATATATATATATATATATATATATATATATCAGATGAAGCTACAGCAATATAATTAGAGAGTGAGTTTCTCAATCTTTAACCCCACAATGCTGTACTGTGGTAGTGATCCGCCAGCATCGGATAGTTCAAGCACAATGTAATGTTTGTTGAATGTTATTAAAAAACTTTCACTAATACTCCTGTACGCTTACAGACTTAGCGTAAACCTAACCGAAGGACCCTCCTGGAAGTAAGCTTTGTCGGCTATACTTGGTCAAGTTACCTAATCTGTTTACCTTTGTTGTTTACCTGCACTGTCTCGGCACACAGGAAACCGTATACTCACACGGCCTACCTGCACCGTATACCTACATTTTCTATATGCATGCTAAACAATATAATCCACCTAGTTTACAAAAATGCTTATCCAATTGTAAACCTGTATGAAAATTTTACTGAATAAACTCTACGTATTATTATTACTATTATTACTCAGTCGAGTGTTCATACCTGGAAAAACTGATATACACCAACAGTATTGCCGTTTTTCCCCCCCGAGGAATGCGAAATTTATCTAGTATGATAGCTCATTAAATCACCTCACTGAACGGATAACTGGTGATAATGTATTGGCATAAGGAGGAGACAAAGCGACTCATCTTACGAATAAACAAAACAAAACTGGTGAAAATATACTGACATAAGAAGAGAAAGTAACTCATTTTGCGAATATATAAACAAAACAAACCCGGTTATAATCACTGGCATTTCTCAATTTGCATGAACGAAAGGATATATCAGAACCACACACTGGGATCAATTCTTAAGAGGTACCAATAGAACCACCACCTTGGCAACCCTGACCCTCTACAGTGAGTGATTTCGCAAGTGTGTAAATGACCTGAGGCTCATCCAACCAGGGGATAGTTCTATATTCACAACCACCCTCTGGGAAGATCGTACGAACTCTTATTCATTACACACCCACCAATGGTAAATAAAGAAAAAATATATACTAAACGCTGCATTTGTGTGATTTACGACATCACAAAGTATTCAATGGATGTTATGTCTTACTGATGGTTGTGTGCAGTTAAACACAGGTATACGTACATCAGGTTGTGCTATATTATATACAGAAGAGTGAACAGTGTCCACAATGTAAAGACTTAACTCATGGGTCAGTACAAACCAAACTGAACTTGTGGGATGCTACCTAACTATTCAATACCTTGAAGTAAATGGAGGTAGTATAATATTGTGTTAAGCGTCTTTTGCAAACGTTATACGGCCAACCAGTCTCACTTTCTAAAATAATGAAAGCTCCGGTACAGGAGGCGGCGGCGTAGCCGACATTGCACTATCTCTTAGATTCAACGGTCGAGTTTTTACATTACTCGCCTCTTATCCATTAGGTTGCTGGCTGGCTCACTTGGCACCACCTCCCGTTCATCTTAAGCGGTTCCCAACCTCAGGTCGCCAGCCAGCAACCTAATGGATAAGAGGCGAGTAATGTAAAAACTCGACCGTTGCATTCCCTTTAAAACAGCATATGATATACAAAGAAATGCGATTGCTGTATAGGAATAAAACCTTTGTACTGACTATTTGTAGGTACCATCCAATATTGGCATTAGGAAATAAGCCTTTGAGATCGATAAGTCAATGAAATACAACAAAGAAAATACATACTAAGGTTTTAGATTACTGTATAACTAACACAGCTATTAAAACATACAAATAAAAATAATGAATTCTGATCTATAAAAACAGAAATACACAAATACCAGCAAGTAAAAGCATTAACAAGCAAGCATAACCAATTTTGTACCAAGAGTTACCAGTACAATAACTGAACCAAGCAATGTGAAGTAGTCATAGCCATTATAGGCTGGACACAGACACATCTCTGACAGGTTAGTGAGGTCGTACCCATACCGGAACTCTCAGAACGCAAACTACATGTACCACTGCAGGTGCCACTGCCAAGGAATTCACACCTCTTCGACTGTTACATCAATTACGTAACTACTTCATTGAATCAGGTGTCCTTAAACGTATTCTGGCAACATATCCCAAATTGAAATGTCTTCAGTGCATTAACTTTTCAAACTTGTTATATAGCATTAAATTTATTAATGAGTATGACCAACTTTATTACAAAAACACTCAGCCTGTTCTTCCTTCCTTCCTTTTTTCTCCCCCACCCTCTACCCTCCTCTCCCTCCCTAATCATACCTTATCCCTCCATTACCTCCAAAATACAACCTGTCCCCCTTCACCTTCCCTCTTTTCTTTTCTCTCTTCGTCTCCCCTCTATTCTCATTCCTCCTTTCCTACCCTAGAGGTCAGTCAAGTTATATAATGTACTTCCTCGAGGCTAAGCCCTACAAAACACCCTCACAACTTTTCCAAAACTCGCTTGTCCACGGAGGCATTTCAAACCTGTGACTCGTCAAGGTAGCATCTCGTATGTATGAAGCTCTGCCCTGCGTGGTAGTAAACAGTGGCGGTATTCTCATGGTAAGACCTGACGACATTACTCAGATTAGGCAAAACCGTCATCCAATCTTGTCAATAAAGTTGTTAAACTAAAATAAGGGCAAATAGGTCTCAAAGTGGTTCCAGTTCTCCTTGGCCATCAGTGTTCTAGCACAATTGATGAACATGAATCGGGAAGCCATTTCACTAGGTTCCTGACAGAGGCTCCCTAGTATAGGCTGGAGCATCTCCGAAGAGATACGGTGTAGTACCCACTACCAACTAAGCGTAATAGTACTGTACCTTCATGTCGACAATCTTGGCATTTCTCCTTCCTCCACTGATCGATGAGTTAAGACCTTTATCCACGTATGCACAAATCCTGGAACATATATTCATGTCATTAACAAATGTACTGTATACTTTATCCATTCACTAAACATTAATAAGTATGAATTAATGAAACAACTTCCAAAAATATCAGTTTCGTTCAGAAATGGTTAATTTTCTACAAGATTTTCACCATTATATTCATTTTAACAAATATTAATAATAACCGAGAGGAAAGTTACAATAGAAGATATATATATATATATATATATATATATATATATATATATATATATATATATATATATATATATATATATATATATATATATATATATATATATATATATATATATATATATATATATATATATATATATATATATATATATATATATATATATATATATAGATAGATAGATATAGATAAAGATGAAGAAATTCTCCTTATCTAGCTTGTCTAGCTGAATATTTGTTTGACCAAATATTAAGCTGCTCGTGAATATAAGTAAGGGTAGGCTACCAAAGAAAACTGAAGAAACAGAAATGACAATTAAGATAAGGATAATAAATACGAAGTGGCTCCATAGCCACAATATTGAGGTTACCTAGCCCACAGGCTGCGTGGCCGTGATATTGCATTCTTTAGAAGTTTAAAGAATAAAATTATATTTCATTCTGTATTTTGCATTACAATGATAAGTTTCTCGGTGGATGAACTTAACCTAACCTGTCGAAAACAAAGAACTGTAATATGGCAGCAGTACGTAACATAATGTACTTTTACGTTGCATTCAGCGAGCTAGATACCCAACGGCCACACAGCAACTGCCTTATACCACGTTTACTCTGTGGCCTAATAATACGGCCACGGGCTAGGTGGCCCTAATATTACTGCCACGGAACCAATTCGTTCAGAAAACAGTGTCCAACATCAATGACATTGTAGTGGAATTCTCCCCTACAAACGCTGTTTGTCGCTGCATAGCCGACCCCGCGACTTCCACAGTGTGTGACTCGTAGTCTAGGTCAACCAGCGCCGCCCACGGAGCGGGGGTCAACTACTAAGCCACGCCAACCCCCGCTATTTAAGACCTGACCTCGTGGTGATCTCTCTCTTTCTACCCACACCAACCAGCCAGCAACACCTCCTCCTCCTCCGCCTGCCTGGCGGTCCTCGCTCCCGCCGGCGAGCATGGCGACCCACAAGCTGTCCTCCTCTGAGCGTCCTCACCAACCAGCTCTCTCTACATCACGCCTGTAACCACGCTGCCACTTCCCAGCACCAAGCTGCATTGTACATCCAATACAACATGTATACAGAGAGCACATTGTGAGTTTCCTTTCTCCATCCCATCCTGAGTGTGAACCAAACAATCCATCACATCCCCACAAATGGTGACTCCCGGAGATTTGCACTCACACAGGATGGAGGAGAAACTGATCACGCTCCCAGCCTTCAAGCAACGTGGAAGACTGGCTTATCCACACAGAAGCAGCTCTCATCGGCTCTACAACTACTGTCTCTACACCGCAGGTTAGACACCCTAGAGCAGCACTGCTACCTTAAGCAGACAGCTGCTCCTCTTCCTGCCCCAAACACCCGTCCTGCCTCAGACGCCGACCCCGGCCCAGCAGTACCCCCTGCCGCTTCTCCTGACGCGGCCCCTGTTCCTGAGTGCGGACCCACACACCCCTCTTTTCTCCCTCAGGTACTCCCTGCTACTGTCCTGCACCCTGCTGCTGTCGTGGACCCAGCTGCTGTCACGAGCCCTCATCCACTTCTGCTGACGCAGCCCCTGCTCCTGACCCAGGCCCACACATCCCAGCAGGCGCATCTGACGACTCTGTACCTGCCGTGAGGGAAGCACAACATTCATCGCCTCCACACACCCTTTTTCTCCCTCTTTACTCCCACAGATATTGTGTATCTAGACAGTTGTCTCTAGCGACCGGCTCATCCACGCCATCGTCGTTGTCTCACATGAAGCATACACCGCCCGTTCTGCCTCACATGTGCTATGCAACCCTGCAGACAACAAGTCTCCAACACCGCCTGGAGGGAAGGAGGGTATTGTAGTGGATTCTCCCTACAAACGCTGTTTGTCGCTGCATAGCGACCCGCAGATTCACAGTGTGTGCCTCGTGGTCTAGGTCAACCAGCGCCGCCATACATCACGGGCGGGTCAGCTCCACCTCCCTTTAAAGCTGGTGATCTCTCTTTCTACCTACACCAACCAGCAAGCAACACCTTGTAGTGGAATTCTCCCCTACAAACGCTGTTTGTCGCTGCATAGCCGACCCCGCGAATTCCCCAGTGTATGCCTCGTGGTCTAGGTCAACCAGCGCCGCCATACATCACGGAGCGGGGGTCAACTGCTAAGCCACGCCTACCCCCGCTATTTAAGACCTGACCTCGTGGTGATCGCTCTTTCTACCTACAGCCGCGGCCAGCAACACCTCCTCCTCCGCCGCTGCCTGGCGGCCTTCGTTCCTCCTCCGCCTGCCTGGCGGTCCTCTCTCCCGCCGGCGAGCATGGCGACCCACAAGCTGTCCTTCTCTGAGTGTCCTCACCAACCAGCTCTCTCTCTACATCACGCTTGTAACCATGCTGCCTTCCCAGCACCAAGCTGCATTGTACATCCAATACAACATGTATATCGAGAGCACATTGTGAGTTTCCTTTCTCCATTCCATCCTGAGTGTGAACCAAATATCTTGAACCCCACAACCTCCTCCTCCGCCTGCCTGGCGGTCCTCGCTCCCGCCGGCGAGCATGGCGACCCACAAGCTGGTCATCCTCTGAGCATCCTCACCAACCAGCTCTCTCTACATCACGCTTGTAACCACGCTGCCACTTCCCAGCACCAAGCTGCATTGTACATCCAATACAACATGTATACAGAGAGCACATTGTGAGTTTCCTTTCTCCAACCCATCCTGAGTGTGAACAAACAACCCATAACCCCACAACATTAACTGATCCGATTTCTGGTAAGATTCTAAATGGAGATATAACAAATGTTTATACTACTAGTAGTCAAGCTGTTTCACTTGAAAGAGATATTTTAGAGCACTTAAAGAAACATGATCTAAGTGTGCTTTCACACTGAGGCCGGAACGAACATCTGACGTAAATTGTTCAAACGAATGAGTCAAGGTAACAACACATATCTCGCACTATATTCGAATCACATCTCATTCGAATCTTTTAAATTTATCCTCGAGGAAGACAGTTTCCCTCTCCCTAGAAAGCCAGTGAGTCGTGTAAACAGGTGAAAAAATCATAACCACACCTGCCCTCGTCACATATACTGTAGTCAGGATTTGTCCGATTCCGGTCTCAATGTGAAAGCACGCCAAGACAGTGCTTTTCAAATTGTATGACGAAACTGGTAGTGTGGTACAGCTTCAGAAACAAGACCACGAAGCGTGCGTAATGGTACAAAAACTATTACTGTATTAAGTTAGTATCAGACGCACCGAGCACTGCCAAGCTGTGGTTCATCCTTGTTTGTTTTTTTGCCTTTGTTGTTGTAGCGCGTTATTGTTAACCATTTTAGGAAAACAAATATATAAACTCATTTCTTACCTTTCGAATATCAATAAAAGTTAGGAGGAATTGCAACTTTCCTATATTTTGTTTTTCAGATATATTCAGCCGGTTACGAGAGCGGCGAAAGACAAACTTCATATAACAATTAACTCTTATCTTCCGTATACAGTACACAAAAAAATGTGTATCATCCAAAAATAATAATATTTTAGACAATATTTTTGTTAAAATAATAAATACCATCAAATAATGAGGTTTTACATTAAATTTCGCATTATTAGTTTGGTAATTTTGTACGGGTGCGGGAGGTCGCGTTTCATACCTGAAGAGCGTACAAACCGCGAACGCTCACCAGCATGTAAGATGAAATATTATAATACATGAGTAACCAAGACGCAACTTGAATTTTTTGTTTTGCGTTTGTTTATTTCAATAAAGATAAACAATAAGAATGCCTTTTAATAGCCAAGAACTCTACTGAAAACAAGGTCATTTATTCCCAAATTTATGTAACGGCATGACAGGTGATTCATCACTTGTTGTAATTGTATGATAATTGTGCAAGAGAAAAAGATTGTCTTTTAATTTCTGAACTCATCTAAGATCTTAAGGCAATGGAGTATACATGCATACATAAATGAAGATTGATGTGTCTAAAATAAATGGAATATCCCTGTACGTAAAGAACATCACTCATGACGTCAGCTATACCGTACACACATTTCATATATATTTTAGCTGGAACTTTCTCATATTGAGGGTGGAACAGCATTTTAGCTTAAGGTCCGCGTAGGTAATATTCCTACAAAAAAAATCTCATCTTGAGTGGAGAGAGTATCTTTGAGCTTCACTTTTAACTGCTACAGCGGACAGTATAATAAAAACTTACCTATTTTGGGGATTTTCCTGCATTTTGTCTTTTCCAGAATTCCGTTATTTTAAATCATCGGAAATTACTATTGCGAGTATAAACCTAATGCACTTGAAGTTTCTTTTAACACTTTGTAACGTAAATAAAACACTTGCACTATTTCTACCGTCACTGTCAGCACCTGTGACCACAATGACCCAAGCTTGTGCCTTGTGGAGAGGGGGAGTGGCGGGCGGCTCCCTCCTGTTGCCTCGTTCGCTAGTTAGGTTGTTAATCACGGTGCTGGAAATCTTTACCGTTGTTATTTAATATTAAAATACTAGTGTAATGAACAGATAGATAATGAAATCACACTTAGCTAAAATCCGAGTTATTACTGGATAACCAAAGGCGTTTTAACTGAGCGAAATGTAGTTAAATATGGTGGTGGTAAACGTGATGTTAATGTTTGCTTCCGAGTTGTTTTAACAATTTTCTTAAACTTTGCCGTTTTCTTTGATTAAGTTATATTTTCCATCGTATTAGGAGTGAAAACTCGGGAGTGGATCGTATGAGACTCGTGTGCTGAATATTCTTATAATGGGATTGATGAAGTCATTATTGCGGCAACAGAAAAGCTGAACTTATTATAATAAACTATACCTTTACCAATCTAGTGTATAGCTAATTTACACCCGGAAAAAATTTAAGTTTTCAGCTAGATTTATATCAACCCCCCTCGTCTACCAATATATAAAACGGAATGTTAATTTTTCCAAGTTTAGAAGCTCCAAGTTGTTGGTAGCGAAAGGCAGAGCGGGGAAGATGAAGGAGCAGGAGTTTAGGAAGGGAACTGTAGTGGGAGAGATCGTGCCGTGGCTTTACACGACTGCGTTTATTTGGTTAGCCATAGCTCATGTATGTGGTTTTTTTGTCTGGTGTGTGATCCTCGGGTCACAACTCGTCGGATTGTGTTAGTTCCAAGTTTCCCTGAATACGAATTCGCAACCTTTCGATTTACAACAGGTACCTACTTTACTGCGAGGTGAACAGGGACCAAGGGGGCTAGGAAGAGTGTCCAAACTACTTCCGCCTGCCCGGGAATCGAACCCGTGACATCTTGCTTGCGAGACAAGAGCGGTACCGCTTCTACCACAAGCGCCCCCAAATGTTAATAAATTTCAGTATTCACCCAGCTTCCTAACCCGACTGCCGTTCACTTCCCTGGGATCTATTACGAGCCTAGTAAATTTAGGTTTAGTCACTTTTGGTTCGAATACGTTTAATCTAAGTTAAATTAAGTGTCATAAGATTTTTTTTACTAATGAAGTTAGGTTCGATTTTTTAACTCCATAATTTAGGTTATACTGCACTGGCAACTAACTTTAATACCACGAATAAAATCATTGTAGTACATTTCTACCTCATTATTTTATCATGGTTGGGGAGAAAAGTGATTAGGTTAACCAGAAATATCTTTATTTTCTTTCTGAACTATTACACTACAGGTTTTCTTGACTTTTAATGGCAAAGAAAACAGGTACTTGTACATGTCAATAAAATTCCATGGATGATCTGTTCTTATTTCTCTTCTTAATACATTCATAAACTAAGTATTGATAAAGTCTTCGGTAAATTTGCATTAGTGAACACAACTCTGTTAGAAAGTTAACTCTCTTTTTCTTGGGTACTTTTATGTTTTGATTGGCTTTGACCTTCATTATCGTCGGAAATTGCCCGTTTTTTAGTTATCGGGGGTTTTTGGTGGGGCGTTTTCCGACAAAACTTATGGCTAAGAGAATACAAATTTACAAAAAAAAAAAAAAACTAGAAAAACATAAACCTGACCTGACCTAACATAACCTAACCTAAGTAACTCTCACCATATGATGAAATCACTTATTTCTTACCTTATTGGCCTGGTTCTGGTTCGTCGTTGGATTCTGAGATTAGTACAGGTTGCTGACGCCGATTCTCGCTTAACGGTAGGGGGGCATAGGCGGGCAGCTTGCACTTAGGACACTTTACTGAGGTCGGGAGAACACCATGAGATCTAAAAAATGATATGGGTTCTTCGTTTTTTTCCAAGAACGCGCAATCAACTCCATATAATTGAAGTGACACCCATCGCAGACTTCCATGGTCAGAAATGAATTTGAATTTCAAAATATGAGACCCAAAATATAAATTGAATTTGATTGGGCCAAAAATACTGGGAATTAAACCACAAATAATTTAAATTGGTGGCAAAAAAAAAAACGCTTTTGATTGGCCGCGTGACGTGTCCGGGAACGCATGGGCGTGATGATTTATGAAGGAGAGACACAGTGTGGGAGGTGAGGTAGACGATAATGGCGGAAGACTAATGGAAGAAATAGAGAACAATTTTGGATGCGCTATCTCCGTTATTATACGTTTGCGACGGTAATGTAATAGAATAAAATTATCTTATAATTAGACGTCTTTTTCGAATATAATAATAGATTTGGGTAGGAAAGTTGTGTGATCAAATGCTTAAATTAGGAATCACCTGAAGATTAGGCATCCTAAATTATTTTGCCCAAAGAATAACCCCCTAACACATCCTGGAGGAGGGGGTTAAGCTAGGTAATGTAGATAAATTGTTATACTAAGTTAAGTTTCGTTAGGTTAGGTTGTTAGATTGTTAGGTCGGGGTAAATTAGGTTAGGTTAGCGTGAATGTGGTTAATCATTTGGGTGAAATGAGATAGGGTGTCTGATCTCCAGGTGATTCAAAATTCGCTTATTCTACATATACTACACTAAGGTCTCCAAACAGTACAATGTTATAGCTGAGTTTTACAATAAAGTAATGTTAGAAACTACTCTTACACACAGGTACTATATATTATTATTGTATAGCCTCACAAAAGCACAATCATAAAATACTGCTAAGGAAAGACAGATGCATCAAACTACATTACATCTTATTGCCATCACACACAACCTGGCAAATGTGGTGTGGGAGTGACCAATGCTAGGCTACACCTGTACTAGTAGACTATTTGCTACAGTTACTACAATTATAAGGTTACACTACAGGGTCTTAAGGGTAGCAAATAGTACTACAAATGTACTTGTACAGAGAGAATATAAGATAAAACTCAATGACCAATAAGAAGATACAAAGTGCTATTGGTAGTTGTAAATATATTTCCTGGGAGACCATTTCTAAGAAACAAACTAATATTTCTAAAGTGTACCAGCTGTGTGTGGATTTTCTTACGTATACAAAAAATAAATATACAGTATGTTCATTTTAGCATTGATTTAAATAATATCTTTGTCCAAACACGAGTACTACTACCTACACCAGGGGTACGCAACCCCCGTTTTTCCGGCCGAAAGGGGGTATGTATGCGGCCGGCAGAGTGACGTTTAAATTTCGGTCTATGGGGCCAGTAAGACATATTATTCCTTATATTTGGGTGAAAATAAAAAGCAGGGAATCAACAAACTGCTGTGAGCAGATATTCAGTGTTGCTTACCTTTGTGAAGAACAAGTACCGTTCTAAGCTCACAACCAGTCACACCACAGAACTTGTGAAGGCTGGTGTTAACACACTTTAATCCAACTTTTACTGAAATTGCAAATCGCATCCAGGTTCAACTCTCACACAAGTTTTGGTATTTTTCTGTGTATATGTATTTGGAATTGAAACCCTTATATTCATATGCAGAAGCAAACTTTTATTTTACCCGAGTATAACAAATGGAGGGCATTTTTGTCATTTTTAATAACATCTTTTTGGGGGAGGGGGGAGCATATTATACTGTATAGTGCAGGATACCATGATACTGTACTACTTTACAAGCAATTTCCCCTGTATGTTTGTATTTCAGGTGCAAATTGGTTATTAAACCATTATTTTATATGTACTGTATACCGGTATGCTGAAAGTGAAAGCTATGTTTAGTCTTAAATACCGGTGTTATTTATAAAAAAAAATTCTGCCAATAATATATAGTCCTGCATTTCTGATTGTACATTCAATTCAGTGTTGACTTATGTTGGCTTAGTACACTGCGGCCGATCGCTGATTACTTGCACCATTAAGTGGCTGGCTAGTGTATAAAGGTTATGGACCCCTGATCTATAATGTATATTTCATTGTTGTGTGTGTGTTTTGGTCGAAACTTATAATTAAAACTTTTCGTCATTATTTAGGATTGTTCTTAAAAATTCCTTGAAAAAATCCTTGCATTAACGACCTTTGTTTGACAAAAAGGGTAGAACTCTTATGATCTTTTGTTAATTTTGTTTTAATTTTGTATTTTCATCTAATAAACAAGATATTATTGAAGCACAGGCTTCATCCATGTTGAAATGAAATCACCGATCTACTGTTACTCTATGTGAACAACTCTCACCTGCAAGAACAATGTCACTTTCTTCTGTCACTGAAGGCAACCACCCTAGATAATTTTCCAACACCAGGTTCAGTCTTGCCTCGAAATGAGAACTAAAGTTGACCCTAAAGATAAGTAACACATGCTGCTTTCATCAGTAAGTGATGGTATCAGGATGTCCACTATACCATCTTGTTAACGAGTCATTTGAGGGTAATGGCCAGCCTGCGACACTCATTGGTGTTGTTGAGTCTCAGATGTTGTAGTATGATGCCTCGTCTTATACGTCCCTCGCCCTGCTGTAGCCCACTGACAGTGTTTCTGTTGGTGAGGGCTCGTGTGTGGGGAGATAATTGGTACTGCCGTCGCCACTACACGGACTATGTTCGGGGAGGATCTGAGGTGTGGCGACGACCGTCTTGTCACCATCACTAATAGTGTCGTCGTGAGGGGTGGTATGGGTCATGGGTAACCGGCACCTGGGGTCGTCCATGACAATGTAACCAGTGTTTCGCATGGGAGTTTTGTCTTTGTGGGGTGACCCAATATCCTCAGTCGGGTCATTCTCGCCACTCATCACCGCAGCCACTAGCCACTGCACGTAACCCCCGTGATTCTTAACATCATCAAGGTCAACGTACTGTGGCTCCACTACACCAAGTTTCGTCATGTCAAGAGATACATAGTTCCCTGAGGCAGAGACAGCTGGCAGGGAACTCTCAGAGTCATCCACAAGGTCATCCTCGAAGGCCTGGTTGACGATGCCTCCCGCCTGCTGTGAATCTTCCTTTATTTGATGAAGGTCTTGTCGAGGAGAACTGTCAGGATGGTCAGACGTGCTCTTCAGGATGAGCCCCTCTACTATCACTTCTAACCTGTTGATATTAAATTGATTGAAATATTACAGACAACATGAACTCAGTTTATTTAAGTACTTCACATATTATTAGCCCTAGAAAGTGGCCACCATCACCTTTAAGCCTTTGTTTAGAGAATTCTAAAACACAGAAGGCAGTTGATGTATTGAGGAGTGTTGGAAGGTGTGTGGTTGAAATAAGTGAGGAAATGAACAATCACACTAAAACTAGAATTGCAGAGAACTGTAGAGTATCGAACCCAACCTAACCTAGTCATTTTGCAATCCCTGTTGTAAAAACACCAATGTAGTTCACTTGTCTTTCTTTTTCCCCATTAAATAAGGGTCATTAAAATGCATCTTTGTGCAAGGTCGTGTTTAGATAAGTAAAACAATTGAAACGCAAAAAAAAGGTACAGTTTCCAAGAAGCTCCTTATTTAACGCAGTGATATTTAAGGAGCTTTATGTGATAGTATACTGTATGGTTTTTCACTGTCAATAATGAAAAAATTATTTTGTATGGCAAGATGATATTCAGTGCACATTTTAATTCACAGAACCGAGGCCTTCGATGACGTCTTGATAGCGACATGAACTCAAGGAATGTTTACCTGCTATCTGTGTGTTTGTCAGGCTGTCAGAGAAAAGTTACATGCGTCTTAAGCTTTTGTTGAATAAGTTAATGTGTCTACGTGTATAATTTTTTTTATCTCATTACGTCATTTGAGATTGTTTCACGCCATGACCTTCTTAGATATGACCATTTTTCTTTTCCAAACATTAAAGTTTCAAAACTATTTTCTCATACATTTGTTATCCAGCGTTACCCAAGTGTCACTCTCAGATCTTCTCGAGGCACATCAGGTATTACTCTCAGGTCTCTTATGAGACAATTCTTTCTTCCTTCTCATTTCCACACGTCTTTCACATCATTCAGATGCTGCTCTTTACTCTTTATCTTATCATGGTCACATTGTAACTCATTATACAAATAACATTACATATAATTTCTATTTTACAGTTAGCATTTAATTTGTTTTTGTGATGAGGTGTTGTCAGTTCTCTGGTATTGGCTCGAATCTTGGATGATGAATTGTGCAGCAACAAAACACGCGAAAAAATAGAGGAGTAATTACAATGTATAAGAACGCCATCACTGTGTCCTGCACATAGTGTTAATTGAAGATTTCTAGAACACCTACGTAGCCTTGACTGACTCAAATACAGTAAACACATTGGAAAATTTGTCTTACGTTAGTTCTTTAAATTATTGTATATCGACTGAGTGTGTAGTGGTTAATGCCAGGCTCAGAGGTTCGAGTACTCGATGAATTCGTAGTATTTATAATAAAGTAGATGCTAATATGTGGTGAGGTGTAGAGTAGTAGTAGAGGCGGCGAGTGATGTGGACAAAGAGTGTTGGTGTGGCTGTATCAGTACTTGAGCCTGCAGCATCCTGTGGGAGAGGAAGGCCTTGTTAGTGAAAGAAATCAGCGAGAATAATGTATATGGTTTATGCAGAGGAAATAATATGCTAGGTATATGTGAGTGACTAACACAATTCCTAGAAACCAGAGTGAGATGGCTGCTTTCACAATGTTAGTAAAGTGAACAGGAACTATAGGTGATATAATATTTTAGCACGAGAAAAATAACTTATGAATGAACAGGAGTGAGTGTCTAGGCTGGCAAATATTTCAAAAGTACCTTCCACATTCCGATCTAAATTAAACACCAAAGAGAGACGTCCAAAAACCACTGGATCAGATAAAACCCAAGGAGTTGACTAAGTTTGATATATCTCCAAGTCCAGCAGCAGTACATCCCAGGTCACATGAAGAAGTATAGAGTATCACAAGCAGAACACCAACAGCAGTAAATGATAGGACGAAAGTAAAACTGCAGAGATAGCAACACTATCGAAAAATGGCAAGAAACTACAAGCAAAAAAAATAAAAAAAAAGTAAATCTCACATGCGCCATTGATTTTATTCAACCCATTTTGAAGGGATCGTATGTGGAAAAATAAGTTATTCAGTAAACGCTTCGTCTAATAAGTGATGTATCCACTGAATCAACAAACCCAACACTTACACCATCTTACGATCACGCAACAGGACACAGTTTTAATCGATTCAAAAGTCATCCACAAACCATGTTAGACAAATTAACTTCTCTATGGACTACAGACGTATGGAACAGTTTATGTGATAATCTTTGAGAGACAACTGAAAAAAAAACACTTGTCAGACTGAAATGCCATAGACGATCACAGAGCTCTGAATGTATGGTGAGAATACACTACAGTTGTACCCCACTTAACGCGGTCAATTGAACCCAGAGGGTCCCGCGTTAAGTGAAAACCGCGTTAAGTGAATAACAGAACATATGGGATTAATTCCAATAGAACCCAGCCCGACCCCCAAACTCCACTTTTTGACGACAAATAACTATGTTGTAGTAAAAATTCTATCTTAACTTTATGGTGGCATGAAAAACAAGTAATATAGAAGAGGTTAGGTTAGGAAAGATAAAGGTTAACATAGGAAAAATAAAGAATAGGTTAAAAAACGAAAATTTTTGAGGAACACTCACGGTAGTAGAAGAGATGGGTCGGCATACGGGGATGGAGGCTGGTTCCGAGGCAGAGGGCAGATTACTGCCCCTCAGGTGAATCACCATTACTAGGTGAATCACCATTACTAGGTGAATCAATATCACTGTCACTTACAGTTGTCATGGCTTCCCTGACAAATCCCTCAAAATCAACTTCACTATCACTATCACTGGCTTGGGCTGGCTGTGGTGGGTTGCGGGCGAAGAACTCGGTTATGCTTTGCTGACGGCTGGCTTTGATGTTGTCATGATACACCGTGATGTACGGCTCCATAGCCTGCACCAGTCGGGTATGGAAGACGTCATGGCGTTCATCGTCAGTGTCGCGGGAAACGATGGACTTAATTTTTTCTGTTAACTCTATGACACACTTAATATCACTATGACTTAAACTAGGTTCTTCGGAGAATGACGCACCTTCTTCCTCCTCTTCACTGGCGGGTTCTTCTTCCAACATCTCGTCGGCAGTCACTTCAGGATCTCTGATCACCTCCATGATGTCTTCGTTGGTGGTCTCGGAGAAGCCTTCAGCTGTAATACTGAGCGCAGCTTCTCTGGCAAGGTCCACTGCTACTGCAACAGTCTGAACCTGACCAGTCACAGGTTCACTCCTCCTCTCACCTGGTATGCCATGCAACACATGTCTCCATGCGTGACGAATCGTAGCAATAGACAGCAGATCCCATGCCTCCACCAAGAAGTCTACAGCTTGTTTGACGTTAAACTTCTTCCAAAATTGTTTGACGAGAAGTTCTTGAGTCGCCGCCTCTTGTTCCTTGTCCTCGTCGCTTTTACTCTCGCTGTCGGTGTCACCCAGCTTACGCAACTCATCCTTGGTGTTGGTAGAGTCGTTCAGGAGCTTGAATTTCTTTGCCGAGTATGCAGCTTTAACATTGCAGATTAACTCCTGGTCCATGGGCTGGATTAATGACGTAGTGTTGGGAGGAAGGAAGACCACTTTTACGTTGGGGTGACGATCCATAAGTAGGGGCGAGTGTCCAGGTGCGTTGTCAAGGAGCAACAAAATATTGAAAGGAACATTCTGTTGCTCGCAGAATTTCTGCACGTCAGGAACAAAACAGTTGTCAAACCAGAAGAGGGACAGAGAAGAGGACATCCACGCCTTACGTGCGGTTAGCCAGTGGACATTAAGCTTGTTCATGTCCATATTCTTGTAGGCGTGCGGCTTGCGGGCTTTGTGAATCACCGATAACTTTGGTTTACAGGTACCGGAGGCATTGGTGGTAAACAGGACGGTGATGCGTTCCTTCTGCATCTTCCGGCCCCTTACCTTGCTCGCAGACTGGACAACGAAGGTCTTGGAAGGTAACTTTTTCCAGAAAAGACCAGATTCGTCCATGTTAAACACCTGGTCGTCACTGTACTGTCCTTCCTCCATAATCTCACGTAAAAACGGAGGAAAATCTCTAGCCGCCGCACGGTCAGCACTCGCTTCCTCACCAACAATGCTGATGTTGGTGACCTTGTTCCTCCTCTTAAACCTATGCAGCCAACCATGGGAAGCATTGAAGGGTTTGGGCTCTGCAATTCCCAGTTTACGTGTCACTGCTGCGTATAGCTCACGTGCGTACTCCTGCACTGAGCGCGTGTCCACCGCCATGTTGCGTCGCGCCTGACGCACCAAATAACTCACCAGCAAAGTTTCCACTTTTGCCAGCACCCTGTTCTGGCAATACCTGATAGATGAAGCACCTGCAGACTTTGTGATCTTCATGTGCTCCTTTATCTTGGCTGCATCCTTCTTTATTGTACGAATCGTAGATTCGTTGACGCCATGCTGGCGCGCGAGATCAACTTGGCGTCTTCCTTTCTCCAAATCTTGAACAATTTGGTACTTCAGCTCGTAGCTTAATGAACGTCGTGTCTTCTTTGGTTTAGTGCCGCTGGGTCCAGGTAAGGAAAGGTTTCTCTCTGGGGGTGGTGGTCCGGCGGAAGCCATTTTACGGAACAATGGATGCGCGTTAACCCGGCGTGGCCTTGAGGGATGAAACTGCCGCGGCTAGGTCAAGCGTCGTCTCTCCTCCCTCCCTCCCTCCCCGGGGTAGTCACGTCATAATACTTTAAGCCAATTACAGCTAGCAGCAGAGGGGGGTAGGGCTGCATGGCCAATCACAGTCCGAGACGTCATATGACGTCAGTGATAACGCAACAAAGACACACACTGCGCAACCTTACCGCGCCGCTTACCCAAGCGGAGGGAGGAGGAGGGAGAGGCAGGCAGGCAGGAGGGCGGGTGGGTGGCGCGTGGCGCGTGGTCAAAATCTAAAAATAGCATCCGAGCCGGACACTCACCGCGTAGCTGTGGAAAAACCCGCGTTAAGTGAAAGTTCAGCTTTGGCAAGGCACCGCGTATATGATAAAACGCGTTAAGTGAAAGCGCGTTAAGCGGGGTAAAACTGTATAGCCATTTCGCTTTACTACCTTATATTATCGTGTTATACAAGTAGATGATGTTATGGATATACAGAGGACACCAAAGTGACTAAGTTATTCATAAACACGTGAAATTAATTGAATTTTGCCACACACAGCGGCAAGTTTATTGTGCACCCCATACTCATCCTGTGAGCGATAGTGCAAAAGGATTAGTACAGAATAGAGGTTACAAAGGGTGTGTATAACAGACTCCAGTGGTAAGGATATTATGGCATTGAATGTTACAGACTATTTCAAATGACCTTTGGTGGTGGTGGTGGTAGCGAAAGGTGTGGGTGGAGCTGCCCGTGGTGAGGGTTGTGTGGTCTCCCGTGGTGGCAGCAGGTGGCTCCTGCAATGCACAAAAAAGATATCAACATTTCCAGTTTCTTAATGACTACAAAATAAAAGGTAGATTTCTAAAATAGGCTAATGTTAGGTTAGGCTAGTGTTAGGTTAGGCTAGTGTTAGATTAGGTTAGTATTAGGGTGGTTAAATTTCAGGTGATCCCAGTTGACTATACTAAAAACCCAACAGTTAGCTTCCTCACCACAGACACCAGACCCTCTGGCAGGTTGATATCTCGAGTCATCTCCTTCATGGTAAAGTTCATCTTCCTGTGGAGGGAAAGACAAGGCATGTTTACCAGAGTGAGACAATGGTAGATAGGGAGACAACGTGTTCCTCCTCTCTTGCTTTTCCCTTTATTTTTCACATATTTTCTAAAGCCATGACCATGAAAATAGCTCCAGACTATTCTAAAAACAACCAGTGAACTTAAATCATGTTTACTCGAGTCTTACAACTTGAGAAAGAATGATGATATAAACTTCCGTGAGTCAGAATGGTGTGGCTCCCATTCTATAGACAGTATAATGAACATAATACACGGACACTATATTGGTGTTACCATACCTCAACCGACACACACACTCAGCTGGCAAGACATGTCAAGTCCATCAAAGTTCTTAACTAGAGAATATTCACATTAAAACAGCAGACTCGAGTACTAATAGACCCTTGGAACTCGCCGATAAAACAGTACAGTATCGCATTTGTCCCCCCCCCCCCAAAAAAAAATAACACAATTAAATCACTTTATAGTAAAAAGATACACTGCACACAGAAACACAACCACACGGGTATGGAGAGAGAACAAAGAGGACATATAGAATCCACACTGATCAAATTAACTCGTGGCTAAACAGACTAACGTTCACCTCAATGCCTCCATGACATAACCTCAGCGACTGTGACTCTTTACTTCACTTTGTCTATACATATTCGAGGTCTCCTTCGGTATTGTATTTGTTTTACGCGGATGCTTTCGGCAAGATAGAGTGATGATGTTTTTGTTTGAATGCTACTGTTACTCAAGACACAGACAGACACAGGCAATCAATACTATACACGGCACAAGCTAAAAGGCTTAAAATAAATACAGATAAAGTGGAGATATTATATTTTAGCTAAAGGCACGAGAGAGAGACTGACCTTCTGGTGTAGGTGACTATAACGACAATCACTACAACACTGAGAATGGCACCAAACATGATGACGACCATTGTCCACCCTGGCACTGTAGACATGACACTCATAAGTTATGGGAGTGGTAATAGTGTGGTGGTATAGTATAAGGTTAGAGTGGTGGTGGTGTGATAAGTGTGGTGGTAATTTGTGATAGGGTGATAGTGGTGATAGTGTGGTGGTGTTATGGTAGGTCTCTGGTGGTTGTAGAGTGTAATGTGGTAGTTGCTGTTGTTGTGGTGGTGGTGATGTTATGATAGTGCCAAAATCTTAAGAAATACTCAAGGTTAACATAATGTACCTCAATATCGTCAAGAACACAGACAAGGTTTTGAGTCAGGAGAATGAGCAAACCTGCGACAGAACTACAAGAACAGAAACTATTATCGAGGAGGTACCGGGAAGGGTAAGATAATGAAGCAGGTAACTATACTGTACTCACAGCCGCTACTGTCTGTGGTGAAGGTCTGGGCGAGCGACCACTGGGAGATACCGGAGCGGTACTTGAGTCTCAGCCACACTGTGTACTGGGTAGACTCCTTCAGCCCCGTCACCTCCACACGTTGCCTCCACACCTCGCTCTCCTCCTGTTCCACCTCCTTCTCCTCTCCTGTAACATCATCAACCGAAAGTAAATTGTAATTTCTGAGTTTTTTTCTCACCTTAACTTATTTTGTTGAGACACACACACACACACACTACTGAAGACAAAAAGAGACAGAACCTGCTGGTGGTCACTGCAGGAGGCACCACTCACCCGTACAGTCTTGGGGGAGGTTGTGGTGGCCTGTGCAGCATTTGGCCACAACGCTCTCCACCACACCTGCCCAGTTTTCACAGTCCAGCTTCCACGACACCCATGCCGTCGTCTGTCTCCTGCAGGTAAACATATTGGCATGTTATAGTGACCCTAACTTGTCATTTGACGTGCACATAGCTGATAGTTGGACAAAATAAATTGTATTAAAATGAGCTGTTTTAAAAATTTGTAAATGCAACGAGAACGATAAAAATCTATGATATGACCAGAAAATGTATTATATACACATTTCTGTGAAATAAAAGATGGGTGTAAGGTCCATGTATTTAAAGCGGTGTAAGTGAAATCAATGCTTGCCTCTTGTCTTCAGGGTCACCGGTTTGCGCACAGGGCACTCCGTTCACCCAGCCAACTTTATGGCTGGCAAAAGTTAAGACGGTCAAGTGCAGTGCCGATACGCTGCCTATTTACTTTATCGAATAAAGCTTAGTCTAGCAGTGTGCTGTATCCTTACTACTGGCAATCCAATTCCATTTTGGCTCTTGAGATTGTTCTAAATAATATTTCTAGTGTGGTATAACTGCCCCCCAAAGACTCGCCAAAAAAAGAGAACAAAGGAACCTTCCAAGTTTGACGTCATCAGAGGGCTCGGGTTACATATAACAATTATATCTGAATAGCTTTATGCAACGTAAATATATGTGCAAATTATAATGCTGTATTAGGTTGACACTTTCATCCTGTCTTCTGAAACATTAATCAGACCTTTGTATGGTAATTCATCGAGCCATTATACTTAAGAGGTTGTCATCGTACTCAATGGGTTAAATCATTGTAATCAAGGGGTTAAGGAATTGTAGTACAATGTGTTTAGTCATCGTATTCAAGGGGTCAAGTCATCCTACTCAGTGGGCTGAGTCATCATACTCAAGGGGTTAAATCATTAAAATCAAGGGATTAATCATTATAATAAAGGGATTAAATCATCTTACTCAGGAGGCTAAATCATCCTACTCAAGGGATTAAGTCATTATAATCAAGGGTGTAAGTCATTGTACTCAAGAGGTTAAGGGGTTAATAACAAGTGTGGTAGAGTAATACTAACACATCCTCGGACTTGGGGTCTGTAGGGGGCTGGAGGTTAGTGTTGTAGGGTCGCGGGGTGCCACACTTGTCCCAGGTCATGCCACTAGAGGCGCCACTGTCGGACTCAGCTGACACAGCGAACCTCACTCCTCTCCCATCCGTCAGGTTGAAGTTCTCCATCGTTACATTGACAGCCATCACCTGTCCCACGTTGATCCACCGTAGGTCAGCCTGTCAGGTGCAACAAACATGTGTATGTGTATGTGTACACACACATACACATGTTTGTGTGTGTGTGTGTGTGTGTGTGAGAATATGTCCATTAATTTCCACATTCATAAAGTCTAACAAAACTTAAGTAGTAAAACAAAATCTCAAAACACCTATTTAAGATATATTTTCAAGATATTAAAGAGACGTCACAAAAGAGACTCATCTGACGCGTTATTTATACTACAGGGTACTTACATGGCAGGGCGCTGAGTTCTTGAGGTCGTCCATACACACATAGACCGTGTACCTGTTGCCTAGCTCACTCTCGTTACTCCACCTGTAATTCACTGAAATTACTATCTTCACCACCTACACCACCACCTCCAACACCACCACCACTACTACTACTACTACCTGCATTGTTATTAACCATACTAGGGTGTTAATACCAGCAGTTTCCCCTTAGATCAACACAGTTCTGCCAAGCATATATTCTGAGTGGTGTTTATCATACGTTCAATCTGTTACACTCATGACCAAACGGAACAAGTGTCAATATTCTGCTACCAGAAGTAATAAACAAGAGCCACGTGAGAAATCAATACGACACACACACGCACACACACCTTATGAAACGACATTGCAGCAACTTTGAACTCCTTAATAAACAGGGACGAGATATACGGAATATAAAAGAGAAAGTGAGAGAGAGATAATTACCTGAGCTCATACAGGTGTTGTTGTTGATGGTACACGACGACGGGCAGGACGGGAGGGTCAGGCAGGTCGCTGGTCGCCTCCACCTTCACTACTGACGTCACCGAGCTTCTCCCCTCACTGTTCTCCGCCACCACCTGCAGCCTGCACCACCATAACTGTTAACTCTCCAGTCTGTACCACCATAACTGTTAACTCTCCAGCCTGCACCACCATAACTGTTAACTCTCCAGCCTGTATCACCATAACTGTTAACTCTCCAGCCTGCACCACCATAACTGTTAACTCTCCAGCTGCACCACCATAACTGTTAACTCTCCAGCCTGCACCACCATAACTTAACTCTCTCCAGCCTGCACCACCATAACTGTTAACTCTCCAGCCTGCACCACCATAACTGTTAACTCTCCAGCCTGCACCACCATAACTGTTAACTCTCCAGCCTGTATCACCATAACTGTTAACTCTCCAGCCTGCACCACCATAACTGTTACCTCTCCAGCCTGCACCACCACACCTCACATTCAACACAGTGTTTACATCATCCCTATTAACCCTGGTCCTCTCACACTTGTGTAATAATAATAATAATAATAATAATAATAATAATTAATGGTTTATTGAAAGAGTATGGCAGCCGGAAGGATGAAAATATACAGTTGCATAATTGGGGAATGGGTCACTTGATTGACAAACAGTATACATAGTAACAGTGCAAAAAGGTAAGATTGACTGGGCGTGAAAACACTGGTTGATTACGAGTTGTTGATATAACTTTTACAATGGTTGGGACTGGGCTGTTCTTATAGCGATCAGTACGTGCTCGTATGGGCTGGATACGGTTGTGGTGTGTGTGTGTGTGTGTGTGTGTGTAGTGATCCAACTATAAACCTCAAGTGCCAGACGCTGTAGTTGACGATGGTTATACTTTTAAGTTATAGTGAATCTGTGGTAGCAGGCTAAATGGTCCCCAACCCTAAGAGGACCTAACCTAACTCTAACTTAACTTAACTTACCCTACCCCAGTCTAATGTCTACTGTAGGCTTTGATGGTCCACTAGGACTGAGTTGCATTCGTGTTGGTGCACTCCTGAATATTGGGTAAAGTTGCGGAAATGTGTCCCTACACCCCCTGTGGTAACCCGTGCATCCAAACGGCAACGTTGCAGTAGTAGTATCACTGTTGATGAATTAATGGGTATTGGTCGTGTAACAACGGAAGTAATTGGATAGGTTTGCTATAGGTCATTTAGGTTGGCTGTTTGGAGACACTGGTTACCACAGGGGAAGTAGAAACACATTTCTGCTACTGTACATTAAGAATGTGCCTTAATTTAATGATTACATATTGTTTTGGTTGGGACTTCTTAAGCCTGGGACCTCTTAAGACAGAGGCTTATTAAGATTGAGGCATTATAGTACATTATAGTACAGTACAGTATAGTGTACAGTTATATAACACAGCAACTTTAACCAAAGGTAAGGTTATCCTGGAGTGATGAGGATAAAGAGAACCCACATGGAAGGGGAAATGGTTGTAGAGGACCTACCTGTAGGTGTCAGAGGTGGATAGGTTGGGGAAGGAGGCGAAGGAGTCCGTCACGGTGACAGATTCAGCTACCAGCTCCCTGTAACGTTCACACAGCCATTAGTTAGTATTGAACACCTATCAACATCTCGTTCAAGATACACATTACAGAGGATGATGATAAAAAAATAATAAAGACAGAATTTTTATATTCTGATGTCTGTTTTTCACATACGCATGCACGCACACACAAGTACACGTGCACACACACACGAAGTTATACGAAGACAGGTGTAGAGATCAGCCACAAAACTTACCCGGAGTCGTCCTTGATGGCACTGACGACGTAGGAGAAGTTTGGGCCGTTGTGAAGGAGGGGCGGGACAAGTTGCCAGGCTAAGGTCAGGTCACGCAGCTCTGGGATGTTGTTGCTGACCTGGAAGGTGCCAGGTCCTACTACCGGAGAACTGTCAGGCACTGAGACATATGCAAAAGAGGTCATTAAGGTCAGCCTCATAATACTGCAATGTTGAGGTCATCATCGTGAATACAACACTACGATACACACCTGAAGGAGGCGTGTCAGTATTCATGTTGGAACACTTGGACCACCAAATGTCATCGTCCAGGGTGTAGGTGGCAGCTCCTGAGCGCAGACGGACACACACCAGGTACTGCTGCCCCCAGTACTCCACCTCCACCGTCGCCTCGCACCTCTCGCTGTTACACTCACCTACGTCACCCTGTACAACCAATGTGATGTACTGTACAATGATCCTCATGTACACTGCACCCACCTGTTAACCCACCCTACCACTAACTGGTTAACCCATCCTCCCACTCACTGGTTAACTCTCCCTCCCAGTTACTGGTTAACTCTCCCTCCCACTCACTGATTAATCCACCCTCCCACTCTACCTATCCCTCCTCTCCTTCCTTTCCTCTTCCTTCCACTCCTCTCCCCTCCCTCTTCCCCTCAGCAGAACATTAAACACAAGAACCTTACTGTGGTCCAGCTACAGGCAGAGCAGGTCGAGTCTGCCAACCTGTAGTCCACTCGGTAGGTGAGGTTAGCTGGGAACTGTATCAAGGGTTGGGGCGTACTCCATTCAGCCCTTAACACCCGCCCCGTTTCAGCTGCCTCCAATGTCAAGTTGCTCACCGGGTCTGGTAACACTGACGGGAGAAGGTAAACATTAGGTATATTTTTGCCCCCCGTAATGTCCTCCTCCGTGTCTTGTATTCTCCGTCTGAAAAAAAATAAAAATCCATCACCATGAAACACAAATGATGGAATGGATTTGGTTGGGTTAGGTTTAAGGGATCTCATGAAGATTAGACACTCTACTTTATTCCACCTGATGATTGAACACCCTAACGTCAATTTAACTTATCCTAAACAAATCTAACCTAGCATAACATTACGCAGTCTAACCTTATTTAACTTAACCTAATCCCCAGACTATGTAAAGTTAGGGTGTACAATCATCAGGTGAAATTAGATGGGGTGTCTAAACTTTACGTGATCCTTAAAAGGTATTATACAGAATATTTAAAGCTATTTTTAACCACATAATTTCAATTTCAATTGTTTATTCCTTGATAGAGGAAGCGGGATCCTAGTGCTGTCACTAGGTACCCCTGTACAATGACACCAGAATCATCTGGCAAGTGTGAAAAGTATATACAGTATAAATATTATAAAGGGGCTTACTAAAGCCTAAGGAAGGAAGGATGTTCCTTTAACACATAATCAATATTATTTACAAAATATCTGGCCAGTATTGGGAGGATCATCGTGTCTCCATCAGGGGGTCGTGGAGTGGTGGTCCAGCAGGCGTCACGGAAGCGTTGTGTGTGGGGACATCTTAGGAGGTAGTGAATAAGGGTGCGGCTGAAAGGTCTTCTGTTAACCACATAAAGGGTAATAATCTCCTGAGTTCTCTAGTGAGTTATTATTACGTTAACATTCACGATCTGGTGGCTACTGTAATCTCAAGAAAGTTTTTTTTTGAAAGTTTCTGTCAGTGTCATCCAACACAACCATCTATGTATCATCCAACACAACCATCTATGTATCATCCAACACAACCATCTATGTACACACACACACACACACACACACACTCAAACACCTCACCTACAGCAAGAAGATTTGTGTGATACCAGAAGTCTTCCCGCTGTGGGTGGAGGGGGTTCGCGGCTCTGAACATCATGGTCACGTTGGGGTTAGTTGGGTCGTACTGCAGAGATATGTTCCATGTGCAGCTGTTCTTAACCTCTGAGCGTGGGCACTCTTTGAGGGATGTACTGGGGAAGGTGATTATGTTACAGAGGGTGAAGGATTATGTGCGTTCGCTAGTTTAGGTTAATTTGGGTAGGTCAAATTAAATTACATTAAGTAAGGTTAGGTTAGATTAGGTTAAGTGAGGTAAAGGCTATGTTAAGTTGTGCTAACTGAGAAGTAGATAAACTGGGGTTTGTAAAGACACTGGAAAATTAGGTTAGGTAGATGCTCACCTGGAGATATTGGAGCTCAAGGAGGTAACGAGGTTAGGTTAGGTAGATGCTCACCTGGAGATACTGGAGCTCAAGGAGATGACAAGGTAGGGTTGGTAGTCTCTGGTCTGGGCAGGATTGTAAGGCATCGACCATTGACACTGCAACATCTGCCAGTTATAGTAACAACACCACCAGCTTGCCACGTCCAGCGGTTTGTCTGTAGACCAACACCTGTTAACTGTGTGTTTGAGGACCACACCAGTTAACTGTGTGTTTGTGGACCACACCTGTTAACTGTGTGTTTGAGGACCACACCTGTTAACTGTGTGTTTGTGGACCACACCAGTTAACTGTGTGTTTGTGGACCACACCTGTTAACTGTGTGTTTGTGGACCACACCTGTTAACTGTGTGTTTGTGGACCACACCTGTTAACTGTGTGTTTGTGGACCACACCTGTTAACTGTGTGCTTCTGGACCGCACCTGTTAACTGCGTGTTTATGGTCCACACCTGTTAACTGTGTGTTTGTGGACCACACCTGTTAACTGTGTGTTTGTGGACCACACCTGTTAATGGTGTTTGTGGACCACACCTGGTGAATGTGTGTGCTTGTGAACCACACCTGGTGAATGTGTTTGTGGTCCACACCTGGTGACTGTGTGTTTGTGGACCACACATGCCCGCGTGTTATATGGACTAAAAATGAAGTGTGTGTGTGTGTGTGTATATATATATATATGCAAAGAAACCGTGCTGTAATTACTAAACGTGGATCCCCAGTGTACGAGGCTGCCGAGACAACCCACTCAGGAGTCATCAGGGAGGTCGCCAGGTGACACTTCAAGTGGTGTGTGGAAACTCTTCAGAGAGGAGTTTAAATGATATAACCAACTAATGAATGATACAACTAACACCTTAGTAAACTTTACCATAACATGATATCATATCCAAGAAGATCCATAATAATTTCATAGTCTTTTATTTTATGTATATAAAGAGAGGGAGACAAGGATACGATATACACTGTTAATACCCATGTATCACTTCCTAGATAAGAAAATAAGGAAAAAATACATTGTTGGGTGACAGGTACATCATGTGACTTAAAGTGTTAATGTATATAATAACATAATGGAAGTGAGTATCAGTGAAACATGTGACATTATACAAAATATTGCAGGCTTTATACAACATAAGAATGAGAGGGTAACACTACAAACAGAAGAAATTACTAAGAGAGTGAGAGAGAGGAATATCTTACAGCCTACTCTGACTAGCTCGTTGAAGCTGTCAGAATCGCCTTGTTCGTTGCTGCAGTAGATAAAGTACCTCCCTGCCTGAGATGCCTTCAGGTAGATCTCCACCTTATCACCCACTACCTGTGGGACATACCCTATGTTGTGATACTGTCTCACACACAAAATACACATGCACACAGATACAGTACTGTACATATACGAGTACAGGTATATCTACTATTAGACATACTTATATTAAAAAAAACTAACTAACAGGAAGTAATATCTATAATCAACAGAACCAAGTGTAGTGCAGTGACCAGCCTTCACTCTAGTTCAGTGGTTCCCAAACGTTTTAACATGACGCCCCTTTTGCTTTTTGCGAAGTCCTCACCCCCCCCCCGCCTTATATTTTTGTATGTAAAATCTACATAGATTTTATTTTTTATTATAATAATATTTTAGTATTGTTGAGGATCAGATGACTCTCACACGAGTAGTGTGAGAGTCAGTATGGTATCCATGACATGTACAAGATACATAAGGAGAGAGATGAAATAGAAAACGGATAGGGGTGACTGCTATCCTTTGGTTTTGTACAGATGTGTGAAAGATTCAAACGGTGAGAGAGTTCCTCCTGAAAGAATTTCTTCATTATATTCTTTTTGAGCAAAAAATAACAAATTTTGGCAGATGGCTTCACACCTCCCTGTACCCACCTCACGCCCCCCAGTTTGGGAGCCACTGCTCTAATTCAAAGGGTGACAGTGGTGAAGATTACATACTGTACTGTTATAATGTTACACCACAAAGTTACATTAAAGTGTTCCCAGGTGGATTATCAACTTTCCATGTCTGGAACGTAAAGGGTGGCAGCGGTGGGATTTCGAACATTACCAGTGACCAGAACAATTAAATAAACATTACACAACTCATGTTACACCTTCATGTTCCAGTCATGGATAGTTGATATATAATCCACCTGGAAACACACACACCGCTCTCTTTTGAACATACATTGTTTTCTGATTCTGTATAACAGTGATTAGGTTTCTGAAGCATAAATTTCTCTGGTGTTCTGAACCATCTTTTTCTAGAAAAGTCTATCTAAATCATTTATGTAAGCCCCTAACCTAACTTAAACAAACCTACAATAGCCTAAGTTACCATGATCTAACTCAACCTAACCAAACTTATGCCAGCCAAACCCAACCTAACCAAAGACCACTTAACCTAACCTAATCTAAATGGAAATGAACTACAATACTTATAGAACAGGAAACTAATTATCCTATCTTAATTTAATCTAACCTACAATGAATGAGGTGACATGTGTGTGAGAGAATCCTACCTTGTGTCGCTGGATGCTGACGTTGGAGCTGGAGGTGTTGGTGTTGACCAGGGTGAAGGTGACGTTAGTGTGGTGGTCCTGGAGGTCTTGGAGACAGAAGTCAGGTAGTGACGTTAATTGAACTACCTTAGTGCACCATTCCTCGCTCTCAGCCTCCACTACCGTTCCGTAATTGCTCGGGGCACACTCTAAAACAATGTGTGGTGAAAGCTGGCATGTAGGTAATGAATAGGGAGAGTGGACGCATGGTGTGCATAATATGTGAGAAAGATGGTGTACAGGAAGTGTATGTCAAAGAGAAAGAGAGACACTCCAAAGATAACAAAGGCCTCAACACACCCTCTGACACCCACTCTTGGTTTCAGACAACACATGCCAGGACTCACCACACCTGAGGATGAGATAAGTGTTTATGTTTACAATGAAGACTTCAGGACGGGGTATGGGGGAGAGGCAGAGGCAAGTGTCACAGGTAGGGAAAGGGATCTTTAGGAACTGTCATTACTAGAACAAAGACCCTTTGTAGTGCCCCACAACCCATAGAGAGATAAAAAAGAAAGAAAGGTATTTTTCAGTACTGAAGTCATGGTACTGTATTTGGAAATTAGGTAATAAATTTTAGAACTGGTCAAAATTTATGAAAAAAGTTTAGCAATTTTATGCAAATTGTTGTACAAGATTAGTTATAGTAAATTTATGTTGTTGAATTTTAAGACAGTATTAGTACAATGTTTTTGTTGAGAAAGTAATGGTAAAATATTTCAATTGAAAATTATCTTTCTTTAAAGTGTGACTTTTCTGTTGTTTGTTTAGAAATAATGAACAAATAAATTCTTCTTCAATGTCATTATCTTCAAGCAGTGCCAGGTGAGGGTTAGGAGTGACACAGTAACACAGGTGAGGGCCAGGGGTGATACAGATAAGGACTAGGAGTGACAGTGTGATTCAAGTGGGCACATGGATAAACAACGGTTCACTATCATGGATGAAGCCAGTTTAAGAATCTCTGTAAACAACCCATTTAACAGATTGACAAACACCAACTATAAGTTCCAGTGTGGTAGAGCGTGTAACATCAGTTTAAAGAGCACTCACCTACAGGTCTTGGAAAAGTTGTGGTTGTTGATGTGATGGAGGCATCACCGACAACGAGGCATGGCAAGTGGAGCGCCAACAGGGTGACACATGCCCAACTGGCCACCCACCACACACTCCAACGCCTGGTCATCCGACCGGCCGACCTCACCACCCACAATGTACTACAGGATGCCGCTTCACCTGCACCACATACACACACATTAATTAGTTGGCCAGAACCTTCAAAGTAACCCCAATCATCATCAGAATCAGAGGTTGGGATGTTTGTCAGTGTAGGAGGGCATTTGAAGATGTTTCATACTATGTTGGTGTATCGAAAAGCTGATAAATGAAATTGCAAACAGGTACACAGTGTTGTTATTATCGACCCGCAATACAACCATCAAAAGCAGTATTGCTTACACAATACATCAGTTGATGAGGACGTCTATAATGCTACATTGAGCTAAGGTATAAAGATACAAGGTATGCTCACGGAGAGAAGAAAATGAGTCAACTCATGCGCATGACATCACATGGAGGCTCGACTACTTGCCCAGGTCGTGCACAAGGCCACGGGTCATTGCTCTGACCAGATCAACCTGAGATTTTTTCTCAAATGGGCTGATGAAACATGCCTAACAACTGTACAGCATTCAGTTGTTTTTCATGATGCGAACAGCAAAAGCCAGGAACTTAGACAAAAGTGGACATGTCTCTGCAAGAGAGAACATCTGTTTAACTGCGGTCCGACTAATTACCCAAATGTAGCCGCAATGAAGTCAAATGATGGTCCTACAAGCGTAAATCGGGCTGTGAATCACTTCTCGATTATTATTTGGTGTCATAAAGTCACAAAAAATTGGTAAACTTAATTTAATCTGAGTTGTGTTAGGTTAGGTTAAGTTAGGTACATGCATGCGATCTATTAACTCACATTAAATTAAGTTTACCAATTTTTTGTGACTTCGTGACACCAAATACTAGTCGAGAAGTGATTGGCAGTCCGATTTATTCATGTAGGACCATTATTTGACTTCATTGCGACTACATTTGGGTACATTTGGGTAATTTGTCGGACCCGTTTAACTGCAACAATACCCGGATATGCAGTGCTCATTTTGAACCAAGTGACTTTAATAGAAACATCAAGTATGAACTACTTGGCCTTCCGACACTTCAGAACCAGAAAAACAAAATTAGGGATGATGCAATACCAACTCTCAACATGCCAACATCACAAGATAAGTTTCTATGACATCAATTATTGGCTGTTATATTATAAATTGTCATGTGGTAGGATATGTCGTAGTGACGGGTGTGTGTTGGAGTGATGTTATGTGGTAGGCTGGAGGATCCACCGGTAGCACATGCTTTCAAAGAGCAGCTCGCTGGTGAGCTGATAAACATAAACAACCCAACAACAGCCAAAATCCCCGTTCCAAATGGGGTTCCATCAAAGCTGTCATCACAAAAACCTGCAACAAGACACTCGGTCTGATCAGAAGAAAACACCAGGATTGGTTTGATGAAAACGACCCAGAAATTGAAGTACGGACTTGTCAATAGTAAACGTGCTGCTCTCACTGACTGGCAGAACAACCCAAAGTCTCGTACCAAAGCTGATGATGCCTTCCACGAAGAGAAAGCGGTGGTCCATCACGAACTTCACAAACTAATGAACGAATGGTGGAAAATTAAAGTGTAAAATGCAAAAAATTGCGGATCAACACAAGGTGCATGAATTTTTCAATTCCGCAAAAATAATATACTGTATGGCACAACTACTCCTGGCATGGCCCCTCCACTCATCCGATGGTAACTTCCTAATTAAAGATGAAGAAAGCATCCGTCAGCGCTGGAAAAAGCACTACAATTCGCTGCTCAACTGAAACACTGATGTGGGTGTCCTGACTACCCAGCAAGTTCCACAGCGCCCAGACCCTGAATGAGTTAGCTACTGCCATCAAACTGGTGAAAAATAACAAAGCCACAGAGCCTGATGGAATCCCAGCCGAGGTGTATAAAGCAGGAGGACCTCTGCTTACCAGCCATGTCCATTCTCTCCTGGAGAATATATGGGAGGAGGAGGAAATCTTCCAAGCTCTTAAGAACCTCCATCGTCAATATTTATAAGAATAAGGGAGACCGGTCACACTGTGGCAACTACAGTACTGTGGGACCTCACCTCTGTCTGCAGTTGGCAAGATTATCGCCTGAGTCCTCCCAAACAGACTCCTTCCAGAGGTGGAAAACTTCCTCCCAAAATCTCACTGTGGCTTTAGACCATCATGTGGCACCACTGACATGATCTTTGCTGCCCACCAGATACAGTTAAAGTGCAGAGAAGGCCCTTCAACTAGGTCAATAGGGAGGCCCTCTGGTAGACCCTTAGTCATTTTAGCTGCACACCAAAATTCATCGACATTGTTAGGAAACTCCACAATGGCATGAGTGTCGTGTCCTATACAATGGTACCAAGTCTAGGTTCTTCCCCATCCAAATGAGGGGTAAACAAGGATGTGTAGTGGCACCAACTCTTTTCCATTTTCTTAACTGCCTTCATACTAGTGCCAGTGCCAATTTAGCTGGCGGGGTGGACATCCAGTACCAGATGAAGTGACTTTTCAACATAAGACGACTCCAGTTGAAAGGTGTTGGCCGCTTCCATCACTGAACTTCAGTATGCAAACGACCTCATACTGAACGAGACCTACAGGAGATCCTGAACACTCGCAGATGCATATGCACACTTTGGCCTTGAGGTGAATGCACGTATGATTTAGATTCTCTTTCAGCTTGCCCCTGGTTCAACCATACCTCCATCATCCATCCACATTCAGCTTAACAGTACAGTACAGTATTGTACTACTCTCTCTACTGTAACCCACTTCCATTACCTTGGCTGCCACCTGTCCACCACCACAGACATCGATGAAGAAATTCAACATCTCATCAGATGTGCATCTCAAGCCTTTGGTAGACTCTGTACCCGTGTCTTCAACTGTAGGGAGCTGAAATTATCTACAAAGCTGCACGTGTACCGAGCAGTGGTCCTCCCCACTCTGCTGTATGGCAGCTAGACATGGGTCACATACAGGAAGTGCCTCAAGGCGCTTGAAAACTTTCACCAATGAAGTCTACGTTCCATCCACCGCATTCACTGGGAAGACAAGAGAACAAATGCCAGTACCTGTATTCTCACTGACTTCAACTGTAGAAGCATCAAAGCTACCGTTATCCATGAACAACTACATTGGACTGGCCATGTTATCTGCATGGATGACAGTACTGTAGACTACCAAAGCAGCTACTTTACAGTAACCTAATGAATGGTAAATGTAACGCTGGCAGACAACAGTAAGGGTATAGGGATAGTCTTAAGACAAACCTGAAAAGTGCTAAATCAATCCCCTCACCTGAGAGACAATCACTCCACACCGTAACACTTGGAAGAGCACCCCACAAGGTGTAAATACTTTCAGTTAGCCCGACTGCATACCAAGGAAGACAAGCTCCAGCGCCGAAAAGACGACTGCCACACCCCTCTCGCACTAGATGCAGCCCTCCACAGATGGAACATGTGGACGGCCCTGTCGATCTGTCAGCTTCGAGTCCTCAAAAGCTCTGCAAGGTATTATCATAATAATTCACATCACTGCATCACAGCAGGAGGATCGTCATACTTGCATGTATATATATATATATATATATATATATATATATATATATATATATATATATATATATATATATATATATATATATATGAGGGCTTCGAGTTAGCAGGAAGAGAACACAACATACTTCTTGAACAACTTTATACACAGGAGCAATGAGCAATAATGGCTCACCAGGATCATAATAGAACTGAAAGATATATGTGCTGTATTTTCATGCAGCAGGGTTCATGGAAAACCACTGCCAAAGTGATGGAGTACTAAACAGTGCTCAAAATTATTTTGCATAAGTTTGTCCATAAATATCTGTTCTTTACTGAAATTTGCTTATCTTACTTGTTCTTGAATATATTGACGGCATTCAAACAGTACCTTTTGTCATTATGACAATACAGAGTGCGTGAACAGTTAGACATCAGTGTAGAGTCTGGTTAGTACTTGAATGCTGCTGGCATAAGGACTCTACTGGAAACATGTCTCTCATGGCTTTGTCAGCTGTCCTTGGTCAAATTGACTAAATCATTTATTATTATTATTATTATTATAATATACAGTAGAGTATATAGAGAATTGGAAACATTACCTTGGGTTAGGAGGTTGTGTCAATATGAACGTCATTTCCGCAGGCGAGGATTTACTTGGGTCTTCATACCTGGATCTCTACCCTTTTACCATTCCTTAGTTACTTAGTTCACCTAATGAAAGCAGGTTTCAGTAAGACAACAAGAGGTGTGAACGTTAGGGGTTATGTTCTGATAAAGAATGGTGTTGATGTGAGGTGTGAGCTCCACCTGGTAATCCTTTGATTATACCTGATAAGCAGTGGCTTATAGTTCTTATCTCCAAATGACCATGCTCTCGCACCACAACGCTTAGTTAAGAAACTTACTTCACAAACATCATGGAGGTGTTGATGAATAATGTTTAGTCTTCATCAATCACAAACTTTTTCTTGGTGTAAATTAGATACAGGTACATCTAAGATGCTATAACGAAGGATGAAGCAAAAACACGACCTCTTCTCAGTAATAAACAAATTGTTTAGAGAAAAGTTAGTTACGTTGCTACCTACATCACTGTATGGTGTTTCTGAAAAATATTAATCAAGTTCTTGTACGTTACAGTGAAAGACAAACGAAAATAAATATAGTTCTTGGACTTTATGGCTTAAGAATGAAAATAAACAGAGTCTTTACCTAATAGCATAAGAAAAGAAAAAATAAAGGGTATTATACTCATTGCAGAAGGAAGGACAAAGAGATTAACTGAACAGAATGAAAATAAAAACATTCGCTTTGACAACTTTAATCACACTGGTGACATTTCACTTATCAGTTCATCGGACCTTACTGAATAATTAAAATAAGCTGTCATCTAGTCATCATCCTGTGCCAGACAGGCACATGCACAGGTGAGACTCAAGGGGACGAGCCCCTGCCCCTTTGCCCTGCCAGTTACAAAGTGCCCTCTCCGATGGGTTTTTTTTCAGTCATCATCGACAAGAGAATGGGGTATCCACTAGCTGTAGGTTATGTATATAAGCTACTGTGCCGAGTAACAACTCTGTATATAAGCTACTGTGCCGATAGCAACCCTGTATATAAGCTACTGTGCCGAGTAGCATTTATATATATCATCACGTGGCAACACTGCCCCGAGGCTGCCATATGGCCAGCCTTAGTCTGACTGTGTGAGCCGTGTGCATGGCACACGCGAGTCACCACTTCAGTGTTACACAGTGTTTCCCTACCCATCACTGCATTCTTCAGGGAACGCTAGTAACAACCACTAGCCATGAAAAAAAAAGAGGCAGATCAGCCCCAAATAGATCAGATTTCAAAAATTTTCCCCGGGGGTTTACAGTGCTTTCCCTGGCTGTAAAGGCTCGACCATCACCTCCTCCCTCAGGGAGCGCCATTCCCCATGTGACAGATCCTGTGCATGGCCCTGTTGCCAGGTAACAAACAAACACTGGACAATTACACCACCTGCCTGTAGTTACACACCCTATCTTTAGTTATACCACCTGTCTGTAGCTATGCCACTTGAATTGAATTGAATTGAATTGAAACAGTTTATTTAGTATGATAGTTATTTTATCCTCTTCTTAACCACCATCACTCTCTTCACCACACCACCATCCCCTCCCTTTACCTCACCATCCCCCTCACTTAACCACACCATCTTCCTCTTAACTACCCCCATCCCCCCCTCGGTTTTCCTGCCCCTTCACCACCTTTCCTCCCACCCTACTTCACAGACTCCTTATCCACCCGATCCTGCCTCTCTCCCTTTTTTTACAGCTAAACTTCTCTCCCTCACCCTGCCTTTACCATGACAGATTAATCCCATACAAACAATATATTGTACAGTATATTCGGTTCAATTCATTAGCAGAATTGTGTTCTGTAGGGCTTTATTATGCTTCATGATCATAAAGGTAATTATATAAAAACATTATTAAAAATTATAAACTAACTAACTCTACACACACATAGCCTGACTTGGTCTAGTATACACGTCACCACCCTTCTCTTAAGCTCCTCTACGGTTGTGTTGGTGTGGGGATTAGTGGATGTCATCATTATGACCTGACCTCATGTTTTTAGGTCACCCTGTATATTTAAGCCTCTCTCTGTCCATGTAATCCAGTTGCCTCTGAAGATAATTCTTGAATAAAGACGAAAAGCTAAGAGTACTCAGTTGTTTCCATTTTCGATGTGATTTTATCATGATATATATATATATATATATATATATATATATATATATATATATATATATATATATATATATATAATATAAAGAATGGCACCGAGATAATGGGCTATTTTGGAATCCTGACAGTTCTCTACAGGAAAGTATTACCAAATAATTTGACCCACATGACATTTCCTTCAGAGGGAAGAAGAATTGAAGAATATTACTACAAAAAAATTTATTATCATTAAAGTGCACCCTCACCACAGAAGCCATATCACCAAACTTATTCTATATATGGTATTGTACTATTCCAAATAGAAACATACTTAAAAGAAAATATATGAAAAATATCTAACAAAAATTTTTACAAATAAAATTACAATAAATATTCCTTGGGTTACAAATCGAGAAACAGATAAAGGAGAATGAATAAATATAAAATTTTTCCACTTTTTGGTTTAGTGTGGTATTGAAACAGTCCTATATTACTCCTCTGTATAAGGTACTGTATACTCCCGATAAAATAAATATTCCAAAGGCCACATTGTCTAATCTTCAATGAAATCATAAATTATTCATTTTATCTTTATTTAAATATTATCTTCGTACATGACTACATTTTTTCTACAGTTTCTATACCGAGAATAGCAAAGCACTTCTCCATTACTTGAGCAGCTGCCTCACACAGCATCAGGCGCCCAATATTTATTTTAACAATCTTCCCTGTATCGTCCTTCTCGATACAGTAGCAGTTATCGTAAAACTCAGTAAATACTGTTGAAACCTGTGGAAAGAAAACAAATTTAATCTTTACATAAAAAAAAGATTAGTCCATGATACTGCCATTTCAAGCCTGAGTTAGGCCATGAAGAATTAGGTTTAATCATCCAAGGTCTACAGGCTGTAATCCAAGCTAACCCTCAAAACTGATGGTTAACATTAATCCAGGCTAACCCTCAAAACTGATGGTTAACATTAATCCAGGCTAACCCTCAAAACTGATGGTTAACATTAATTTAAACAATTATTATAACTCTTCCATCTTAACTCCCACCTTTAAAAAGCATCAGAGAAGTAAAATTTACCATTTAAGGCTAGAGAGCTAATCAAGTCTGAGAGTTATAGTAGCTTCCATGTGCTTATTACCAATGCTGTCTGCTAATTATTAAAGTCAGTGTCACTAACATATTATTTCAAAAGTTAGCTCCTCTATCACCAAGACTTGTTGTAAAGCAAATTTTTCTGAAACAACCTCAATGTTATGTTCTCTGCAATTTACTTACAGGAGTAGAGCTTGTTTAATATACACTATTTTTTCTTAAAAAAAAAAAAAATTAATAAATAAAAAAAAAAAAATATATATATATATATACAGTATACAGTTTTAAATGTTTCTTTACAAGACTAGTTGGTTTATTTTCCAAGCTCTAATATTAAGACTGGTTGTCTAAGAAACATTGTAATATGACAATCAGCAAAGGTGTGAAGGACTCACCTCATAAAGGTATTCACACAGTGGGTGGAGATACAAATCCTCTGTAATTCGAACGAGAACATCAGGAAGTCTAAGGATAGTACGAGATAACTTCCATTCCTTCTCATGGTCCAGATCAATGGGCTTCTTCCTTGCTTCAGCCACAATGCTCTCTCGGTTCACACCAGCTGTTTAAGATGGTAAGAGTTATCAAAATATTCAATGAATATTTATTGTATTACAAATTATAAAAGTTCATGTACAGAACACTTTTAACATATGAGGAAAATTTTTATAAAATTGTAAATGCGACACAAAAATAAATAAAAAACTCAACTTTTTACAATTATGAAAACTTACAATCAAGAACATGCAAGTGAAAGAGAGATTGTGACAAATATGTAAAAAAAAAATATTGATAACCAAACTCTGCCAAAATAACATTGATATATAGTTGAATAGGTGTACTACATTCTCCGGTTGAATGTAGAAGAGAGTTTCAACTGAGCGGCCAAGAATAATTTCTAAATATAGTGATGTTACTTCTAATTCTACTGACGATGATGATGTAGCTCCAGGTTGCCTGTTGGTGAAATTTATGGCTTACAGATAACTGGCAACTTTGACCTAGTTCATGTAGAAGGAATATCTTTGAGGACTAAGGAAACTCAGGATGTTATGAGATGGGAAGTGATATGAGGAGAGGAGTTGCAGAATTATTTCTTTAAACATTTGTTACTATCATGAGGTTTGATGGCAAAGAGAGGTACAGCATTATGAAAAGTACACCATAACAGGGGTAGGCAACTATTTTGGCTGGCAGACCACATCACCATAACAGGGGTAGGCAACTATTTTGGCTGGCAGACCACATCACCATAACAGGGGAAGGCAACTATTTTGGCTGGCAGACCACCTCACCATAACAGGGGAAGGCAACTATTTTGGCTGGCAGACCACATCACCAGCTTAGGTAAACTTCACAGGCCACACTCTCTTTGAGCTCTATTACACTTTCTTTGTATTTTAGGCACAGCTTTTCCACCGACAATAGTAAACAGAATATTTAGTAAACAGAATATGGGTAATGCAAAATATAAAATTGGCAAACTGGCACACAAAATATACAGGCATGGAACATGGATAAATCACTGAAGTATCATTCTGTTTACTAAGAGCCACAGAGGAGAATGCTATTCTTCTAATTAAAAGTAACCATAAGGCGGAGAAAAACAATTTGTCTCAGAGAAAGGATTAGCCACATGTGATCAAATCATTCTCTCTCAGTCTCTCGCTGACATAACAGTTAAGAAAATCATCTCATACACAACCTTGAGAAAAATAATCACCTGTCCTGGCAATGGAACGTATCCTTGTAAGAGCATAAAGCAGGTAGGCTGCGGTGTTGCCTCTGAAGTCCAACATCCGGTCAAAAGAGAATATGTAGTCTCGTGACCTGAAAATGAAAAGCAAATCAATGAGTATAACATTCATAATGTAATACAGTAAAAACTCTGAGTACCAGGCACCAGTGAGCAATGATACTTCCAAATAATGACATGAAATTTTGGAGGGGAAAAAAAATAAAAAATTCGAAAAATATCTAGCGTATTCCAGCAGGTTATTGTTATTGTTGCAGTGTGAAGCGGTGGGGACCACATGGTCCTGCCAGCCCAGCTCGCATGACAACAACACACCCGCTGCACTCATCTACGTGTGGCTATTACTCAATGACAAAGTTCCTGTTCTCTCGTGACAAATAACGCACATTGTGAGAACAATGCCCAAGCAAGTATGTTCAGGTAAGGCCCCAAAGAGCAGAAAGCACCTTATCATGAAGGATGAACTTGAACTGCTAGCTATGGTTGACAATAAAAATGTGTTCCCTAGATAATGCCAAAATTTGGAACTGAATTCACTGAAAGTATATAATTAGTGTGATCCACTTCATCTCCACTTACAGTGGGTCCCAAACACACCTGCATAATCTTCACGACATAACCCACGTCACTGACTTCCCAGGCAGCTGTGGCCTTGAAATATCTATAATGTTGCCACTGATTCATGCACTCGAATGTGACTTAGAAATAAGGGAAATATAATAAAAAAAAATCTAAAAAAAAAAAGTAAGAGCATTAGTGTACACAGTATTTTAGTGTGGGAGGTGAATGTGTGTATGGATGTGTCACACTCGCAGCTCTCCCCAATGTAATGTCACAACATACATGACACAGCAGCCACATGTCTCTCAAGTCAGCTTGCAGGCTGAACTTGTCCACTCCAGCATCACCTGCAGGATGGGTCAAGGGTGGAAGGGCGTTTTTTTTTTTTTACATAAAATACAGCAAATACCCCAAGTAACAGACACCTGAGTAATGACACTAATCTTGGAAAAAAGATATTAAAAAATTCGAAAATTTATCTTCATATCTTGCAGGTCATTGTTATTGTTATCAAGTGGTCCCTGCAGCATCACAGAATAACGAAGGATTGAAACCTATTCCGTTTTATTCATTGTTAAATCAACCTATAATTTGACCCTAGCTCTTGATAATTGCCAGGTATAATCCTAGGCATAATTTGTAGCAAGCCAGCACTAACAAGTCTTGGCCATGACCACCACCACAACAGCTGATGCTATGAACAGTGTTACCAACTCTGAAACTGAATTTCCTTCAGTTACCAACTCCTGTGAGAAATAAGATAATATAATATATGGTGAACCCTTGCCCAACACTGGTTTGTCCAATGCAATTTTGACTATATGTGTTTAAATATATGTGACCAAATGATTTGCCCAACACAGAAAATTTGAATATAAGCAGGTTAAGAACATGTTGCCTCTGCCTTCCTCCCCCTTCCTCCACTCTGTTTCAACCACGCGCCAGTTGGAGATGACCGCCAGTCTCGCTTATGTGCTAGTAATATCAACAATGTACTTAAGAGGTTGTGGAACTTTTTGTGTTGCTTTGTGTGTTTTCCCTTGCAGTATGGCCCTAAACACAAAGGTGATGGTAGCACACCCAAGAAAAGTAGAAAAGTAATGACATTAGCTAAGAAAATAAAGATTTTAGATCGACTACATGTTGCAGCGTGTGTAGCAACGCTTGCCTGTGAGAACTCTGTCACCATATGCACAATTCGTTGTTGTGAGGATAAAATACATGCTTAAAAAATACAAATCATTCCATTTTCATCATCATCGAAGTCTTCTTCATCAATCTCCATCATCAGAAGGTTTCACAACATCTACAATATCACCGTTATCATAGTTACATTACAATCATCTAACCATGGATCAGTGAGTACAGTAATATGATTTTATAATGCTTATTATTAATATTTTTAATTTTTTTTTTATGGTATGTTAGTTCTATTATTATCATATTTGTACATTATGTAAATGTTTAAAAGGTATGCATTTCATGTGATGAGAGTCCATGCGCGGCCACGAACCCGCCACTCTATTTTTCCTGCAAGAAGTTAAGTTTGCCCAACGCGATTTTCCCTAACACACAGTTTCGAGAAACCTAACCCCCGAATGGGTGAGGGTTTACTGTATACCAATAAATGTGACACATAAATAAAATCAATACCAACAAATTAAAAAAATACTATTCTGCCAAATGTCAATTGCTTCACTATACACAGGAGCAGCTCAGTACACTGAGATCACTCACTCCCCTCTTCCCCAGTCTGTGAACTCTTAACACATGAAGTTTATTCCCTTTATAAGTTTTTACCTTATGATTTATTTTAATTTTTTTCATATTCTATATGTATGATTGTGGGTGCATGTAAAATAGCAAAAAAAGTATATACAGTATACCCAAAATTACAAATTTAAAAATAGCCACAACATAGCTGACAGCTTGGCCTGGGGTGGTAAAGAGAAGGCTAGGGAGATGTGGCAATAGTAAAGTCTAGTGTTACTATTACATATACAAAACTAATATAAAATACCCCCCCCCCAAAAAAAGTAAAGAGTATTCGGATGTAAAGTAACTTTACATGGCCTACATGGTAGGTCAAATTAAGGCTGGAACAAGCTTACAACTCCCTTTTCCACCATTCATAAGCCATACCACCTACCTTTCTTATGTTATTAAAAATTGTGCTACTTCAAACAACACATTTGTACAATCTACATGAAAAAATACAGTTAAAACCAAAAAGGAAAAGCTAAATGAAAGTTAAACAACTGCCATTTGCATAGATGCTTCCTTTGCCTACCCCCTAGCAACGGAGCTCCCCATACTCAGCTCCCTCCTCCCTCTCCACCCGCCCATGTATGCAAAAATGTTCATTCCCTAATTTTTTTTCCTTATAATAATTTCTTTACTCCTCCCCCTTTTTGGAGGGGGGTAAAATATGTATATAGGATTGTGTGTGCATGTAAATGATTAAAAAAGATGAAAAACTTTATGTATACAATATCCACCCAAAATTATGAGGAGAAAAATACCTGATTTTCATTAAATCAGGTACTTGTAGATTTAAAGTGGCAACATAGAGAAAAGAATCTTGGGGTATAGTAAGCAAGTCCAGATAAGCTGGTTCATCAGTGCTACCTCAAATTTATAGAGGCTGCAGATGAAGATGGAGTGTTCCTATCTTTAGTTTTCTTGTTTTACTTGTTTTCTGAAGTATAGCACAGTGGTTTAAATAAACAAGCTTGTTAATGCACGCGTCAACTAATCCACTGTTTCAGTTATATAACTAATTTGAATGCAATGTCTTTGTTCATCTTGAATTCTGATATCTCTGGAAATTAATTTTAGTAAACCTATGGTTACAATCCATTTCATTCTCCCATACACCAACATACAATTAAACCAGTGAACATAATTAACTGGAGATCAGAAGCAAGTAACTATCAGATATATACAACTACACATGGTCATGTTGGGGTAAGGTTATAGATAACTGCAACTTTTATTTTTTTGCAACTCTGATTATGTTCTTTGCCTTACTGATCTGAAAAACATTATCACTCATCAGGGGCCAAAGGGAGAAATTTTAAGCCCTGGTGCTAACTTTGACTCCTGGCCCCTTATTCCTTTCCTTTACTTCACCAATCAGATCCATCTCTATTCATTTTCTCCTTGTCAGTATATTTTAGTCATGCTCCATGTATTTAAAATCTTTGCCTTTTTTACCTTTCACTGTTCATGTCAACACCAATGTAACCAACATTATTTGTCTATGTGCTGCTGATGGGACACCAGTATGCTCATGCATAGTTGCCATACAATGCTTATGATATCTACTGCATTTTGTGGTAAAGTTAAATAAATTTATTAGTCCGACAGACAATTCCTGCGATCTTTTAGTCACTAAGCCCAAGGGTTTTAGCCAGGTTTCCCCTTGGGCCTCGGCTATAGAGTTGTGATGTGTCCAGCACCCACCTCTGACAAGGGCTGTCTTTCTTAAGTGGGGATAAATCTTTGTATTAAGCTTAATTAAAATTCACCCATCAACAGTAAGAGGCATGGAAAGATAAGGTGAACCTTACATACTATGACAACTATTCACTGGTGGCACAAAAAAGAGTAAACCACACTCTACAGTAAAAAAACTATGCTACACTTAACTGTCATGGCAGAGGTCAGCATATTTGATACAACCATAAGCAACAGCATTTCGTGCTTTAGTAAACTCCTCTTCAGACAGGACTTTGTGCCGGTCTTTTTCTTTTAACTTCTCCTCAGATCGCTGCAGGCCCTCATCAAGCAATTCCACCAATCTTACTGTATCACCTAAAGATATAAAAAGTCCCAGTAGGTATAAAAATAAAAATAAGACAGTACAGTATTCATTACAAGTGATTATGAAGAATAATAACATACAAAGCACTTAACTCTTAAACTACGACCAACATCTACAGAGTTAACATACCGTAGGCAAATGCGGCCAGGTCAAAAAGAGACCCATTTCTCACCGAGACATTTAAATGCGTACAGTATGGTGTTTCCACATTTCATGGTTTGAAAACTGAAATTTTCCAGGTAGATATACTCATATTATACTAAGCCCAGTTAAATTCAGCTGTTCCATCAGCACTATGCAACAGAGAAAAAATTATTTCCTTGCTGGCCTGGCACAGCTTTATACAAGTTTAGTTGTACTTTCCTAACACTTAGTGCAGTCATGATAATAATTGTTCCCTACAGACCATTTGGACACCACAACCTAAAGATACATTTAAACCATAATTACCTTTACACTTAGGCAATCACGGCCTATTTGAATAAAAAGGGCAGGCCTGGTTAGATTATTTAGGTATTTATCTTTCACTCACTCAAGCATGAGAACCTCCCAGTCTCTTCTCAGTAGCTCTTTGAGAAATAAAATTAAGGACAGGCATCATATACAAGCACTACAGCCATATAACAGACCTTCCTCTTCATATAATCCATTAGATGACGGGTTTCATATATAACACCCCTGATTTAATGGCCTTTCTTCTCCATGAAGTCTGTCAAATAGAGGTTTCAAATGTAATCCAATTCATTCAAATATATACTCATACCGGGTACAGATTGTGAGCATACATACTGAACAGCTCACCTGATCTAGTCTTGAACTTCTTTTTGTCTTCTCCGAGCACTACACCAAAGACAACATGATCTACACGTGTCTTTGAAAGATCATAGATTCCTGCCTTTTTAGCACAAGCAAGGAAGCTCTGAAAATACACGAGTAAAAAATGATATAACTGGCACTTAAATCTTAAAGAATAAGAATTTTTCCTAAGTATAAATAAGAAATGAACTCAATAAGTTAATCATTATTACATATAATCTGCTATTTTCTCTTAAAACAGAAATGAAGGATTAATCATGAAATTTTATCTCCTAGCTTACAACTAGCAAGTACTATACAGTATGTAGTCAGCAAGTGAAGCAGATTTCTGATAGGTGCGATGTTATAAATATGAAATGAAGTTAGCAGGATAGGTAGCAAGTACTGTAAAGGGTAATGTACGTGGCCCTGTGAACAAAATGTAAATATAACAACTGAAGGAGACAATTAATGTAAGACATGCAGAAGATACACAATTAGAATAAATGTGAATCATAAAGACAAAGTACAGTAGTGCAATACAGAATTAAGAAGAAATACATGAAGAAAGGGGAGTGGTCAAGGGTCTGTATGGCCCATCCTGCAAATACAGTGGGAGAAGGCATGAAATATATAGAGGGATGGACAGTAAAGAGAGTTCTGACTGATTGAGGGGATTACAAATTGTAATAAAATAAAACTTGAGATAATTTCACTAAATCCAAATGCCTAAAAAGATTGTGAATGTTGAGATATTCAGGAAATGTTATATTTACCTTGAAATGTTGTGATTGACCAGCATCTGTAACATAAATAAGCCAGTCACCCTTTTCTTCTTCTATTCTATTTTTAATGCAGGCCATATCTGAGGTGTCATATGTGAATCCACCATCCGATTTCACAACTGTCAGAGGAATATCTGCACCTTCAGCAAACATGACCTGAAACACAATTTCATAACTGATAAATTTAATATCCTCTACTCCAAGTTTCCAACCAAAAAACGAGTCAACAAATACACTGTAGATAACTTTTCAATTTTAATTTTTCTGCCTTTCAAGCTTTTTTTCCTTATAATCCAGGGGAGGTCAGAATCATGAGAAAATACACATAACGAGTACTGTACTGTACACATTTTCCCTTTAATTGATGTTAATCATTAATTTTTTCTTACTGTTGTAATTGGTGTGTTCTGGCATGTTACTCCTCTTCTAAGAAAAAGCCCCAAATTTGGTTTGTTCATGTAGCTTTACACAAGTCAATATCACCCAAGAGTAACAGGTCCTTTCCTCAAAATTACTTGACATCATGGTCTCCACTCATTCATACACACTGCTGATTGCTGGATGTTTATCCCCACACTTGTAGCAACTTCTTCACCCTATCCTTCTGACTCCATTCTGGTCTTCCTCTCTCCCAGTACCAATAAGATTATGAATTTCACTTAAATCAATCAATATTTGTTTACTCACAAATAAAATAAAACAATTCAAATGAGCAGTAAATGAAACACATATATGAAGACACAATAACCAAAGGAAGATGGAGACAAGGATAAATTTGACTGGTTAATGTTAACAAAAATACAGGTTAAAAGACAAGGAATATACCACACTCACTCCTCCACCGAATAAACAAATTAAAACTGGATCATAAAATTATATCACGTTAAAATAAATGAAATACAAGATAAACCCAGTTCTCAACTAGTCAAAGTAAGTTACAAAATCCTTTTTTTTTTTTAATTTCAGTTTTAAATAAGTATATTTTCAATTTCATCTATCGATCAAATTTTTAATCTCAATATCCATTTTCCATAGTACAGTATGTACAGTAGTTGCATGCAGAGGGGTTGGGGGGGGTTAAAAGCCAATTTTCAGGGCACTTTACACAATATTACTGAAAGTAAGTAAACATAAGTCAAGCGAACAAATGTAATAAACACCGACTCACCAGAATTTAGTCAAGTACCACAAGAACCAGGGGGGGGAGGGGGCAGGCCCCTGTCCTGTCTGAAGGTTGAAAGATTTTTTTCTGTTTAAGAACTCCAGAAGTTCCATTTAAGAACCAGAAAAATCTCAAGTCCAAATACTTCTCTCCCTGGTGAACATTGGCCTTCAACCCTTAAAGGGCGGATACATTTACCTGCACTGTCCGCCCAGGACGGGATATACTGTATTTTGATAGGTAGAAAATGGAGCAAATTGCGTAACACAATGTTGTTCAAATACTGTACATGCAGAATGCACCCTAAATGAGATTTTTCAAATTTTCTGCAACATTAGAAAGCCGAATCTTTTTATATTCAAATTCATATTTAGTCAATAAATACAAAAAATAATAATTTCTTGGAGAAATCATGAATTGAACTGGGAGTACTGTACATGTTTTTCCAGCTAAACATCATACAGTACGGTGTCTGCTGCCCCTTTAAGGTTTGAGGGGCATAATGTAATACTCACCTCCATTTTGTGTCAATCTTTCCCCATAACTTGTTCCAAATGCTGCCAATGACCATGTTGGCCGTTAAAGATCATAATACTTTCCCTATAAAATGGAGTGGTCAAATCAAAACCCAAGGTGAGCAAAGATGTTCTCACACTTAACAATCATCATGAGGCCAAAATCTCCTGAGAGTTCTCATTTTTCAAGCATGCATCCTACCATATCCAACATGTCTCTGACTGGCTATGCTCTGACAGTTCCCAAATTAAGGGCACTGGCTGGTGACATTATACTCGTTACAAAATTTTACTCTGGTCAAGATACCCTGGACTACACTACATCCCTCCTACCCTCCACTTAGGAATCAATGCACTGTTTTTATAACTCTTACACTTCCCATTTTCATAACATGTAGATACTACCTAAGAAGGACTTAATCCACTCTCTACCTGACATTTCTTTCACTTACACTCCTCTTATTTGTTTCTGTATACAGTATTTCATTCTCTTACTCCTATTTATCTGACAAATTGCTCTTATGCAAGTCACTCTGTTGCATTTAATTCCCTCCTTTTTACAACCATAGTATGTGCTTTGTCCTAACATATTAACAATGGCTCAATGTACTACCTGCATATCACCATTCTTCCCTCCTTTGACCCAGTTCCCTCTCTCCATAACATTTCTCATTCCACCTATCACTTTCTTGGCTTGTGCTACTCTGTGGTTCAATTCATAATTCACTGTCCCATTTCTTGACACATCCACTCCAATATAAATTAATCACTCCATTTCCTCTATTCTTACTCCAGTCAAATTGGGATTTATTTATCCTTGCCTCTCTTCTATACTTATCATCACTATACTGTACAGTGGTCCCTCGGTTAACGAACGGTTCGAATAACAAAATTTCGGTTAATGAATTACCTCCTATAAGGATCTTCAATTCGGTTAACGAACAAAACTTCGATTAACGAAATCCTTACGAACATCATGTTTTGTTGTGAGCATCAGCTGATGGGCTAGTCTGCTAATTCAGTAATGTGTTCTATGTTTACATTCGTTTCCAGTGGAGTAAATATCAAGAAAGTTGTGCTATTTAATATTTTTGCATTTTTTATATTAAAATTATTAAGTCATTTTAACATTTATTTAACATATTGATAATATATGCAGTACAGGGAACTAGTTTTTTGTGCACCTATCAAACGCTTGACTCAGCCACCAGGCGTCAGTTGGGCTTTGTTGACAGTGGTGTGAACATCTATTTTGTTGGCGTCTTGAATATTTTTGCATTTTTACATTGAAATTATTGGTCATTTTGAAATTTAGTTAACATATTGATAATATATAGTGCAGTGCAGTGTTGATTTAAATAAAATAACCTTGAATTACACCTAATAAACTTAAAATTTTATTGGTGAAATGATGGCATCAAGCATGGGTCCCCTGAAAGGTGATTTCTCCTCCATCCCCACTTCCTTCTCTTCTCCCTTCTCCTCCACCCCCACTTCTAATTCTCATCCTCAACCAGGAACCTTCTACATACACACCTCAAAGTAAGTGTACCTTACTGCATTTTTTTTTACTTTGTAAGTACTTTTCTGTGAGCTGGAACCAATTACCCAATATCCCATTGAAACAATGGATTCGGTTAAGGAACGACCCTCTGGAACGAATTGTGTTCGTTAACCGAGGGACCACTGTACTTGTATTCACATTAACAATCAACTTTTTCCTAGTAAAAAAGTACATCACTTTACTGGGCTAATTATTGCAATGAACAGTCAGAAACAGCATGGATTCCAGTAAAATGAAGCTTTTGTCACTCCACCACCTCTAATTACTGTACAGTCTAACCATGCATACCTGAGCTATTGTTGGTTAAACTGATTACTGTCTGCCAGTGTTTGTATGCCTTCACTGTTTGTGTACAAGCTCAACCACTGTCAACTTGTACAATAATTTTTACTGATCATACTGCATACAGTAGTGTATATTGGCTTACAGTGCAGTACTGTATCTATCAATCATAATTAACTATTGCACATGGCTGACACTTGTTGTAAATGTAAAAAGTCTCCTTAAAGAACATTCTGTAATTTTTATCAAATACATCCTCAATAATAATTATGCAGTGAAAGTGGAACTGATTATTAGTGAAACAGCGAATTGCAATATATTGTTCTACATACAGTATTTGAATAGGAAATACTGGATATGGTAAGGTACAACAGAAAAAATCGAAGAACATTCCCCCACATAAAAACATTTTACTCAAAATTACCTCTAATATTTACATAATGTAAAATATGAACACACTTAAACTGGTGAACAAGCATACTGTACAATAGGAATGTTGTCATGGGAAGAAAAAAAAAGACAAAGGAAAAGTGTCAATTTTAACATGAAAATGGATGAGTTAAGGCATTTCCCCAAAAAGGGGAACAAGCTGTATATATCGCTAGAGCCCTAGGCTCAACAATAATATATATATTTTTTTATTTTCTCTCCCTTTTTTTTTAATCATAAAAAAAAATCTATTAACTTTACCGCTTTCACCCATAGCTGAAGATAATTTACATAGTATTTGTTAGGAAATGGTGTTAGTGAAACTTAAAACCCATTGTAACAAAAACACAATATGTTATCTTTATCCAAGAAAAAAATTAATACAAGTAAGCATAAAAGAGAAACCTAAAAAGGTTTTACTATTTATGGTATACTGCATACAGTTCTTAATGTAATGAAAGGGTAAGCTATGTAGGGCTCTCACACCAATTTCCAAGCTTAAAACCGGTACAGTATTTCAAGACACATGTCAAGAAAAAATTATCAACCAACCTTACGACCATCATCCTGCTCTAAGAAGCCAGCATCATCCAGTTGCTTTACTAGAGTTTCCATACGGCTCTGGTAGTATGACTCTCCTCGATGGATAATCCGGATTCCAAGACGTTCATAAACCTAAATTTTAAAAATACATTAAACAAATGAGTTTTTTAATTTCAAGGTTAATTATAGAATAAGCAAACAAAACCTCTTACTAAAATATTCTGAATTATGGAATTATGGAAGAGTAGGTCATTGGCATTGCATTTGCCCATTCCATTTCTTTCAATGGTTGCCATCTTTATCAATTCTGGCATTAAAGTCAACAAGAAGTACAACCTTGTCTTCTTTGGGTAAAGAGGTTAGCAATACTGTATAATGAGGTAAAAGGTCTCCTTGATGTCATAATTTGCATCCAGTGTTAGGCCATATGCACTTAGAAAAGACACATCGCATGTTGTTCATAAGGATGCAGTGTGTCATGAGGTATTCACTGAGCCTAACAGGCATTTTAGTTCATCAGTACTGTACAAGGTGTAGCAAATGGCAAAATTGTCTTCATAAATGTGAATACATTCTCTGACACGCTTACTCTTCCAGAAGAAGGTTTAGCCCCCACCCCCCCCCGTTCTTTTTCACCACAAGGGCTGTTCTCTGCTTGGGGTGCTCACCTGAACCAGTATACAGGAGGGTTCTGATATTCCATGCAGCAGCTGTTAGAGATTGTGTTGTCTATTGCGATCTTTTACTTTGTTTCTGACTGCACTGGGGATGACCTAACTGGATACAACTGTCCGGGTAGAATAGTAACAATACTGTATACAGGTTATATTTAGAGCCCTTTTTTATTGTCCTCTCCTCATGAAATTTGAGCTGTGTGGTTCCTGAATAGGGTTGTTCAGTCATAGAGACAGGAACAGGTTAAAGTTGATGCCTAAATCCTAGTGCATCAACAACCATTTTATCTAAGCCACTCACTCTTGTGCCAATTTGTAACTAAAGAGACACGAAAGACATCTTTGTCCATCAATGTTGTCACTTGTATGTTCCAGTAAGACTTTTTGGAGATTGTGGTGATGATGGTGGGTGGGATGAGCTGAATGATAGCCATGTGAATTTATTTATGTGGTGAGGCAGGTATGCCAACTGAAACCACATATTTTAGCTCTCCCTTTCCTGACCCAGAGGTGCAAGCAACCAAGCACTTACAATGACTAGGACAAATATAGTTGCAATGAACTGCCTATAGCTCAGTTTGTTGGGTTCCACTTTAGTAACATGCTCATAATGTGCTGCTTTCATCCACTGGTGTGGCTCTTGGTTTCCTCTTCTGCCTATACTGTCATTGAGGTCTTACTAGTCGTTGCTGCTACAATAACATGCATTGCCCTGGGAACTTCACTCCAGGGGTTGCCAGATGATGTGTCTGTCCATTATCTGAACAGTATTATAGGCCTCATGCTGGTTTTCTGTGTGCAGTTCCTCCCACAGCCTTTCACTAAAAAGTATGGCCACATAGTAGTGGTTTTAGGCCATTTATATATACCACTGTATACAGTATACTGTACAGTAGCTAAAACAACTATCTGTGCATACTTTAGGTGAAACAATATGAGACAATGGATGATAAATTTTGGTATATGAGGGCTGTCACTAGTCACAAGAAAAATTTCAGAGCATATCGACCCCCACCTGCACAGATAGTTGTTTTAGCTATTGTACATACACACATGCACAAATATGATCAAAACTTTATAATTTAGTACCCACACATACATAAAAAAAAAACACAGACACACATTCAAAGTTCTTCTCCTCTTTACACAGTACAGTATCTGCAGCGAAAGCTCTTGTGAAATGAAGCTTTCCCTCATGTCACAATGCCTATTTTTAGTCTTGGCTTATGAGTCCTGCACATATTTTCATAAATTATTAAAAATCATTATTATTATTACTACACAAAATCACTCTGAATTATCTGCTTGAACCAATAATCATTTAGAAATAAAAATGTGTACAGTATATTTTTTTAGTAATTCTTTATCTTATGGAAGGATAGTTTGTGCACATTCAGTTAAGAAAAAGCTCAAATATTTTGTTGAAACTAAACTGCAGTAAGTACTATACTGTACTATAAATATCAACTACAGGTACTGTACTGTCCTTCAACATCTTGCAATCTTATCTGTGAATTAGTTTTATTTTACCATTTCAAATTCTTTCTTGGATATATTACATATATCATCCCAGCCTTTGATGTGCACTGGATCATGTGCTTGTAACTTTACTACAGCCTCATATGCTCGTTTCTTAAAAGCTTCATCCTCATCGAAGCGCTGCTTTGATTGTTTATAGAAGGCCTGAAGGTCAGCAATTGGTGGAGATTTTTTGGCAAAGTCGGGGAAAGAGTCCTGAAAAATAGAAGTATCATATATTGTATATAACTATATACAATGTATAAAAAAATTGTAGCATTACCGAGAAATTTTTAGCAAAAACAGTCAGTGTAGTTATTCGGGGAACAGCAATGTGGGCCACGAAAAGGAAGAGGGTGTATGGATCAAGGTTTTACATTAAAGAATAGGAGTGAAAAGTTTCTGTCAAAGGGGAAGAATTTTTCTGTGGCACTGATGGATTTAAAAAATAGTGTGGATTGATAAAAAGCTCCATTTTTCTAGTGGATACCATAACTAGGTGGCTCTCTGCAATCAGGAACAACTTATTGAGGGTACCTGAGATTTGGTAAGGTTCTAAAATATGCCAGGGTTGCAAAGGCTAATCTATTAATTATAATATACTACCTCATTGGCCACCCTTCCTCACCTCTTGTACAGTGTACCTCTAATAAGGGCCAGCTGGTTTACATCTGCCACTGACACATTTTTTCTTTGAAAAGTTAAGTCTCCTGCTTATGTTGAGAAACCAATTTTGCTTGGATTCACAAGTAAAAGGCTCTTAACAGTGACCTGGCTAAGGCACACTCCAATAAAAGCATCCCTTGGGAATCCAACCAAGAAACTTGTACAATACTGTCATTTATACTTAGCTGTTAGGACAAACTTCAAGAAGCACAACCCAGAACTCCCAAATACTGCAGACTAAAATTTTTTAAACCACCTTTTTTCCAATCCAAATCCTGAGAATGGAAAACAGCCCCCCAAATTTAATAGTAAGGAAACCCTTTTCTAACCAACTATTGAAGGTTTATCCAATGTGAATTCTTTCTGTAACTTATTTTTAAGCCCTTAAAAACTACCACAATTCAGGAAAGAGCCGCTTCTCTCTATAATAGGCAAACATTACCAAGACACACAGATTTACAGTTTAAGGCCCCTTGAATGTCCATGATGGAATATGTAATGTAAGAAATATTCACAATGACAACCTCCTAAAGCTAAAGAATTTTAACAATGTCTAGTCTCTAAAAACCCAACTGAGAAGTAGCATCAATATTTTCCTTTAAATTAGACTCCTCAGAGGTCTACCGAGACCTAGAAATTACAAATCCTCATTTGTCTATTGTGAAGCTGCAGCCCCACAGGAAGGAAATCATCCTGTAAATCATATATCTTTTCCATTCCCTTGGCAAAACAACTGGAGAATGATAGAACAGTTATTTCAAGTCACCTTCCCAGATTTCTGTCAAGCATAGCTGAGGAAGGCTGATTTAACATTACCCAATATTTTATCTTCCCAACCATCCTTGATCAAACAACAAACATAGGAATGGGTTTGAATAAATTAATAAAGCTAATGAAAACTCCCAAAAGCATAAACAACTGAAAAATCAGTGGCCTGGACCCTAGCCATACAGAAGAGTAACACTAAAAATTATTTAGAATATTCGCATTGAAACAGGTTTCTTATGGAACCCACAGTTTACATCACAAGACCTACCCAACATGATGAATCAAGCAAAAGGTCTGAGCAGTCAGGCTTCACAAAAAAATGTAGGAGGAAATTAATAAAATTAATGTCAACCTTGTGAAGAACTCCAACGACAATGTTTGTTTGAAGATAGAAACTGACACCAATCCCAAGACAGGGTCTTTATCCACAAAGGCTATAACTTTAAAGGCTTCTTCTGTTTCTCTTAAGTGTAAGTGTGACAATGGCATGAAAAATGCATCTTTGTGAAAATAAAGAGGGAGGGGAGGGATTAAAAAATTTGAAGATCTAGCTCTCTTACCTGTAAATGAGCAATGAGCATGCCAAACTGTGTGCCCCAATCACCAAGATGGTTCAGTCTCAAGACATCATGACCTAGGAATTCCAGTAAGCGACATATGCTATCTCCAATAATAGTGGACCTGTAAAAAGAGGCATGAGGTTGATGAAACAAAAGTTCCCTTGCACAGGATATAAATAATACTTATCAAGTTTTCACTGTCTATGAATCACCTTAGTCATGACACTTATAATTTCTAATACACATTGTACATATCAGTGAAGGATAGTCACTACAGTTAATTAGGATAAGAGGTGCAGAGGAAACTAAAACATGTGTTAATAATATTCCATACTAACCTTAGGTGTCCAACGTGCATCTCTTTGGCAATGTTGGGGGAAGAAAAATCAACAATGACTCTCTTTGGTGTTGTTGGTGGTGGAGTAACACCATTCAACACAACATTTGTTACCTGTAATAAAAAAATGAATATCATACATTATTCTTCTGAACAATCATTGATAAATCATGGTACAGTACTTAATAAGCACCTACTGGGCTGAGGCTTAATCTCTCCAGAACCCCCACCCCAGCACATAACACACTCATTCTCTCTTCTCAGATTTAAAGGCCATGACACAGGCTCTGTCATTCAACATATGGAGTGAACCCTCTCCTATCTCTTCTTTCATTCAACACTGCTGCAAGTTGGGCATCTGATTGTTCCTTGCTGGCCTTACTTAAGGAATACTGTACAGTTTGTAATAGAAACCAAACGAAGGTTACACAGCCCACATGTTAGCCGAGACATATAACTTTCGACCTAGATTGGTGAGAGTTGTACTCAAGATCTCTTTTTTGGTGCTCAGATATGATGGAGTTCATTACTAGATTAACTCCAGCCACTGCAGATTTTCAACATGTAGACTTCATCATAATATAGTACATTAGTTGCTCGAGCCAAGGGTTAGTTATAAAACAAGGAATATTAGCACGTACCTCACACAATTAAAGGGTCTTAGCCTACCTGCTGTTTTATGAAGTCCTGACAAAGGAAAATGTTGATGAACCCTGGGCCTGAAAGATCCAACTTAGATATGAGGGAACTAGGCGCTACATTCTTAACAACCATCTGCCCAACTTCACGTGGGTTTTTCTTGAGACTCTGTAAAATAAATAAAGTATGAAAATGAACAGGAATGATCCTAAATAATAAAAAGTTCCCACACAACACTTAATATAACATGAATTATGCAGTAATAATAGCATGCTAAAATGTTTAATAAACAATAATGTCCCGAGCCACTTTCAAGGGCAGTATTTCTTGCATTTTCACCTGAATAAAATGCTCACATAAGCTTCAGGGAAATGTTACCTGTATATGCATCTGTTATTATCAAAATAGAGGTAAAGAAAAAGCATAATCTAAGATAATAAATGTTGTTAAGCTGCATCAAGTACAGTACCAACCTTTGCAAGAGCCATGGCTGCATTACACTGGTAGTCTGCATGTTTGGAAACTTGAATCTGGATAACTGGATCAATAACATCAGGGTAAGCTGACAGTACTGCCTTTTTAAATATACCCTCAAGCTGCCCCAAGATGTTGCACATATGGTTGCTGAAGTTATCATCCTTTGCTGGGGAACTAGGATCACCACCTTGACTTTCTATGCTCTGCACATGAAAAAAATGAAGAGAACCTTGAATCAGTTAAATTTTATCTGGAATGCAAGATTAATCACAAATTATCATGAGTACCGTACTGTATATATACAGTAATTTTGATTGGTAAAACATCCATTAATTGTAATACATTACCACTTGCTAACGTCTAAAAAGAAACAAGGAAATGCTCACTTTGGAATGTGCTACCTGGCTAAAAGTATCTTTTATATATATAAAAAAAAAAAGATCTTATGATATAGTAATGTATAATGAAATTATCAGTGAGAACGACAAACAACACATAATAAATAAGATATAGAAAAAGACTGCAATAAGACATCAGGATAGATGAAGTAAAATAGATGACATTCAAGGATGCAGACATTTCATTCATTAGACCAATGAAATGAGTGAAAATAAAAATTGAGGAACTGGTGAAATACAAAAGGTTAATACTGTACTGTACATTCATCACGAGAATTCACTGACTGGGATGCCTGTAAATACATACATACATACATACATACAGTACCTGGAGTGCAAATGTACAATAATGGTGTAATACTATTACCACAGTACGGTACATTGTTTCATCAATGTATGGAAACTTACAGAGTATATGAGAGAATTTAAGAATGTGATTTAAAATATATCTTTAATACATAATCTTGAATGGATGCCAAATTTGCAGGGTGACAACAAGAATCTGTCCATGTAAGAAGTTCCATATTGATGTTTAACTTCTATCAGTGGCTTTAACCATGGCTGTAGAGTACTATAGACGTTGCATGCTGCACATAACAAAGTGAGAAAACGTACTTACATAGTCTGGTTAAACTATGTATTTTCCATACACTGTAATTCATATGCCATGGAGTAGGTAAGAAAAACTGATGGATAGGATGGACAGAGAGACAGGTCTAAATAATATATTTCATGAACACAAAAAGAATAAAGGAGAACTGAACAGATGCAGCAACCTTAATAATGCATGAGGAGTGAGGCAAAGAATGATTGTACAATTCATGCAGGCATTAATACAGTATAGTATGTTAAGGCACAATTTTACAAACAATAAAAACACAAGAGTGCAGTCAAAACCAGAACTGTTATTGAAAGAAATGGCCATTTATAATTTAATTACATACAGTAAAGTTATACAAAGCTCGGGCAGTCACCTTCCCCTGCCAGGCTGAGGTGTGAGTTATGTTATGGTAATTTTTCTACTCAATTTTGGAAAGGTAAACATAACTTTCTATTTTTTTTTAATTCAGTTACAAGCACACGCAATCCTACATACATAATCTGCCAAAAAAGTAAAAGCAATAGCTATCATATGGTCAAAGACAAAAGGGAAATAAAAATGTCTTTGTGTGTGAGAGCGTGAGGGGGAGCATTGCTATGGCGAGGCTTGAGGCCATACAACCAACATCTTTGCAAATAGTATTTTTTTTTATGGGGAATAGCCCACCAGGGCACAGGTCATTGACCCACCGGGGCCTGGGGGCAAAAAAATAAGAGTAAAGGGAAATTAAAAATCGAAGAGAAAAAGATTTTATTAATCGACACCATAAAGATGCTGGAAAACCAGCTTTTTGAAGTGAAACAGATGGTAAGAGTGTGGAAACACAGAAGGCAGAGCATTCCACAGTTTGGCTGTGCGAGGAAAGAAGGATGTACTATAACAGGTTATTCTAGTGTGTCCGACACCCACACAGAAATGGTGGGCACTGCAGGCAAGACGGGTTGTGTAAAACACTCATTTAGCTTTCATTAATGGTTTTAGCTGCATATTTTCATCTAGAAAGTACCGTATTTTATGGGTGTTCTTAATGTGATAGGTAGTAAATTACAGTAGGTGTGTACTATTTATCATAAGTTAGGAAAAGTTTTTGTTGTTCATGAATCGATTTCATGTTATGGGGTTATTATATAGGAGTTTTCTCATCATTAGGAACTGAACCCTATTTTCTCCACAAGTTCTTTTATTCGCTACACAAAAAATTCATTTAACGAATGGTTTTCAGGTACCTAATCCTTGGGTGTGTGTGAAATTAACGTATGTGTCGAGGTACTGGGCTGCAACCGCCAGCCACACATCTGTGCCCCCCCCCCATTTGACAGAGGCTTGCATGCGCACTCAAACACACGTCTTAGTCAGTTGGTTGACTGCTCTGGTGAACTTTGTTGCATTGCCCAGAGGATGATGGTTTGAGTGTGGAGGGAGCTATTTTTTGTACCTAAAATATGTGCTATTGCATTTTATGATATGCTATGTATCAGTATTGTTTATCATAGCATGAAATTGGAGACCAACATCTTTCACCAACCAAAAAGCCTGACACTCTTGTAAACAAAGCAGTAACAGTGTCACTGGAAGCAGACATGCGAATGAATGATTTTGTTTGGGTCCGGGTTGTTGGAATACATTAGAATTTTAACCAAACAGGACCAGAGAACTAAAGTTTGGATACCTGGAAATTCAGATACTGTAGTTGTAATTTTGATAAAAGGAATTGTACTATACAAGATTCACATTAAAGCAACATATGGATAAAGGACTATATTTTTGGTTCATCAGATCCCTCTATGCAAATGCACTTCAACACAAATATTTCATGTTTAAATTCATTGTCACTTGGAGAAATTATCCAAACAACCGTGCTTTGCCTTACCAGTACAAGTCACTCAGTACAACATTTTTGAAGATACATAAACATATAAACTACTCAACCACCAACACCACTCACTCCACACACAGTTAAATAAACTTTTATTTCCTTATAAATTAGTACTATATTGTACATAAACTTAATTTTTTTAGCAGATGAAGAATCACTATAGAAAAAGGCACAGTAAAACTGAAGCAATATGGTTTAACCCTTAGGCCCCAGGTGATGTTCCAGAACGTCTGACCAGTGTGCCCCGGGTGACGTTCCAGAACGTCCGACCAGCGTGCCCCGGGTGACGTTCCAGAACGTCCGACCAGCGTGCCCCGGGTGACGTTCCAGAACGGCCGACAAGCGTGACCCGGGTGACGTTCCAGAACGGCCGACCAGCGTGCCCCGGGTGACGTTCCAGAACGGCCGACCAGCATGCCCCGGGTGACGTTCCAGAACGTCCGACCAGCGTGCCGGGTGATGTTCCAGAACGTCTGACCAGCGTGCGGGTGGCCAGAACGTCGACCAGCGTGCCCGGGTGGCGTTCCCGACGCGACCAGAAACGTCCGACCAGCGTGCGGGTGACGTTCCAGAACGTCCGACCAGCGTGCCCCGGGTGACGTTCCAGAACGGCCGACAAGCGTGCCCCGGGTGACGTTCCGACCAGCGTGCCCCGGGTGACGTTCCAGAACGGCCGACCAGCATGCCCCGGGTGACATTCCAGAACGTCCGACCAGCATGCCCCGGTGACGTTTTAGAACGTCCACCTATATATTTTTTTTAATTATTTGAAAATTTGATTTTTTTTTATTTATCCCTGTTCATGCAGGGGGTGGGTTTACTGCCAGCAGCGCCCTAACCCGGGGCTTAAAGGTTAAAGGCCCTGGCAGGTATAATATATTGTTCCCAATTTAGTGACACAATTGCCATCTTTACAGGTTTCAATTTAAACAAGTAGAAATACAAAAAATTCATGCATTAATGCCACTCAATATAGATATTGTCTCTATGATAAAGGTGTATTTTGTACAGGTAGACTCGTTTCTTCAATTCATAAATAACGCCTTCATCGTGGAAAAATGTTAATAATCTCACCAATCACTAGTTTGACAGGTATAGCTTCTAAAGTTTAATTAAAAAAATTTTGAGCACAAGTGCTGCATTTTAGGTAGTAGGTAGCTACCAAACAGGGAGGTACTACAGCCTGGGAAGATATTGGAAGCATAATATGTTGTCCAATGGTAAACCCTGCTGTTATATGGCATCACAAAAATTTTGACCAAGTCCCAGGTTGCTCATCTGTCTTTCTGCCTCATTTACACACAATTGCAGGTCTCAATTGTTTCTCTTACTTGACAACACAACATACATATAGCATTTCTCACTATTGATTTTTTTATTTTTGTTTTGTATTTCTTTACAGTTCTTTATTATTATTACAGTGTTATTATTATTGTTATCCTTATCATTTTATTTTACTTTTTATTAAAAATTTTATTTACTATGAATAATTATTACATTTTCGCCCCCAGGCCCTGATGTGGGGCAGTGGCCTGTGCCCGGATAGGCTAATCCCCAGTTAAAAAAAAAAACAAGATAGCAACTGCAACAATGGATGGTCCCTGGGGGCCCTGCAACCCTGCCCTTCTTATCCCATTACAGTACATCTTGAATCCTTGACTGCACACTTTCACAATGACATGACTCCTTTAAGGATACAACACTGACTTAAAATGAGGGAATACTGCACACTAAACTTCATGGTGGTTTTATTGTTATCATAGTAAATACTACATTAAAATAACAAGGGTGTAGGAAAGTTTCAAAACTACCTAAGACTAGACTTATCACATGATACTATTTTCAATACCATATACTGTAAATCTTAATTCCTATTACCATACTTAACTATAAAATCATACACTGTACAGAACAGTAGATGCAACTGGATAGGAAAATGTAAAGTTTTTGGACACTGATAAAAACACACAAAACTTCCTACCCTACAAGACGATGAGAGATGCGAGGTAAGGCCCCGAGAATATCCAGTACATAACTTCTTGTTGGAGAATTCACACATTATGCTAGTATGTATAAGAAATCCGAGTCATTCAAATGTGTGTTAGTCAATTCTTCAATAAAGTTCACAAGCACTTCCTTCTGCTGATCACTCTTGGTGTGACCACTGCCTCTGATAGATTTACATACTGGATACCTATAGTGTATTACTTAGGCAGCAAAAGTATTCTTCCAGTTACTTTTCACCAAGCTAGTTTTTGTGGATTTTGATTCTCAGTTCATTTAAAACACTTAGTAACTCAAACACTTCCTTCACTAATTGTTTTTTTTTTAGTCTTGTAGATTACATGTAATATTAAATGTCAATTCTTAATGTCTTAGATGCAATCTGAGACACCATCACAAGTCTGGAACAGAACAAGAAATACCAAATGAAATTAAGCATTCTCTAAGATAAACAAAACTACTGAATAACTTTTGTGATTCTTTTTTTTTCATTAGTGTTCATGTTTACTCCATTTTCCACACCGAAGCTTTCAATGCACTTATTCAGGTCTTCCCCCAAAACTCTCTTAACTCTTCTCTTATCTCGCTCCTTAGCATGCATGAATGCACAACAAGCCAGCTCTCATACCAAACTTTTAGCCTGATCCATAATATTCTGGAACTGACCTCATTGTATTCAATTACTGTACTCAACTCCACATTTTATAACTCAACAACAGACCCTTACATTCTTCCCTGACTACTTGTCCCTGGCACAACTCTCCTCGACTTGAGTTTTCAGATAAAAAAAACTCAAGATTCCTTTCATTCATCATAACTTCACTGTTCTCTTATCATGAAAAATTCATCCCCACACACACAAAGAACCACATTTTCTTTGTTTTCCAGATCACCTTTAGATTAGACACCCCAGCTTATTTCACCCGAAGATTGACAACTCTAACCTATTCCCCCCCAGGCAGCATTAGTGTGGTTAATCTTCAGGTGAAATAAGCTGGGATGACTAGTTTTCAGGTGATTTGTTCTTTCTTCTTTTTCGTAGCCTTTATGCTATAAGTGAGGTTTTCCAGTCCTATACTGTCAATACAGACTGTGCCACTGATGGGTAGGTGATGGTAGGGCAATCAGGTCACTACACCATTCATTTTCATAAAGTCAATAATCACTTCCTCCCTTGTGTCTCATTACTCCTACCTTTGTATCATCCTCACGCAAAGCTTTCCCGAATTCTTATTTGTCTACAGGCGCACTTATCTCCTTAAATGTTTCTTCGTGTACAGTATACTGTACTTAAATCCCACCACCTAATTTTTTTCATCTTTAAGACATCTTCAAAATATTCTTCCCATCTACTTATTAACTTGACTTTTGTTATTCCTATGCTGCAGCTACTTATTATGCCTTGTTTCTCTGTCTTATAAAGTTAATTATTATCAACAAAATCCTTATAAGTTTTCTTTCTAGTTCCATTCCCTTCCTAGTCTCATCCCAATATCTTTTTCCCATATTTCCACCTCCTATTCTACTTTATTTTCTTTCTTGCCGCCACATTACTTCTTTTGATTTGGTTCTTCCTTTTATACATTACAAGCTAAATTCTTCCAGGTGAAAAATTCATAGTTCTATTGATATTCATACTGCACTGCTACCCTCCCATAGTTTGTTCATTGTGTATCACTACATTCCTCTCCCTTCGATACATCATTTAATTCCTATAACTTCTGGTCTTATCTTCAATTTCCTCTTCTCTCACCTTTTGACATCTCAATTCTTAGTTCCCACATTCCTTTCTCTATTATTTAAAAAAAAAATAAAATCTTTTGCCATTTCAGCTTTATTTCTCCACGTTCCTATCTTTTCGTTACTACTGGGAGAGGTGCTTATGGCGAAGATCTCTTAGACTGGGGCATTCCATCAGGAGGTGTTGAAAAGTCAATGGCAGTCATAACAATGGGGAGGGTGCGCCCTCTTCATTAAAAAAGTATGACAGCCGTACAATACAGTATTATGGATTTATGCTCATTTCTTGCTTCATCTCTCCTCTAAGCATATTTATACATTAAGGTGTATTTAAGTACAGTACAGTAAACATCTATTGAACAGACTATATGGAGAGGAAAGTCCGTCATATGAAGGGTCCGTTAGATGTGAAACCTCCATCTAAAAAACTAGTCGACCCTCGTTAAAACGGACTAATGGGGGGGGGAGTGTGTCCGTTTTAGCCGATTGTCCGAATTAACCGATTTATTTGAGTGCCCCGTCATAGGAGTCCGTTTTCTCTCATTTCAGGATGCCTAAGTCCTCCGTTTTCTCTTAATCTTGGAGTGCAGTGTACCAGAGACTTCGTTATTCCTTAGTAAAGACACAGAATTTGATATTGCAACTGGGGTTGCAATTGGTGAGGCAACTTAGATATGTCTGATTACAGTTGGAATTTGCAAGATCCATTGTGAGTGATGTTTAAAGCTTCAACTGTCTTTATGGTTAGTAAAACTTGTCAAGTCTGTCAGTGTGAGTGCTTCTGTTTGTACAACCGCTCTCATTCAGATCCACTAAAGATATAATGTTATGGTAATTATCAGAAACACACAAAGGCATGACTAGGTTTATTACAAAGAGATGAAAAGGATACTGTACAGTGGGTAGTCCACAAAACATGTAGCTATGTATATGTTTATTTGAGTGCCCCGTCATAGGAGTCCGTTTTCTCTCGCTTCAGGAGGTCTGAGTCTTCCGTTTTCTCTTATCTTAGAGTGCAGTGCACCAGAGACTTCGTTATTCCTTAGAAGTGACACAGAATTTGAAATTGCAACCCCAATTGCAACTGGGACAATCCCAGAACCAGAAATTTGATACGGACAGTTCAGATTTCGTCTGATTTATCCGAAATCCAGATTAAAGGGGTCCGAATTAACGAGGGTCAACTGTATTAAAGTTTGTTATATCGAGGGTCCGTTACATATGAAACCCCCATCTAACAGACTATACTGTATGTTGAGAGAAGTCAATTATATAGAGGTTTCACTGTAATAGAAAGTGTGTGCATTGAACATATTAGACAGGAATTCATGTATCTTTCACAACATTACATCATCAAATAACTCACACAAGGCACAAATTTGGGAAAATATTTTTTATAAAACTTATACTGTATAATAAAAAGAAAATCTCTAAACTGTAATTGAACACATATGAGAGCCACTATGAGCTAGATGTGAGCCTGCAGAGCTGTCCCATCCTTCTCCAGGATCCCCCCATTACCATACAAGGAGCAAAATGAACCAGCCAAGCCAAAGCTAATCCAAATGACTTACAATATCTTTATTTGGTTTGGGTGGTTCTTGTCATTTACCATTATAAGTATAGTTTACACTTGCCTTGTTTACAGGAGCATGGCACAATTAATTATGCCAATTTTTTTTTTTTTTTTACCCTTTCTACACCTTTCTGGCAAGATTGTTTTCTCAATGTAATGACAATGACTGTGTCTGATAGATGTAAGCCACTCAAATCAATATTTAACTTAGGTCAACTTCTCAGTGCACCTATGACACTAGTTTTTATACTTTCCTTAAGTCCTTTTTATGATCATTTTCATCCACATATGAGACAGTGTACAAAGATCATCACCATGAGTAATACAATTATCATTAAATAAAAGCATATAATAAATGGCTCTGTTATCTCTGCTGGGGCTTATAAATGGTTTTCAGACATGACTACCCTCTGTACAAGAACAACTCAGCAGCTATAATGAATTTCTTCATTACTCAGCTACTCTGAATGTATTGTACATAAGTTGTGAATCTACTGATCATGTTATCTCTAAACAAATATCACCACCTGCACCATTCCTATTTCTCTTTGTAATCTTACCCATCGCTAAGATGATTTTTTCAATATATTTTAATACCTGTATGATTTTTCTGAGGTGCTACATTTCTTGAAGAGTGTTCAGTTGTCATTATTTCAGCAAATCACATCATCACTTTCAAAACTATTCACAAAATAAAAATAATAGCAATGAATCAATCACATGAAAGAAAAAGTTTACTGTACTTATGTTTATTTCCAGTAAAATATCATTATCTAAAGATTATACAGTAGAGTACTTATATTACAGTACAGTACTATATTATTACAACATACATGTTCAATATATACCATAACTTAAAAGTGCAGGACTCCTCTAGTTTTTATATAAAGGTTGACCAGATAACAGATATTCAATTACACAGTGATCAAAATGTTACAGAGCACTGTGGGAAGTTATCAATTTGGTCCTGAGTAGAATCACAGAGGAAGAGCTGGGACAAGTGTTCAAAAATAAACTACACCATTTACAAGCATGACATCATTTTGAACATTTATTATAAGTTCTAAATTACAAATAGTATTAGTAATACGAATAAAAAATACACTTGTTAAATTTCCATTATGAAACCAATCAGCACTGCATCATAAACTGCAAAAATATCACTTATTCCACCATCTACTGTAGTTGTACACCAGAGTTCAAGTAATCAGACAGATATACCATGAGTACACAGGGTTGTCCAAAAACCCAGTTTCACGCAGTAGAACTGGCGAGAGAAGTGCAGTAAAGTGTGGGTGATATATATACCCAAACAATGTATGCTGCCTGTCACCAGGCTGGGCAGGTCATCAGCATAACTTTCATCACCTACATCTTCAGCTCAAAAAACTAAAATCTAATAATTCATACTGTAGATATTTCATCTCACACTTTTCATCTTTTGTTTTACTCTCAACTAATTACTATACAACCACCAAGTAAGGGGGAAAGTGGTAGCTACTGAACACACCTATGAACAGTACTACTTGTCCCCAAGCATGTCTCACCTTCAGTATCATTTTCATTGTTCTGTTTTTTTCTTCAGTTTTATAGCCCTCAATAATTACAGTCATCACTCCTATCTTCATCATTCAAATGAGTGTGCTGGTACTCATCTTCTGGTTCACTCTCAACAAAAACCACACAACCTCCAAGCACAACATGATCTACTGCCTTGACATCATGAGTGCCACTGTGTGTATAAACTGAGGGAGAAGTTTTACTGAACTATATTTACAGTATTTCTAAACCCCATTAGCATCTCTAGAGTGTAGCACTGAAAACCATGTATGAGCCATGGCACAAAAACGTATAAAAAAAACATCTTTCATATCTTGATTGTAATGAGTTTGGTACAAGGGATCCTTGCTATATGTTGTATCAATATACAGTACCTCATTTTACATATACAGAACAATACTAACAAATATAAGAATACAATTTCATCATACAGTACAGAAGGGTCTCAGAGTATGAGTATCCACAGTAAAGACTACACGACACCACTTATACGCATCTAACCCCCTGACTCTTGGCTCTCCCGTGAGCCAACTCACCCAACATCTCTTACCAGCTTAATGAGTTTATCACTACTCCGTACTCATTGGGAAAAAATAAAATCAGCATAATACTCTAATGTGGCTTAGAAATAAAGACAATATAATAAACTATAAAATAAGAAAAATAAAGAGCATGGGTAAGCATGAGTGTGGAGTGAATGTACACGTGGAGGCAGTGGGCTGTAACTGCGTCGCCAACTCACCACCCACACATCCGATGTGACGTCACAGAATACACACACGCCTCTGAGTAAGCTAAGTGACTGCTCAACTGAACTGCATCACATAGTTCAGAGGATGGTTTGAGTGTTTGTTTGTACACTAAACGTGTTTGTATGGTACCGTAGGTTAAATTATTGCTAAGGCATCATTTTCTCTCTCATACTAGTTCTGTGAGCATCTCCCAAGTATTCACACTGTAAAACTTTTCATTACTTGTGAATTCCACCACAATCATGGCACCTAAGAGGAAAATTAGTGGCGGTACTCGTGATGGTGAGTCAGAAAAAAGAACAAGGTACATACTGTGAGAACTTTTGAAGAGAAAGTAAAGATATTGCACTTTGGAACACCACCAGCACTCTCACTTTTACGCTTTCCAGTCATTATAAAGTCAATTAAATACGATCATAACAAAAGTTCACAGCGCGATCAGTATAGGCCTGAAGATGTCTTGAATAAAGACGAAAGCTAAGGTGCTCCGTTGTTTCCCTTTTCCCGTGTGATTTTATCAAGATTTATCTTATCCACGTTTTCATTGTGGATCTACATGAAATATATATACAGTGGTCCCTCGGTTAACGAGATTTCGGTTAACGATTTACCTTTCATCAGATTCTTAACTTCGGTTAACGAGTTCTTTACGAGCCGACTTCAACATGTTTTCGCTTGCATTTGGCGGTCCACCAGCTGTAGTATTAGTCCGCCAATACAGTAATCGGCTTAAATTCCTTACTATTTTAGTAAATATCAAGAAGTTTATACTATTCAATAATTTTAAAAGTTTAAATATTAACTTTTTTAGTCATTTTAACAATTATTGAACTGAAGGTAAAGAAACTAGTTTCTGGCGTGCCATCCAGCCTGTTAACACACCAGACAGGCGTTAGTCTCTCTCTGTTTTCAGTGGAGGTAACATCTTGCTTGAGACTCTCTTCAACTAAACGCTTTTTTTCTGTTTCCAAGCAAATTATTGGTCATTTTGAAATATATTTTACATACTGACAATATATAATGCAGTGCAGTGTTGATTTAAAGAAAATAATCTTGAAATACACCAAGAGAACTAAAATTTTATGGGTGAAATGGTGCCATGGGGTGACTTCTCTTCCACCCCAATGCCTTCTCTTCTTCCTTCTCCTCCACCCCCATTCTAATTCCATCATCATCATCATCATCCAGGAGCCTTACATACACACCTCAAAGTAAGTGTACTTTTCTACCTTTTTGTTGAATTTAGGCAATTTTCGGTGAGCTGGAACCATTACCCAAAACCCATTGAAACAATGGTTTCGTTAACGAGTTTTTCGTTAATGAGCAACCTGCTGGAACGGATTGTGTCCTAACAAGAGGACCACTGTATATGTATGTATGTATATATGTATATATATATATATATATATATATATATATATATATATATATATATATATATATATATATATATATATATATATATATATATATATATATATATATATATATATATATATATATATTTCATGTAGATCCACAATGAAAACGTGGATAAGATAAATCTTGATAAAATCACACGGGAAAAAGGGGAAACAACGGAGCACCTTAGCTTTCGTCTTTATTCAAGACATCTTCAGAGGCAACTGGATTACATGGACAGAGAGGCTTAAATATACAGGGTGACCTTAAAAACATGAGGTCAGGTCATAATGATGTCATCCACTAATCCCCACACCAACACACACTTAAGAGCTTAAGAGAAGGGGGCGACGTGACTAGTCAGGTCAGGTCACAAATAAGGGACCCACTAAATAACTATCATACATCTAGATTCAAGGTTTTCAAAGCATTTTTAACCTTGGGCCACTGACAAATAAATTTCTGTAACATATTATCAGTTTTGAACTGACCATCACTAAGGTTTATTGATTTTACTTCCTTAATCAAACTGGCTTCAACCAGAAGTCTTTCTGTGACACAAGATGATTTGAATACTTCCAAGTTTCTTTCCCAAGCAATGGGATGATTATTATTCCTAACATGAACGAACAGGGCACTGCTTTCAGATGCTGTTCTGATATTGTACTTATGTTGTTTGATTCTGAGCTGCAGTGTTTTTCCTGTCTGTCCTGCATAATTACAATTACATTTGCTACATGGAATACAATAAACACTTCCAATTACATTCAAACTTGGGCTATTTCTTATTAACATATTGGTAATGGTTGAGTCATACTTGAAAACAACATTAATATTTAGTAGCTTAAGGGACCGAACTAACGGGACAAATTCATTGCAATAGGGCAGTCAAAATATTCTTAAGTGTAGGAATTTGCCTGGTTTGTGAGGAATGAAAGAATTTTTTAGCCCTTTTAAAACAACGATCAACAAACACAGAAGGGTACCCGAGTTTTTGTGCAATGGAACGAATGTGTTTCAATTATTATGACCTGACCTCATGTTTAATAAGGTCACCCTGTATATTTAAGCCTCTCTCTGTCCATGTAATCCAGTTGCCTCTGAAGATGTCTTGAATAAAGACGAAAGCTAAGGTGCTCCATTGTTTCCCTTTTCCCGTGTGATTTTATCAAGATATATATATATATACAGTGAACCCTCACTTTACGTGGTCAATTGAACCCACGGCGGCCCGCGTAAAGTGAACAACATAACATATGGGATTAATTGAAATAGAGACCAGGCCGACCCCCAAACTCCACTTTTACAGACACAATACCTACGTTGTAGTAAAAATAACTTCTTAATTTTATGATGGTATGCACACACAATTAATAATTAAGAGAAATATCAATAATATTAGGTTTTTTAACACTTACATTAGCAGAAATGATGGCTGGGCACACGGGGATGGGGGGTTGGTTCCGAGGCAGAGGGCAGATTATTGGCCCTCACATCACTTGTATCAATTGTATCACTATCCACCACAGAGGCTTGCAGGGCCTCTTTGTCAAACCCCTCAAAGTCCATATCCTCACTATCATTATCACTATCACTGACTTGGGCCGGCTGTGGTGGGTGGCGGGTGAAGAACTCGGTAATGTTTTGATGACTGGGCGACACACACACACACAGTACTGGTACTTACTGCAAAGGGGTTAACTTAAATGGCATAACTTAGTAAGAAATACTACATGACATTCCTACTCACCTTCTTAAGAATGCCAATGCGGTACTTCAGTTTCTTGTTTTCATTTACAAGGTTTGTGAACTCTTTGTCAGAGAAGTCTTCATCTTCACCTAATTCCACATTGCCAGTTGCATGCGTTTTTAATCTTGAAGCTAACTTTTCTACTTCTACAAGTGTTTGTAACCTTGTAGCTAACTTTTCTGCTTCCTTTTCCTGAAATGTACAAGCACAATTAAGAATAGACACAGCAATTTGATATATCAGAGTAAGGATAAAAGACAACTTTGGAATACAATTCATACCTTCACAACTTTCCCTAAAGTATTAAAGGGATTATTAGTTTCATTCATCCAGCATATTTTAGGATTTTCAGTTTTGGAATCAATAGTTTAGACAGTGCTAAGACTTGTTTCTTCTGCAAAAGATTACTTTCAGAGAGCTTCTGTGTGTTCGTTTGTTGGTTACTATGCTGCATGTGCAGTTGCTCTTTAGTCATTGATTGGTGGGTATGATTTTGGATCAACCAATTACAGCTTGATATAGGCCCCCGCCGCCATTCGCTTGAATTTTAATTTATTGTATTTGCAAAATGTCTCCCTTGTGCAACAGCTGTGACTTCAATTACTTCCAAATTATCGGCAGATTTCACAGATTATTATGGTAAAGACAGAGAAGCACGGAAACTTCTACACAAACACGGTGTTCTGTCTACATTAGTAATTTGCGCGAAGTGTAACAATCCTGCAGTTACCAAGCTGAAAAACACCTTTGGCACTGTTGGAGAAGAACTGTTATTGCCAAGTCTAGCAGGAGGAAGAAATGCAATTATAGTGTCACACTACAAAGGAATATTTCTCTATGGTGCACAACTGGAGCCATGGAAACTGATCTTATTTTTCAATCATTGGTCCACAAGGTTTGGGACCCAACTTCGAGTCTTCTGAGTCTAATTACTGAAAGGTAAGCACACAAGGGGATAGGTTAGCGGTCCAACGAATTACCCAAAAGCACCCAAATGTACCCAAAAGTATATAAATCAGTGTAAAATCTTAACGAATATATGTTTTACATCAATAAAACCTGATTAATAATGTTTTCATTGAAATGCAGCAAAAATAATGAAATAATAAACAGCGAAAAACGCTAAATTCCACAGAGTCACCTATCCAAAATGGAGATATAATTACCGATGTTTCTGTTACTTTGGGGTATTTAACATAGCCGTAGGATTTACTTTTCGTCAGGTTAGGTTAGGTTAGGTTAGCGAAGTGCATCACTATGGATCTGAGTTATCTCCCTTGTTCACGAACTCTTTGGAATTTAGCGTTCGCCAATACTGAAAGTTTTTCGCTGTTTATTATTTCATCTTACAAATTATTTTTACAAAATTACACTAAAAATATTATTAAACATGTTTTGTGTATGTGTAACAGATATTCGTTAAGATTTTACCCTGATTTGCTATACTTTTGGGTAATTTTGGGTACTTTTGGGTAATTCGTGGCTCCCTAGGTTAGGTTTTGAATGATTCTGACCAAAATTTTTATCACAAATTACTACTTTTTCTGACTTTCCTCCACCCAAAATCCCTGGGTCCCACTGGGGGTCCCCCATTATCATTGGATAACAGGAGGAGTAGCTCAAGAAGTAGTGATTTGCGGTAGCAACGAAGATTAGAAACATACAAAACACATCAAAATTCATCGTTAAAAACATAATTTTAACTTCCAATTTGGTGGATGACCGAAACGATAATTTTACCGTATTAAATTTCTCATTATGGCATAAAACGAACTCTAACCCAGATTCTAAATTTACATGGTTGTTATTGAATATTTACACAAAATTACCAAGAAAAATATAAGGTTAATATTTAGTAATTACCACCACCTAACTGTACAGTATACTGCATCATGTATGGGAAGGTAGAGAAAAAATAATAATTTATTCTTTAACCCTTAAGCCCCGGGTTAGGGTGCTGCTGGCAGTACCCCCCAAGCGGGGTTAAATCAAGAAAACAAATCAACATTTTCAAAATTAATTAAAAAAAAAGCGGGAAAATTTCAAGTTATTTTAACCTTTATTTTATATTAGTTGGCCAATCAGTGTGTGTTGATGTGACATCGCAGTCGTGAAGGCCAATGTGACTTAATACTTTAGTGCCAATCAGAGCAGGTCTAAAAAGGGGAACATTGGCCGACTGGTGCATTATTCACAGCATTTTGGACAATGAAGCAGCAGCCGTTGACTTTTTAGGGTTCACGGTATTTTTGTTTCATCTGTCCAAGTGTCCAAGATGTAATTCAGAGTGTCAGTACCGTGTGAATGGTACTGTGGTAAGAGGCAGACACTGACGAAGACACCACTTCCTCATTCAAGTTGCATCACTTTATCCTCCTGTATCTCTTACTTAAGGTAAGTTTCTTACAAACTCTTGGTTAGGTTAGGCAAGATTTTTTTTTAGGTTGTTTGACCTTCCACTTTTTCATTACCTTAACTACTGCTCATTTTCGACGACAACGAATATCATACTTGTATTTAACACGATGACTTACATTATAAAAACTCATTTCCAAAAGTATATTAAGTGGGGGCAACTTCTAAATATTTACCAAATATAAATGTAACTGTACTAGCAGAGAAACGAGCTCTTACCATATACTTACACTCAACCATCATCCAGGTATTTCCTGTGTAATTACATGGTTGAAGAAAATCCATTTGAAGAGACAGTTAAGTTCCCTTGAAAAATTACAACTAACAGACATAGGCTCATGTCCTTTAGTTTTACCCTAGGACTCAGCAGCTAGATATATAAAGAGTAATACAGCAAGGCATACAAGTGACAGTGATTGAGCATATATACTTACAGCTTTCATACAACGGAAGGTGTATTCCCGCAGCGTGGAGTCAGACATGGTTATATATCCTGATGAGGTCTGGCAGTTCTTCTGTTGGTATATTGATGTGCAGCTTACATGAATATAACGAGTCGGTGTTGGTGTAATACAGTTTTACCTCAGTAGTTATGGGTCAGCCCTTTAACGACCAGACTGACAACGTGCAGACGGTGTAGGTAATCCGGGTTATTTATACAGCATTGTTATTCTATCTTTGGTAATATAATTTTATAGAAAAGTACCATTTCAATGTCAGATTTCTCACACTAATAATATTATTATGAGAAATTAAAGTATGGTAATTAGTTTATATAATACTCAATTGACGGCTAGAGACATATTTTGGTGAGGATATTTTCACTAAAATGATTCTATCTGCATATTTCTTTATGATCTTATGTTTCATATAAAATTAATTACTTAGTTACAAGAAAATATTTTTAAATTGGGATTAACATGAACTTATATTGATTTTACCTCAATTTGAATCATACAACTCAACCAAAGGCTCACACATACACCACCATGGGAGGGGGCGGGCCGACTCCACTCTCTTTTATTTCAGTACAACACACACCAAAGGTAGGTATTTAATTTAGTAATTGTTATTAATTAAGGGCTTTTGCTGGTAGTTTTGCATTTTCAACCAATATGGCTCTCTAGTTTAGCAATATGTTTTCCGATGGTTTAGACAATTCTGTGTCTTTTACCTCCCAAATGACCTAAAATTACCTAATCTAACCTCCTAACCTGGTATATTTAAGTAATTTACGAGGGAAACGTCATTTTAGAAAAGTGTCTTAACATTGTCTCTCTAAATCATCGTAAAACACATTGCTCAACTCGAGAGACATATTGGTTGAAAATGCAAATTTACCCATTTGCCTGGCACATATCAATAGATATTTAATATAACTTTAATAGCAGAGTTGTAGCAGTGCTGTCTACTTGGCCGGTAGCCTGTGAGTCTTAAGGGTCTACTCATGCTAAAAAAAACGTTTATTTGTTATAACAGTGCAGTTAATTGGTCCCTGTATTTACCCATTGATTGAATGCCAGATAAGAGAGGGTTAATCTGTATCATTGAAATTACATAAATATTTGTCTTTGTGTTTCATCTTAGGGATTAAGCTCTAAAGCACAACTGATATTTCTGCTAAATAGGATAACCTTTTTAGTGCTATAACTAGTGGAAATTTAGTTTATATTCAGTATGTTGAAGTTTACTCTGCATCATATAGAACATTGTTCAGTATCACAAGACAACCAAACTGAACCCGAATTTGATAAAGTTTAGTTATGGGGTAGTTATTGCAGTTTTATAATTGGGTTAGAGCAATTTTGGGTTCACCAGAAGTTACAAAAACGACTCATTTATGACAGAAATGAAGGTCAAATTTGAATGAATCACAACAAATACCATGGGAAAAACCTAGATTTCTGGTAAAATACAATTGGTAGTGAAACTGCAATTTTACCAGCTATGATATCTCAGTAACGATGCTCGTTCTTTATACTGAAGTTAATTTGTAGATATCTACATGATCGTCACCTGTTCAAATTAAGAAAAAAATTCCACTTCGCTATATATAGATAATCACTACTTTATAATTTTCCCTAGAATGCAGGATACAGTACAGTATACAGTATGGGTATACAATATGCATGTTAATTGTGTATGTACTGTACAGAATATAAATATATACAGTACTGTATAGATTTTCTTATTTTCACTTACAGTTTGTTTATCATGTAATTGACAATATGTGTGTTGGAGCATCTGTTAGCCATGAGATGTATGAAGACTGCCCTCTTGACAAGTTTTGGCTCGCAGTACAACAGATGAAAACAATTGTTCGGGACATCACTTTAGAAAAGTTAACAAAAGAAAAGGTAAGGATATTGTGAATTATGACTTTTGAGCCTTCCTTTTTATATTGTTTGAAAATTCATATTTTTTCTTGTTTAATGGCCTTGACCAGGCAGCTTTTATTAATAGACTCACTGTTTTAGAGGAAATAGGTACCTCAGGAATGTTATTGTGATCACCCATCTGCCTCTGTGGGTGGATTAGTAGCAAAGGTTGCTGGCGAGAGACAAGGTCATAAAAGGCAGCCTCTCTACTAAGCCAGAACTGTACATTCATTGCATCTGCTACAGCCACCATCTTGATTTCATTGTCAATTCACCATTTTTATTGCAGCCCCAAACACAATAATGAACATGACATTTAGAAAAGTTTGGAATGGGGTTTGGTAAACATATAGACTCTACAGATAAATAAATATGGTGTAGAAATGTTACACAGTGCAATATATCTACAGTATACAGGAATTTAATATAAGTTTTATGTTTCAGTTCATAGACCTCTTGTTACCACTTGATCAAGAAACAACAGAAAAAGTTTATGAAGCTATAAATGCTAGAAGAGGAGAAATCAGTGATTGTTTATTTAGAGAGGCAGTAGAAAATACTTATCATCTTAAGGATTTTGATTGGAATGTTAGGGTAAGTTCTTTTAAAGTATTTAATTGTGTATACAGCACAATAGATATTAGAGAATGGGTATTATTGCCACCTTGGGAGTTGCCAATTTTTGGACAATACATATCAGTATACTGATGTAAAAATGGATGTGTTTAAGCATTTTGAAAAGGAGGAATAAGTTGTGGATAGCATGTGCAATGTTTAACATAATTTCTGAATTTTTCATTCAAATTTGTTTGCTTCAAAAGAATTCGTATAAAGGTTTACTCAAAGTATACGTTGATGATTAACATATTAATTTATCATTTTGCCACTTATAAGCTTACTAGCCATTTGTTTCATTATACTTTATGATCTTTATTGTCCAGTGTTGGTACAGAAGGATACCAGAATACAGTACAGGGTACTTTACCAGGAGGAAACGTGATATGATAGTTAACATTGTACTTAACCCCTTGTGTATGGGTTCCCCTCTAAACTGAATTAAATCGTTTACATTAGCCAAATGAAACATTTCAAGTGAAGATTTTAAAATGTGTTTTCTTATGATCCCTTTGTAACCTGAGAAATAATACCATGAAATCTTGTTTATGAAAAAAACACACTTAATAGGCTTGTCTTTATATGCTGTGTGAGGGCGCATGTGTTTTCCAACACCTCTACACCACCCTCATCTTACTTACTTCTCTTATCTTAGTTCTTACTCTTACTCAGTTCTTTTGGTAGCATGGACATTCTTTTGGTAGCATGGTCAAGGGTCTAGGCACATGGGTATGGTAATTCTGGTATCAAGTCACTTGGACGGAAATAAAGGTAAAATACTGTGGGAGAAATGAATACACCTAAAGTACTGTACTCTAAAAACAAATTTATTAATATGAAATCAAAGGGAAAAAGATATATTATTAATCATATAACTACCAGGCTCAACTCCTGGGCTTATTGCAGACTCAGTACTTGAAAATTTCTTAGTAATTTGGCAGGAACCATATAACTACTAGTTATATTTTACTTTGCAACAAAAAACACTGGGCATTAGGCACACTTGTACCATTCCAAGACCAAATAAATTACATCTTACTTCCATTTTTTTTATTTTAATGTTACTAGAGCTGGCTTTATTAACATCAGCTTTGTTGTCAGGCTCATTGCTATCACTAACATAGACAGGGTAGCCCATAAAGTAATAAAGTGGACAACGAGAAGGCTTGTAGTCCTTGTTTGATTGGTTATGGCATTATATGAGGGCTAAAAACCTCTGTGAGAGTAAATGGTGAGGAATTTGAGGTGAAAGTAACGGTCCTTCAGGGGGCCTGTCTTGAGACCCCTTCTGTTTATCATGGTGCTGGAGGCAATATCACAGAACTGGCCTGCCCTGGGAGGAGTTGTATGCTGATAGCAGATAGTCTTGAAGAGGCAGTGGAGAAATAAAAAAAATTGGAAGGATGGAACAGTAAAAGGGCTGTAGCAATCGACAGTAAATATCCTCTTGTATAATGTTTGTACATTAAATGTTGGATATTCTTTCTCTTTCACAGCTGGCAGTTGCAAGTGATAAAGTGTTAGATCTCAGTGAATCTTTGTTGACACTTCACCTCCACACATCATCACCTAAGAATGAAAAAGATGCAAGTGATCTTTGTGTTGAAATGACAGCAGCTCAAGTAGACACTCTCCTGGAGGAACTTAAAGGTGCTCAAGATATTTTATCTCAACTGCCACTTGATTAAACAACGTTTTTGAACTGAAGTACAGTACAGTATTTATTTATTATTGTGCCAGATATATCAATATAGGATTCTTTATATATCCAGTATGTAAACTAAAATTAATAAAAAAAATGAATTGGCAATGTTAAGAATTGGAAGGAAAGTTGGTCGAGTATTATTCTGCCATGATGTGTGAAGAGTTGGTTACCCAGGGGACTGGCATGTCCCCTGGGCTACTCTACACTTCTGGCATGGGTGTTGTAAACCCACAGATTGTAGGCCATGGCATTTTTTTTTCAAGTCAGATTTGGCTTTATTAAATTTGTTAATTTATTTATATATTTTTTCCATTGCAAGCCCTTCCTCATAATTATCACAGTTGGCAGAATTAAAAGGCAACACCGATGCTCCCATTAGTTACTAACTGCTTTAACTAATTTATAGATGTGACATTAGTGTATTTATCAGCTTATGAAACAAGTTGTGATTTTGGCCAATGTTGTACTGTATTCGATTGAATCTTATAAATTCTTTTAGCTTCAACACAAATGTGTAAACAATGAAAAATAAGTCATTAGGGAAATAGTGGCATAGAAAAGAAAAGCTATTATGCCCTAATACCCCTCAAGATTGACATCTGTACATTACATGTTTGTCAAAGCCTACAGGTTTGTAACCCATGAAGCCCTAAAATAAGGAGACTTCTTTTATTTTCTCCAAATTTTTATCATTTCACCACTTACCAGCTACTGATGATTGGTCTGTTCTTTGTTATGAACTTTATTGTCCATTGTTAGTACAGGACAGTGATGTATGTAGAGTCCGAAACCATTTTTAATTTTACCATTTATAGATCACCTGAAGATTAGCCACCCTATAGTATTGATTAAACTTAGGGTGGGATAAGTTGGGGACCATCAGAATTGTCAACACAAGTACCAAGCTAGCAATTGGTTTACATGGAAATAGTTCAGGTAATTGCTGCTGCCCCTCTCATTGTACAAGTAATGGTTTGACTTGATCTATCACTCAAGGTGGAGAGTAAGTATATTCTTTTGTAAGTATATGCTGAACAAAATTATCTGGCATTAGCTAAATAAACCATAAAAGTGGCATCTCATACAGAAGGGTTTATTGACATCATTGTCCATCAGGTGAGTAGAGGTGTCTACATGCATGCAAGAGTTTAGCCCCCACCACAGGGTAGCATTAGGGAGGTTAAACGGGTGGCAAATTTTCAGGTGAGCATATATGGGCCATTCTTTAGGTGATTGCATTTATTTATTAAACTATAAAATGAGAAAAATTTGAGGCATGGGTGTATATCCATGAGAAGTGAATGCATGTACTTATGCAGTGGGCTTTAACTGGATCACCATGCTCCTCCTGATGTGATGTCATGGCTGTGCTGTATATATGAATTTTTTTACATTAAATGTGCCAATGTATTTTATGATTGCTTTATTTTATAGCCGCTTAAGGGCCATTGCAGCCAATAATCGATGGTAAAATAATGCAGAAAAGGAATCACACAATGGGCACACAGCTCATATGAGCTTGCAAATAAATCTATCAGTGCCACCATGAGTATCCTGAACTATGCCCCATAGCAAGTGGATAACAGGAAATCTGAATTGGAGCTCATTTGTCTCAGGATGAGTTGTTTGAAAATTATACCTGATGGTTTATTTTTTATTTTTTTGGGCTTAACGAGGTTCTACTGTACTGTGCCAGGTCTAACATTGTTGTTTTATCTACATTGGATATCTTGAATGATACTCTGATTCAAACTCTTTACATTTATTTAGACCTTGGATTGAACAGGTGGTTCATAATTGTCAGGGCGGTCCACCTTGACCAACATCCTCACCAGTGGTGGCAGCGGATTTCCCACTCTCGCCGTGCATCTCGAGCAACTTTCCCAGGTCAAATCGTGGCTTTTCAGAACCTTGACCTGAGGAAGAAATTTGAATATTAGAACCAAGTGCTGAATACCATACTCCTATAGAAGAAAGAGCACTGATTATAAATCAGTTTAGTAAAGCCAATGCATTGTAGACACCTTAATTAATTTTAATAAAAAACCTTATAAATTTTAAGTTGTTGTTGGACTGACCACAAATACTCAAAGGTAAAAATTACAATGTTTGCATAAAATTATGGAACACCACCATTTCCCCCTCACAAACATCATTTTAGCTCTTGATCCCGACCAGAAAAAAGTTCTAGGCATGTAGCGTATAACTGACGGATCATTGCACACCTTCACAATTCTGTAGTAGTTTAATTATTGGTTTCTAGGTGACTTGCACTTATAACTTGTTCTTTTCAATGTTTATAATCTTGTTTCTCTATTTACTGAATTCACCATCATGAAGTGACTTGGCAACCACAAATTTTGATGAGTTGTGATAATTCCTGGACAAAGTTTGGATAATTGACCAATTCTTGGTCAATTACTTCTCTCCCATGGTAGCAAGACCTACTGATGATATATATCCCACATCTAAAAATTGAAGATAATGACTTACAAAGCACCACACAAAAGCTAAAATACATCCTTATTAAAGGTTTCCTGTTATTTGAAATATTTTGCATGTACCATCTTCCTTTAACAGCATCAATTGCATGATGCAATAAAATTTATAATATACTGTACATGTAGGATGTATTGAAACCGGTTCAGTTACAATTAATGGTAAACAAAACACCCAACGAAGGCAAGGTTGCCCAAGAAGACAAAATCCCATGTCAGTCTATTATTGCATTAATTATATTTCTTAAAATGGAAGTTATTTAGGTTGAGACATTTTACAATGACAATTCAAATAGGATATTAACATCTAGGAAATGAGAATGAAAAACCTCCCATACAAAACACTGAAAATGTATGAGATAAATTTATTGGGCAGAGATGAAAGTTTGACTGAAAGGGATACAGGATTCAAATGAGAGGAGACTTAGCTCTTACAGATGACACTGCTCTGGAGGGCAACTTATAAAAGAAATGGTAAGAGCTAGCGAATGAGTTTGTTAGTATTTTTAATAGAATGTTAGTCGAATTTTACAGGAGTGATGAAAACAAGCTCGATTTGTGTTTGGGTGGCTTAACTGAAGTATTCATTTCTTCTACATTGCATTGTTCATAATTATTAATGTACCTCCTCACATTATCTTTCTTCACCATGATATAGAGGGTGATAATTTATTTTTACACTTGGCCCTCATTGAGCCCCTACAAGTGGTAAAAAAAAGGTGAAATATGAGAAAAGTCAAAAGATGCTTGCAGAGGTGAGGAGTTTAACACCAGGTGGTTGTAGTCAATGCTCTATACTGCTAGTGATGGCGACCTGTGTGTAATGGTCAGCATGCTCACCTCTCAAGCGAGCAGAACCGGTTGATCCCCGGGCAAGGTGAACCTATGGGCAAGTTTTTTCGCTATTTGCCTGTGTCTACCTAGCAATAATTGGGGACCCGGAGTTAATTGATTTGTGGACCGTGTTTCAGGGTAATGGTTAGCCAGTGCAGATGAGTTTTCCTGTCTTCTAGGACTATTCCTTGACACTGGGTCATGCAACTCGTTAACCCAGGGCTTGATTGTTGTGTTGGCGTCAGTTTCTACACCTTAAACAAATTCACGCTTAGGTGGCCTCTGCCTGCCATCCTTGTTACACGAGAGGCAAACATTATTTATACCCCTGTACTGCTATTGCAACTGAACTTTCTTCACTTGTCTTTTAACATTTAGAAATATTACTTGCGATATTTAATGTATGTACCAGAAGCTTGAATATAATTTTATTTATATCACGATTCCCCCATAAGAATACTCAATATTGGTGTATTTTCCATTGGATCATACAGCAGGAGGTGCAGATTTAAGTGAATTTTATAGATAATATATTGTACTAAAATTCAGTTGTGTTGTATGAGCAAATCATCAATTGGAAATCTGCAGACTGGACAAATTCTTTTCTACCTAACATTATGCCATAAGTGTAAAAGAAGACTGGGTGCCAAGTGCTAATGTGTTGACAATGATGGACAAAAATTTCATATTTTTGGAAGATCTGACCATGAACATTAATATCCCCATGGTGTGAGTATCAAAACTAGGAATAAAAAAACATTATTGAAATCCCACCCCCCATTTCTCTTAACTAATGTACACTCGTTCCAAAAAGTATCTCAATGTGGGGTCCGATGAATTTCAAAACGAACACTACGAATTGTCTCGGTAGAGTTATCAAAATCCTTCGTCGTTATGTCATATTGTATAGCACAAAATCCTGCACATATTTTTGGGCGAGTGTACATTATAATGATCCTTTTTTATCATACCATGTTTTTCAAAGGTAAACAGGTTAAAAGACTTACCTTGCGAATATGTACTTCCTTCAGGGGATAAATAAGGTTACAAGCCTTGCGAATATCATCAGCCATTGAATCGGGGATGAGCTTGTTGACAACTTCCTTTAGTTCGCTACTGGCTACAGCACGAGTGATGATATCCACCATTTTCTTGCGGATGTTCTTTACTTGAGTGTGTTGGGCATAGGCGGTCTTCCTGGTTTGGCTTGTAACCTTTTCAGTGAACCCAATGCAGAAAACACGAAGGATGTAGCCATCAGTTGTCTTGACATCTGTATTGGCCTCAATGCAAGTCTGTAAACAAAATTAGATTATTAAATAGCATCACATAAATACCACACTGTTAATGAATGAATGAATGAAGGAGTGTATATACTAGAGAGGTGTCCCTTTCCTTCCATCCACCCCTTGAACCACACCATTCTTAAGTTTATAACCAGCCTCACCTCTTCTGGTATTTTCCTCAATTTGTCACTTCAATCCCCGGTCCTGAACAGGATAATTAAGATTCTATCTCATCTGTAACATCTGCTGAACATACCCTCCCTATTTCCAATTTATTTTTGCAATGTATTTCCTATTTCACCCTAAACCGCATTTTCCACATGTTTGTTTTCTGGTTTCCTCAGCCATTTACTTCCAATATAAGTTCTTAAATCTCCTTTAAAAACTTTCTAAAAATCTTTCCATCTGTCTTACCTCCTTGGTTATTTTGCAATCTTTCTCATTTCTCTTAAATTTTTTTTGATCAATCTGTACTTTTCTTTTTTTAGCCACTGTTCTTTCAACTAGTGCTCGCCATTTTAATCTTACTAAGCACAACCAATTTCTCATCCTACCCTTCACTCATCAAAGCTACACTTTCTATCAATGAACTACCAATTAATGATTTCATGCTCCATTTGCTGCCACCCACAGTACATTCACATGAAGTTATGTTGATAAAGAGATGGAAAAAAGAAGCTTAGAAGAATTTACACTGGTAAGAACAATTTTCTACCATTTTTATCTAACTTAAAAAATAAATAAAACAATAATAATAATCATTAGTTATTGATATACTGTACTCTCTAAACAATGCAAAATCTGTATCTTCCATTTTTCACTCACACCAACTGGACATTAAGAAAGAGGTCCTGGAGGAGCATATATATGGACGATCATTGATCTCCTTCCTTTGTAGTCACTACCATCACTGAACAACTTGAGCCACTGTTAAGTTACCCAAGCCACTCTATGATGTGACACGTTTATAAAGGAAGGATTCACCAAGAGGAATTTCTAAAGTGCACCTACCAACATTTACACAATATGACACTGAACAGTTCTAAATTATACTAAACAAGTATGCATGCAGGGATTGAAAATTAATTGCCAGTTGGCTAAGGTCAAGCCAACGCAACTTTTTTTCCGACCCATGAAACATTCAAAATCATGTATAGATTAGGTAAGACAAAGATAGGAAATCCTGTTCATAGCCAAGACACCAGATGGGTATTAAGAGTACAGTATTTACAAGGTTTTGTGCCGAGGTATGCCAAGACGATTTGGGAATGTGGAGAGAATGAAGATCAATTAAGTCAAGTGCGGAGAAGAGCAGAGCTTGGGGGCAGGACATGAAGGACATATTACATTATATGAACTTTCACACAAATAATAGAATACTCACCTGCCATTTCTTAACCATGGAACGAAGCTTATCAGTTGTCAAATTAAATCCATGGAAGTTGCAGAGAACATTCTTGCCTTGTACTTCTTCTGCAATAAGGCGGAACTTACGGAAACTTCTTTCAGCATCTGCTTCATTCTGAAGGTCAGCAAGGGACACTTCAAACACACGACCCTTCAGGCCTTCTGAGGCAATCTCTGCAGAGAAACATAATTATTAAGTACAATATTTCCTAGATATCCTTTACCAAAAAAAACTCTTCACATTGAACCTCAGGTGAAGAAAATACTTACAGAAATCTGGTATAAAAAAGGGGTTTGCTGGACAACTTGTACCCATCACATGTCAAGCCGTACCCAATTTATGAGACAGTTCATACCCCCCCACAATATCAATATTTTATCAAGTATATATATATATATATATATATATATATATATATATATATATATATATATATATATATATATATATATATATATATATATATATATATATATATATATATATATATATATATCTTGACATCTTCAGTTGTTTCTGAAGATGTCTTGAATAAAGACGAAAGCTACACCGTGTTTCCATTTTCCGTGATTTTATCAAGATTTATCTTATCCACGTTTTCATTGTGGATATATATATATATATATATATATATATATATATATATATATATATATATATATATATATATATATATATATATAAACACATGACAAAATGTCCATAGAATTAATTTTTCCAAAGAAATCTAAAGGTCTAAGCCCAGCAACCAATTTTCATCAACTGATCTTGAAAATTGTAGGGTTGGAGAAAAGCTTGGCATAAATGATTAATGACAAGACACTGTTCTAAATCATGTCATTAACGTTAAAGGTCATAATTTATAAAACCAGAAGCATATAAAAATCAAATACATTTAAGAAACCATGAAAAATTACCAACACAATATACCAAGGTCTGTCCTTATACACTATAGTACTGTACTGTTTATGTCAGTTAAAGACCAATAAAATTAATAAAATTTAGTTTACTTTAATAAGAGGAACATGAGAATAGTGAATATATGCCAGTACTGACTATACTCACATGTACCTAACCTAAGGACTATTACACATCAGAATACACGACTTCTCCAGCCAAACTTATCATGGCACTGCCTTCATTTTGCCCAGCCACGAATTTCCAGCGAAGAACCAATTTTTTTTTAAGGATATACATTTTATAATTCAGTTCATAAAATAATGAAAACTTACATAACCTACTAATCTAAAATAAATTTCTTTATGAAAAGAATACGTCCTAAAGACTGTTCATGGTGTACATGTCCAGGCCATGTTTGCCATCTCCCTCCGATGATCTTGAACATAAAAATTCCTTAAGTATTACTCAAAAATTTCAGGTAGGGGAATTATTTATAGGCACAGGATACAGGTACTGCAGCAGTAAATATTCATTTAATGGCTGTGACCCCCCTTTTTGTTGAGAAGAGTTTTGGGGGGGAGGGGGGGGCTTATTGAGTTGTTTCACCCAAATCTGACCTAAAATACACACACCAAAATACGTATTCTAATGTCAATTTCAACTTCCAAATCGCTGTTGAAACCTAACCTACGCAAGTACAAAATTTTGCCTCAGCCATTCAATGAATAGGTGAAGGTGAAGATAACGACTACCACTAGAAGTTTTTGTTTTTTTGATGTACTTATTGTTTTGATGATTTTAAGTATATTAAAAGAAACCACAACTTTCTATTATGATTTTAAGAATTTTATTTTTATTTACTCTTTCCCGTTTCACAATTCTCCTACTGGCGTCATTTTTTTTATCTCGCTGAATCCCTCTTCAAGAGACGTTTCCTATAAATGATGGTGAACACTTCCACGAATTCCTCCTTGCCATTGCTGATGTATATTAACCTCAATATTAAGGCAAGTTGTTTAACACATAAATTAACACGATAATGCATAGAACCTGACCTAACATACCCTAGGTTGGGTATGTTAGGTCAGGTTCTATGCATTGTCGTTTTCATTTGTGTTTAATATATTAGTGTCGAAAAAATTTCCAACCAATTTGGACAATTCCTTCTGGTGGTAGCCTTTATCTACACCTTTACCAATGAATATTAACCACAGTAAGAACATATGAACATACATAAGAAAATAAGGAGTCTGCAATAGGCCGGTTGGCCTGTGCATGGCAGCTCCTGTCGAGAGTTACTACTACTCTCTATCATCCATGAATCTATCTGGCCTCCTTTTGAAACTTTCCAGAGTTCCAGCACTTACTACAAAGTTGCTAAGCTTGTTCCACTCGTCCACCACCCTATTTGTGAACCAGTTTCTTCCTATCTCCCTCCTAAACTTATCCAATTTAAATCCGTTGCTCCGAGTCCTATCCTGCTCAGATATTATAAGAAATTTATCTATATCCCCTTTATTGACTCCTTTCACCCACTTAAATACTTCTATCATATCTCCCCGCACGGGTCCGACTAATTACCCAAATGTAACCGCAATGAAGTCAAATAATGGTCCTACATGAAGAAATCGGACTGCCAATCACTTCTCGACTAGTATTTGGTGTCACGAAGCCACAAAAAATTGGTAAACTTAATTTAATCTGAGTTAATAGATCGAGTGCATGTACCTAACCTAACCTAACACAACTCGGATTAAATTAAGTTTACCAATTTTTTGTGACTTTATGACACCAAATAATAATCGAGAAGTGATTCACAGCCCGATTTACGCTTGTACGACCATCATTTGACTTCATTGCGACTACATTTGGGTAATTACTCACTCCCCTGTCGCCTTCATTGATTTCACTAAAGCGTTCGACCTAGTCGACCACAATATAATCATCAACAAAGCTATTGACCTCGGGCTTCGGAGAAGTCTTATACCATGGCTTACAGACTTCCTCAGTGACCGACGCCAAGCTGCACGCCCGGAGGGGCTGTCTCCCCACCTTTCAGTCACTCACCTGTGGCGCCCCCAAGGCACCAAGATGGACCACTGCTTCCTTATGCTCATCAATGATGCCTCAAGAGAAACCCCCTGCTCGCTGGAAATATGCGTCGCATTTGATTCCACCATTGGGATCAAAGGCCAACAATCTTGCTCCCAACCATACCGCTCAGGATTTGTCAGTCTCCAAAACTGGGCCACCAACAACCATGTCAACACCAACCATACCAAGACCATGGTTATGCACATCAACCTCTCCTCCTACATTGTCCCACCTCCTTCCATTACCCTAGGTCCGAACACACTCCAGGTTGTAGATTCCACAAAGCTCCTCGGCGTCACCATAGACAACAAACTAAATTGGAAACCACACGTCAGTGAAGTTGTCAAATCCTCCAGTTTCCGTCTCCACCTCCTCCGCCGACTCAAGTCCCTCGGAGTTCCTGCACACGAGCTCCTCAGTGTTTACTCAACATTCATACTTCCCAAGCTCACCTATGCCTCCCCTACCTGGTCTTCCTCCCTAAATGCCACACAACGTAAACACCTAGAAAAGTGCAAAAGAGGGCATGCAAGATTATTCTCTCCCCTTCCTACTCCACATATCAAGAAGCGCTCAACACACTGACCCTTTCGACTCTCACTGACCATCACCACGACCTCATCTGCAAATTTGGTAAGAAGCTTCTACACCATCCTCGACACCGGCTCCTACTACCACCTGAGATCCCTATCCGAGAATTGCTGTTCGACACCACAACCGCATCCAGCCCATAGTGCACGAACTGATCGCTATAAGAACAGCCCAGTCCCAACCATTGTAAAAATTATCAATAACTTGTAATAAATCAGTGTATTCACTCCCCAGTAAACACCCTTTGCTGTCATATGTTTGAATCTGATTATTATTTGGTGTCTTTACTTTGTTAATTATTTGTTTTATTTTTTTTTTTACTTTGTGACACCAATATATTAACTCAAATTAAATTACGTTTTCCAATTTTTTTTACTTTGTGACACCAAATACTAGTCGAGAAGTAATTGGTAACCCGATTTATTCATGTAGGACCATTATTTGACTTCATTGCGGTTACATTTGGGTAATTAGTCGGACCGCCACGCACTCTTCGTCTTTCTAGGGAATGCAAGTTTAGATATCACACATGAAGTAGTGAAAGTGAAGGAAACATGCTTTACTGTACAGTACTACAATACCACCACACAATTTACGTGTGCACCAGTACAGTAACTGAAGTTATCCTTGGTCAGGAATTGTGTATATACAAACCACTACACCAAATGTTAGTTCAGCAACAGTTAAGTTACGATATATTTTTTTTACCAATTCCCACACTGGATACTTTACACCCAAATAACATAAATATCATTAACACTGAAGGACGTAACTGTTAATAAGCACACCGGCTTGCATGTATCTTTGATCATGTGTAAGTTATAATTACCATCTTCATTACTTACTTGTGCCCTGAGTTCTGTTAACGAGGGTCTTGCCAACATTTCTGTTAAAGAAGAGTGCAGGGGACTTGACATCATACCAGTCCTTGCGGGTGAAGGGGTCAATACTGAAAACAAAAATCGTCAAAACTTGAGGGTTTCAAATGCCACTTCTCTCACGTCTGCCTAGAATTAGACATATTTATCAAACTTCATCCAATTACTCACACACCTTATCCATTAATACATCATAACATTATATAGAGACATATCTTAGGTATATCTTTATCAATGTTAAATTAACTTACACCTTCTTCTTAGACCCCTTCTTGCCCGATTTGTTAAGGCCCTTGTTCTTCCCGACAGCCATGACTGGTGGGAGCGTGTAGAGGAGAGGCTGTGTGTAGACTGGCACCTTGGTTCACTTCCTTATCCTCTCTCTTTATTTTTGAATAATTTTAATTTAAAAGTAATATTTACTAATATAATTTTGTTATTTTATTATATTGTAAGATCTTTTTAATTATATGTGGTTTATTAGTGTTTATATTTTTCATGTTGATAGTTAAGGTTTGTTTTGGTTGTAACTTGTCTGACAGTGTTGCTGAGGCCGGGGACGACTGTTGGCTTTATCTCTTATATTATTGTGATGTGAAATAATGTCCGAGGAACAAACTAATTCACATGTTAGTATATAGTTAGCTTTTTATGTAGTACTCAGTTTTGTGGTTTGTATTACGTTTTTATGCGCAGGTAGACATTAATTAATGTCCTAGGACGAAGGGGGTGTTAATCCATCAGAGATTAGTCCAACACAAATTGGGTGATAACTAATTCTTATGCCAGCGTTTACAGCTAAACAAAAGGGTGTTCTCTTAGAATCGGTCATCCGGGAATCTTATGAATTTAACTGTTGGAATCGTTAGTTTAGACAATTCTAAGACACTGACGTTTCCCTGGCAAACCACTCAAATATGCTGGAAGGGGGGGGGGGGGTTAGGTTAAGCCATTTGCGATTGCAAAGATAAAACTTCTAAGATTTCCGTGTTGTCTGAAAGTAAAACTTTACCAACCAAAATATTTGGAAAAAGTTATTGGAGAATCCTTTATTACGTATGGGCTTAAGAACACATGAATGGAGGAAACTGCAGTGGGCCTATTGGCCCATACTGGGCAGTCCCATTTACACCCAACCACTATTGCTCATATATCCTCCAACCTATGCTTGAAGCTATCCAGCGTACTCAAGTTAATGATGTTTGGTAACTTGTTCCACTCTTCCACTACTCTATTTCCAAACCAGTGTTTACCTAAATCTAAATTTGTCTAATTCAAAACCATTGCTACGAGTTCACTCCTGGTTGGATAGTTTGAGTACCTTTGTTATATCACCTTCGTTTCGCCCCGACTTCCATTTATACACCTCTGTCATATCGCCCCTCACTCTACATCTCTCGAGGGAGTACAAATTAAGATGCTTTAACCTGTACTCAAGGTTCCTAATGCCTAGGATTAGTCTTGTCATTTTCCTCTGAATTCTCTCTTGGGATCCTATATCCATTCTGTAGTACAGTGACCAGAATTGAACTGCATAATCCAAGTGAGGTCTCACAAGCTTGGATAAAAGAATGTAGTGGATATTTTGCCATGACTGGCTAAGCTCTATTAATGCTATCTTACTGTGAGTGCACTGTGATTGGTTAATTGGCCATTAGCTACGAACAAAACTGCAAAATATCTACTGCGTTCATTTTTTTTTTAGTTATGTTTTACTATCTCATTCAGGGATTTTGACATTTGCAATCTATAGATCTAATAATTCTATGACTTTTCTTCTTTGACACTTACCTCGTAAATGTCAAATAACTGAGATATTGGATGTGTTTTATTCTCATGTTATCTTATACGGAAGCACTTGTCACCTACTCACTTTGTTTACTAATGATCCACTCTCCGAGTATACTCTCACATGCACCAAAAACATAAAATTACACCATAACGCGTCAACAAAGTTGCTTTCATTAGGACCAGATATCAAAATAAGTATACTTTCTCTTTAATATGGCATAGGGTTAGCCCCCTGTCTTAAGTAGTTAGGTAAGGTACTAAACTCTGCTTCTCAGACATATCCTAATATAGTATGTCGCTTCTTCTTTGAAAGGGCTCAGTGGTGGTTGGGGGAGATGTAAGCATAAATACAGCTGCTGGAGATCAAGAACAGCTAATTGTTGGACAGGAACACCATCACTACCCTCTGCCTGTCATCCCTGCACTTTACGCTAAGCTCTTGTTGTTGGTAAGTCATCACTTTTAACCTAAGTATGTAATATAATGTGCTGTACTATGTAGCCACTTTTCTAGTTTTCTGATCATCTTTCTTTAAGAGAGGAAATGTGATTCAAGACAAATCTATTGATAAGATATATACAGTACAGTATATACAGTACAGTATATGGGCGGCATTTAAGAGGAGCAGATAGAGGAGACTACCAAATTACAGGAATCTTGTAGTCCAGATAAGGTGGGTTGTTTTGGGTGTGTTTGCCTGGTCTCTTTATTGATTACAGGGTTTTTGTTGACTGAATACATCAATCTTGTCAACAGTTATGGGCATAGAATAATCTCATAGATTATAGTAACACAATGACAATATTATCAGAGCATCTGTTGTCTCTTTTTAAATAATACAGGGTGGAGTGGGAACTGGGAGGTGAAGTAATTGCCAATACTAAACGTAAAAAAAAGACTATGGGGTTACAAATCATAAATCACCAAGACGTAGTTATCACATTGTCAATATTGTTAAAAGAGGTAATCATGTGGTGGGCGTAGAGTATCAGGAGGACTTTGAAGACAAGAGTAGGTCCAGTGTCATCTCCCTCTATAAAGCTCTAGTACAGTACAGTCACAGTTGGAGTGTTGTGTGCAGGCATGGCCACCCGTCATCATTGTGATGTAAATGATATAAGATGACTGGTATGAAGAAAGGGTGAAAACAAAGCCTGTGACATTGGACACGAAGCAACTTGATCAACATTTTCAAAATCACATGTGGACTCAAAGGTCATCATAGCCCAGGTGTCCTTTTTATGGTCTATACAGGGACAACACAAGGGCATGAATATGAAATTTTTAAGCAGTGGCTCAAACTAAACATTAGAAAGTATTTCTTATCCCAGTTGGTGAATGGAATAAGCTGTCTATGGAGGCATTTATGGCAATAACTGGATGGATTCAAAGACAAGATAGAACCATTATTAAGACTCTGGGGAGATGTCACTTTTAACATTTTATTTAGCTCAGAGGTGACCCCATACACAAGGGGTTAGTAGACTATTCCAGTAACCCCTTCATGAGAGGGATGTAAATTTTAACACTATGTGGCTAATGCCAGATGATTTTATTGAGCTCAGAGGTGACCCTGTGCACCAGCCAGTGTTGCAGGTCAGCAAATTGGCTTCATTGGAATGTAAATGTTACGTCCAATCATTGCCTGAGTGTTTATACTGACTCCTGAATGGTAAGGTGTGATACACTTTATCACAGTTTATAATATATCCTCTTCCATTTTTATTTTATCTTTTGAGTTAATCTCAAATGGACAATCTATTTACTGTTAACAGGGAGAAAACATACTGGTATTTTTCTGTAAAAAAGTAATAAATGAATGGGGGAAGGGTCAACACCAACCAGGCTTCTACATAGGTAACAGAACACCATATTAACACATCCTCGCCCTACTTTTACAGCTTGGGGAAGTGAATGTAGTTGACTGCAGTACTGGCCATGCTGCCTCCTTGTGTAACAAAGGCTTAGTATACAATATGATGTATCCACACTGTCTTTAACTGGCAGTCATGCCCATGAAATCCACTTTCACTTTTTGTCCCGCCCTGTGGAGGTTAAAGAGGGGAAGAGTAATGTGTGAAGAGATAATGTATTATAAGCCTACCTGATATTCCCAACTGGGGCTGAGGGATATAAGGCAGGCTGTATTATGAGAAGTCACCTGGGTAAAGAGTCTGCCAGACATAGGGAACAATCCTACTACAGATACTGTATTTCTTATGTGGTAAGGAACCATCCTTGCCTCTTTGTTCCACAGTGTTTCCAAAGTCCATCATTACTTAACTTACTGACTATTGTGACTCAGTCTTAGTGATATGCTTCATATTATCTTACAAATAAATACCTTTTGTTCTTTTAAATTTCTTTGGACTCGAGCACCAGTTGCCTTATTAGAAGTCATTGATAGTTGTTTATAAAAAGTTAAAAAAAGGGCACAAGCTTTAAAAGAGTGGTAAAAATCTATCAAAGCCATGTTTACATAGCTTTGAATGGCTTGACCAAAGTACAGTACACCCTTGTACCCCAGAAGTACATCACTTCCATTTAGATTCTACTTAATATTTAATGAGTTATATACTGTACTTTATAGTACTACTGTATATTAGCATGTAGAGTCTGTACAGTACAGTATCTATGCATTGAGCTGAAATGCCAACTTGGTTATGATTTGTTATTTGTTTTACACACTACAGGTATTAGATATTATTTTTGCAGTACAATGCAGTTTTTTGAGACAGTACTTATTACAAAGGAAAATATTAATGTAAAGTTCATTATAATAATGCTTTGTAGTACATTTCAATATACTATATGTATATGATGATCATCAGATTGTGCTGCCAGCTGGAGGATTTCTGGTGCCTGTATTGCATCGTGTGGACACAGGAACAGATGCCTTCTCTGCACTTCAGTATCTCCATGTTATCATATGGGGCTTTGTCATGGTAAGTAGTGTAAAACCAAGAAATATTTGTTGCTTTTACTGTAGAATGGTTATCTTCTTCATGAGTGTAATATACTTAAATATGTATCACTGTCTATACAGTATATGGACCCTGTGCTATAATTTCATGTAACATCAACTGGGTATTGATGAAATGTGTGTATGATTCAGATTTGTTTTCTCCACAAAAACTTACAGGGGGTAGTTATTGTACACTGTAGCTACTGTATTTGTTTTACTCCTTATGCCCTGCACCCTCATGAGCTACCCGGTAATGGTTAAGTTTTCTTACCGACTCATGTACACCTAACCTGAGGAATTTTCATTTGACATTGAACTTAAAATAATTCTTTTAAAAAACTTGTGTTCATGGTTTTTAAGTAACTGTACCGTATGTTACTCCTTGGAAGGGGGGGTTAGCAGATTGCATGGGGTCCTACAATCCTTGTTCAGCGTGGAAGGGTGTAAGTCAATAACTAAGGATTAATACTGTTTGGATGGGTTTAATATTTGTTTCATTCTGTCTTAGGTACTGTACTGATGAAGAGACTCTTTTAATCTGTCTTTTTTAAAGAAACACAGTTATTATCACAACTCTGATATTATCATGTTTGTTATCAACATCATCTTAACCATTTCGCATTCCTGGCCAGGGTCAGAAATCTCAACCACTGTCAGTCTTTTGACGCAGGTCGCATTGGCATTGGGAAAAATTTGTTCGTGTTAGTAAACATTGGGTTGTGTACTCCATGAGAAAGACCTGTTATTTGGTTTAAAATTTTATTGTGCAATTTAAATAAAGACTTACTCAATAAATATATACCAAATAATCTTTAAAATATTGTGTGGTAGGCTGCTTACAGGGAGGGTGATCTCAGTGTGAGATACGGCTGAATGGGAGGGGTCACACCAGGACAGGAGTGCTTAGCAACATTTTCTGTGTTGAAAGACCTCAAGAGGGTTAATTGTTGTTGGGGAAAGATTTTACACTTAGCTCAGAAGCCTCAAACAGATGAATATTAACATGATGCATATACAGTATCTTTTTCCATTGTTAAGAGTGGAATAAAATTTATTATAGAAATTATCATTAATGCAAGATCCAAGTACAGGTGCTCCCCAACTTACGACGGGGTTAGGGACCCAAATCCAGGTCGTAAGTCCGAATGGTCGTAAGTCCAACATAGATCAAAAAAAAATCTACAATAAAATACAGTACAGTAAAAGTAATAAATAATGAGGAATGGATACAGTGTGACTGAGCACTTACCTTTAATGTAGTCAGCTGAATGCACACGGGGCCCCCCATAATTTTCTAATTATACATGGAGACTACATTAACTGGAAACGTTTCGGTATAGAAAACGCGCGCGGCATTTGAAAAAAAAATGGTCAAAACTGCGGCGGTCGTAAGGTCAGAGCAGGTCGTAAGTACCGATGGACGTAAGTCCAAGCAGTCGTAAGTCGGGGACTACCTGTATAGTATTTTATTCTTGAATTACACATTGCTATTGCTTGTCGGCTCTTATGTTCAATGTGCAGTTAATCAAATGATTGAGCTCCACCCACTCCTGGCTTCCTTAGCAACTGTTACAATTCTTATAAATTAATTGAGTTGTGGTTGATATGTGATTTATGATGCAAAATTGGTAAATCCATAGCAAATTTTGGTCTTGTTCATTGTTTATGGTAACTGACTTTTGTCAGGTAAAACAATAACAGACAAAATTAAGTCTATTCATGTGTAAGAGCAGTAAAACATGGAAATACTGTAGGCTGTAAACCATTTTTTTTCCTTTTTTCAGATGTTGACTTGGTATATAAAAGCCGAGCACAAGAAGTCTCGCATCTTAGGCTACCATGATTTTTACAACACGACAAGACATCTGCATAGAATCACATTTTACATCCTTAGTGGGGGTAAGTGTGTGCATTTATGTAGTGTACAATGAATTCCAATAAACAAGCTTAATGTTTCCCACTTAGTGAAGTTGTTTGGAGTTTTAAAAGTATTCTCTTCACTGCAACAGTAATCTGTCATTTGTATTGTACATTCTCCAGTCTTAAGTGCCTCTTTTCTTATGTATTGCAAGGAAAGTGAAGCTATTTCAGTGGATATCAGATCAAGAATATTTTCATTTATTCTTTATCAGGGAATTTTTCCTTCAGTGAATTCCTTTGCAGTGTTGATAATTATATAATCACTGCTTATCAGTATATCACCCATTCCTCATAAGGGTTTGACAAGAGTAGATCCATATTACCTGGACAGGAGTAAGTGGTATTAGATCTGTTCCATCCTCTCCCTTGGATGCTTCTTATTCTCTATTAATAAAGTTTAGAGGGACTTTTACACTTGAGATTTCATTTTGGTCTGGCAGGTTTGGGTTTTCCTTCTGACTTCTCTTTTGTTTCCTTCTCATGTTTTTAGTTGAGGGGTGGGTGTCCTTGCCCTTTGTCTTCCAGTTCCATGTGTGAAGTTTCTACATGTTCCTGGGTCTTTTTGTTTGAGGTTATTGTGGTTAGGTTTTGCTACAGATGTAAAGTTTCCTTAATTACAAAGTCAGTATTGCCTTTTATCAAAACACACTTTGTTCATATATTTCTAGACCTTGCAAGTATTTCCTTCCTAGAGTGTTTTGTGGTCTGTGGCTGTGTGACACAGGGCTCTATTTCTTTGCTCCAAACCTGGAATGAATTATTGTACTTTGAGTCCACCCTCTTCCCAGAGGAAGTGAAGTTGATCGTGTTTTCTGCTTTGCAACTAAGCTTGAATTGATGAAAAGAAGCTTACATAATATACAGGTATTCACAGTTTGATGGTCATGACTCATTAGCATCCAACATTTGGGCAGTTGCAGATTCTCTGACTCACTTTCTTTAGGGTTATGATTGCTGTAGGGGTGATAGGAAGCAAGCCCCTGCCACCATGAGTCAGTGCTTTCCTGGGTTTCTTGGCCCCCAGCCTTTGACTGGCTCTTTTATGAGTTGTTCTCTCCATGCTTAGTTATAAAAGGGGATATATGGTTCAGTCCCTCATTTTAGTTTTTGTGAGGCTTGATGCAAATACTTAACATCATTTAGTTTGAATGAGAATAAGGTTGATAGATAGATTGACTAATTTTATTAGTAGAATAGTCATACAATTAGTAGAGTGACTGCAAAGTGCAACATATTGCATTTTTGTCATTAAAAATGCCCTTCCTTCCAGGTAATGTCATCTTAATAGTGTTGGGAAGCGTGGTGAAAGACTACTGTCTTGGAAACAGCTCTTCCAGGTGTAGCTTAGCGATCTCCCTCACTCCTGTCACCTATCAGCAAATCATCTTTTTCCTGGAGATTTTCTTTGCCATACCTTTTGTCATCAAACACATAGGTAAGGTACTTTAAGAATATCACATTTTTAGATAACCACTCTGTAGTAGAAAGATATCTTACCTACCCTGGTTTCAGCATTCACACTTAGTTTAATTTCATGACTACCACTGAGCTGCTGTTAGCTAATGTGACTCAGTGAACCATTTGTACTTTGAGTATGAGAGACAACCAACTGTATAGCATAAAGAGTACACTCAGTTCTCTTATAACTCTGTAGTTGCATTCCTGAAGAATATCGCATTATAGAAAAATTGTGTTGTAGTAACCATTGATTCAGTGGGAATAAAAGGGTTAGGCTAGGGGGTAGTAGGTTCAAGAAATCCATTATAACTAACGAATTTCTTTACAATTTATATCATTGCTGTTAGATGTATTGAGTTCTTTTATAATAACAGTGTTTTAGTTTAATAATATCATTCATTAATATCATAAAAACGTGAAAGGGGGGAATTGTGTGTAACAGCTTGTTAGTCTACAGTAAGTTGCTAATTGATAGAAGGTGTAACTGTGAAGGAGGATGGAAAACGAAAATTATGAAATAATATGTAGTGGAGTGTGACTCTTAAAACTTTTAATGAAAAAACTGTTTTAATTCAAAATATTTATATAACCATAAGAAATGTAAATACACTTATAAAAATGCTTTAACACTTACCACAAGAAGATGGCTACTTGAGACGAGTGATGGAGTAGAGTAAGTCTGACGACAGAGTTTTTGTTCAAGAGTAATTATTAGCATTGCTATATTTGCACCTCACTTCTACTACCACCACTATCAGAATGCATAAGACCTTCACCACTCATTTTAATTAATAGCAGTAAAGTTAATACTACGGTAAAGAACAGTCTACGATAACACATGTGATGCATGTGAAAGATGAAGACTGATGTGCATGAGCAGCAACTCATCTTTTGTAATGTTACGCGGAGGCACACACGTAACCGCTTACCGGGTGTTTCTACTTACTGTAGTTACATTTACTCAATTGCGTTATGTCCGATTCATATCAGCCTTGTAAAAATGTGTTCCCTAATACTGTACATTCATCACTTTATAACCAAATTGCATTATGAAAACACGCATTATAGGAGAACTGACTGTATGAGAGTGAATGAATGGATTAGCCTCTTGGCAATAGAGCCTCTTCAGTAAATCCAGAGTAATGATAATTGATCACTGCCACCAGGTCCCCTATATGTTTCAAAATTTTTAATACGGTTTATCTAAAAACTGATATCCTTCATTTATTTAACTTTATCTTTATTATGAACAATATTTACTGGACTTCACTAATAATAGTAACATCCTACTGCATACTAAGAATGCCCAGCTCTGGGAGGGCTTTTGAGACAAATTTAGTGGAATGTGTGGAGAGTTGATTTCCCAGACAAGAGTGTGGCTTTCTAAATCCTCGTTTATGCATTGTTGACCCTTCAATCCATATTATAAGTGATCCAGTCTAGGCTAATCATGTCTCCAGCCTCCTCCAACCCTTACATGTTATATACTCGTGAGTGGGGTACTCCTGGAGGAATTATATAGAGAAATGGGAAGATTCCTATAATAATGATTAATTCTCACACTAACACCCAAATAGTTGTCTGTGTGTGTTGATTCTGATGGGTAGCATATACAGTTGCTTATTATGAAGATTGCCTGAATAACTGATGAACAGACATGATACTGTACTAATTTACCGAGTCTATTCTTTTTGTTTTCTTAATTCATTAGGGATTTCCTTTTTGTCACTCAGTGGATGTTGTTCGATTCAACATAGCAGAAGCTCCCCCGGACACCTTGGCAGAAGACGTGGCATTAAGATTCACCCATCCAGATTCATATGTTGGAGTTAGGTGAGTAAATGGTTATTGTACCTTAAGAATTATTATGTACAGTATAATACTTTACAAATCGTTGAATAGTTTCTGTAATGTGAGACTTTAATAATTAATAATCTCAATTATGGCTTTTAATGCTATTTCAATAAATGGGGCTCACTGTAAGCTGGCAGGCAAGAAGTTTTAATGGCAACATCTATCTGTGTCTTTGAGGCTTTTAGCATCAGACACAACTGCCTTTTTTTTTTCTTTTTTTTTATAATAATTACTTCTTACTTGTATAGAAATTGAATCCTCAGACCAGTGACATCATTATTTATAACCTTGGTCAAAGTTCATTTGTCAACTCCTGTGTCCCCTTATAAGAATATAATAATTTAAGACACCCATAAATTTTTTCTCTTAGTCATCGATATATGTGGTTTTACATATATGAGGCCAAATTATTGTTGAACTGTACGTAAAAAGTCCCCACATAAATGAGGAATTATTTTCGGGGAGCACAGAAGTCTCAACGGAGTGTGATTCAAATCTCCCGCTATACCATTGCGTATCCCCAACCCCCATACAGTGCAATTCCTTTCATCTGAACAAGAAAATGCAATTACAGTACTGTATTAACATTAAGTCAAAATTCGTTTTAGCAGTAGCTTGACTCACTGGGAAGGGAAAAAACTGGCATGTTACCATTGTTATATGTAATGAAAATATAAAGGCTGTGCATTAATCATTACATTACTCAAATGTGGCTTAGAAATATAATAAATATAATGTAGATCTATGAAATAAGAAAAATTAAGAGCATAGATGTTGATGTGTGGGAAGTGAACATATGCACGGGGTCGTGGAGACAGTGGGCTGTAACTACGTCGCCAGCTTGCCACCCACCCGGCCCAATGCTCTCTCCCCTGTTGTGACGTCGTGGCATACACACACACATACACATGTCTTGGTGTCGGAGTCAGCTAAGTGACTGCCCATAGTAAATAGTGTTTAAACCCCCTCGGTTTTCTATTGTTTTTTGTGTGCATTCTTTGATATCATTGTTATTGTTTTAGCCATGAGTTTAAAGTGTAGTGCTCATGCTAAACCAATTGCTGTCCTTAAAAGGAAGCTTAACAGCTATGGACTGGATGTTAATTAGACATTATTCATCAGAAGAAAAGTGGTGAGTATGAGATAGAAGTCCTCACGTGCTCTTCAGATTCCTGAGTATAAATGATAATAGGTATAAAATTAATCCTTTTGAGTGTCATTTAGTATCTTATGGTCCCATTCAAAACCTGTTTCCATTATTTCTTATGGCCAGAAATTCAACACTTTAAGTGAATTCGCTGTGGGTGGTGATTTTCTGGTCTCAAATAGCCACAGATAACGAGGACCCCCTGTACTGTACCTTCTTTCATTTTTCTTTGAAAAATTAAGAGTTTTTCCTCTCTCTCTCTCCGCATGATTGGTAACCATTAAGTAAAGTTTCTTAATTTCATGAAGTGATGCATTAGAAACATGTTTACTGTCTTTGGATATTTCATTACGTTGTGAAGTGAAGTATAGATGTGAAAAAAAAAAATTTATTAGAACAATGAACCCCTGCATGCCACTTTTAATATCTTATTTGGCTAACACCAGACAATTTTATTCAGCCCAGAGAGACCTCTGCACACAAGGGCCTAAGAAAGAGACTGTTTACTAGACTTAAACAATTTAAAGTGGTCCAGCACAGTATATTGGAGTTATTTGGGTGATATGATGACAGATAACACATAGGCAGAGAGTTTTTAAAATTTCTGAAAAATTCTAAACTTGATTCTGCAGAATTACAAAAAAGGGTGATATATCAGTTCAATAAAATAGTTATTACTATACTGTATATGGAACCTTGAGGAAGGTCTGTACTGGGAGTGCACGTTGGATTCATCCTCCCTCACCGTATATGCAAGACAGTAGTGCTGGTTTTGTTATTTTTTTAGCTATATTGAATTTTTCAGCAGTAATTTAAAACAGTTGTCGGCATCATTTGAAAGTAGATGCCTAAATTCTTTGTCATTTTAAAATTATTTGTCTATGTACAGTCACAATCCAAAGTTTCAACACCCCCTGGCTGGGTGTTCGCCGAGGCCAGGGTTGAGGTAAGGCTGGGTGATCGGACGCAGATTTTCCACCACCACAACACTCCGAGACTCACAGCACACGAGCCTGGAAGGAAATTTTTACGAATTTTGACATGGTATGCACCTGCATAACAAAATTTCATTCATAACATTGTTGGCACACATAACAATAGCAAGTTAGGAGTGAGGCATTAGAAACTTGGGCTGTTCTCGGCCCAGTTATGAAATATAATTAATGATAAACATCATGTGTTGATGGACTAAAAGTATCTTGACACTACTACAGACAAAGAGTAAGTCCCATCACAAAGATGCACATTTACCATCAATATTCATAGCAGTGACCCACTATCAGAGCTCTGTTGGCTATCTCCTACAGACGATTGGCTCGGGGTTAGGTGGACGTAGCCCACGTCCTCCAGCCAGAATATCCATATCTATTGGAAATTAGCTCCAAGTTACCAAACACCATGATTAGAACATCATAGATATTTATCATTCAGGTGGAAAATAAAAATTAATCATATGCATAACTAGTTGTTACATTGGTGACCTCTGTGCCATAAGTTTCATAATCCGAGACATTATGAAGTGAAATTTAAAAACTAAAAGCAGTAGTAGACAGGAAACAAGGCAAGTGACCAAGAAGTAGTCACTAATGATGACACACAGCCAGGCATTTACGCTGAGGGTCGAGGTCTTCGGCAAAGTTGCTGCTCCAGACAAGACAAAAATTGTTTGGGTGATACCATGATTAATGTGAATTGCAACATTCCAAGCCAAAATATTCCAATGTAGTTACTGCTACACCATTAAATATTGTAAACATGACTATATGAATTCCTTGTATGTGTGAGACCATAATATTCACAGGGTTATGGTAATATCTATACAAGTATAGGCCTCACCTTGTCGACTGACCGCTCATTCCCTCTTGACGAAATTTGTCCGCCGGCCACCCTTTATATATGCTGCCCTGATGATTCATGTGTAATACGAGGACTCGCATCTAGTGGTTCCAAGCCAGTGTTTTGGGACCGGGCAAAGTTTTTCATTGTTATGTGTGGCAACAATGTCAAAGTTCGTAATAAGTTCCTTCCTGTGTTCGTGTGCTATGAGTCTCGAAATGTTGTGGTGGTGGAATGTGAACCTCACCATCGTAGTGCCTCGTTACCACATTGCTGAACTAGTCTGCGTCCGATCACCCAGCCTTACCTCAACCCTGGCCTCAGCTGTACATTATAGTACATTGTACAGGTATTTTCTTTGATCTTGCCATTTTGTTAATACTGTTGAGTGAATCAGTTCTTCTTTTGAAGTTATGCGAGTTTTTCATTCGCATTCATTAATAGTACCCATGAATAATGACAACAGGGTGCATTATCACATTAAGTTCAGCAGCATTTTTTACAACCTCCTCACTTTTGCTTTGTTGTTTTAGGCACATGAGTTGCCTAGAACAGAAGATTACCAATGCAGTAATGGTGGACTGATGATAGAAATTGTATTTTACTGCCAAATCTGGACAAGGCAACTCAGATACCCTCTCTCTCCTCTTAATGGTTGGGTATTCTTGTTGGTTAGAACTGACTGAAGTAGTTCTGGAAGATTCATTTATGGTATAAAAACAATGGACAGGTGGTTTTGCATATGAAACTCAGCTGTTATGGCATCAAAATTTATTTGCTTTCAGCTATAAGTGGGAATTGTTTCCTCTGATACTCTTTTTTAAGGGATTTGATTGCAGTAGGAAGATTTAGGAATAATCTGTGGATTGTCTAGGTTTTCCTTGGGGTTTAACACCTCAGATTTTGTCAGAATATTTAATAGTTGCCTTGTCTGAATTCACCCATAAATTGTGATATTCAGAATCAGTTTAGCATCTTTGAACAATTTATCCTTTTTTCAGGGGTCCAAGTAACCTTGAACGGGTTCTTGAACGCCAGGCAGACTTACTTCAAGTTCTTCGACACAGGAACTCAGTTTTGACTCGGCAAGTTTACTTGCTATCTCAGCAAATTCATCAGGCTTAAAAACTGTCATGACTTCCATGTGTAATATTCATTCAAAGTTAGTTTACTGTTTTTTTCTATTTGTAGTGTCATTAGTTTTGCAACTACTTCGTGCATGTGATTGATGCTAGCTAGCAGTTTAGTGTATGAGTATTATACTTGTTATATCTATCTATTAACTTGATAGTTCAGGGATTCATCCCTGCCAGAGTTTGGTTTGTATGTTTTGATTGAATTCTATATTCTTATAAACAGATAAGGTGAATTACAAAACTTAGATCTTGAAGTACAGGTATTAGATTTGGAAGGCAATTGTACAGTACTTCTTTGTGTAATGCGTATGCTTTGGGATCTGATTAATGAATTCATGTAAAATATGGAACTTATTAAAGCTGTTGAATATTTTATTGAATGATAAAAGGTATTTGTTGGCACGTCTCTGGGAAAGGAGACAATATTGATAACAATCATACTCATTTTAACTAAAGGTTACTACAGTACTTAGTTGTGACTACTTAATGCAAAACACACTTGCAGCTTTTTTGGTGGTTAAGCTTTTTCAGTGTCCTTTACCACCATGATGGCCTTATGGAGAATTAATAGAAAACTATTCTGGTGGTGGTTTTAAGAAACTTCCTTATAAAACCCAAATGTTTTTTGCAAATTCCCCAGTAATTTTTGTCAAACTCATTGTATCTACTGTTGCAGCATCTGCAGACATAGTTTGTCGGTTTCAAGTCCATTTGGAATTAGTTTTCAGAGTTTCTGTTTGGATATACGCATATCATGTAAATGACAGAGAAATGTTTTCACCCAGAAGGATACCATAATATTCTGTGATGGGCCATGACATAAATGCTAGATTGGTAAGTGTTTCTAGTTTAAAGCATATTTGACACAAATGTTTACAACCATGCATTTTTGGTATAATACAAGCTTGTGAAAGTCCCTTTTAGCACTTGCGGTACAATCTTGTATATCAGTTGTAATTTTTCTTAGGCAGTAATAGTTTTCACACTAACAGACAAATATTTAATCTGTACTTTGGACTGTTTGCACCACTGTGCCATTAATTGATTGATCAACCAGTGCCAGTGATTGATTATGTTGTGTTAGCAATAGATCCTCACACTTGTGAAACTAAGGGTTAAGTTAAGGCTAAAGTTGTTTGTTCACACAACATAGTTTATCAGTGGTGCAGATCACATGTTGCATACACTTCAGTCATAAATTTTGGATAATTTTCTATGCTGTAACAGTGACATTATTTACATGTATAATAAGCACTAAACTGAATATTGAAATGTACACAAGCCTGTATGTACTATATAATTATTAAATTATTACAGTAGACCCCCATTCATGTGCAAGGTTGCCTCCATAAGAGGTTTACATAAACACATTTGTGTAAATGTGAATATGTAATGTAATGAAAAGTGGCTTCGACCTGAGGTACCTCCAAGACCATCCATTACAGCGGTTTACACATCCTGTATACCTTACTGCAGCCTTCATATTGTATCAGTTTTACACCTAAAAACTGATGAAACAGTCATAAGACATTCATTTTACATCACCATTGTTAGAAAGGATAGTGTTGAATGTTCTTCATTTACTCAGAAGTGACACAATACAAAATGTCACTCTGTGGATTGAAGCCGGGGGGAATATGGCCTAAGGTAGCTCTGCCCATACACCCCACATGAAGCCTGGTGAAGTGAGGTGATAGGTGAGGTCAAGTAATATTGCCTGCATGTTTTACAGGTGGGCTGGTGGTGGTGGCATAATGAGGAATTAGCTAGATGGTGTTGTGATCAAGGTGAGATGGCCTGGTGTCGGTGGTGGTGCTGGTGTGTGAAGGAGGGAGTGTGTGCAGATGTAGGTGAGAGGAGAAAGTATGTAAGAAATGGAATGAAGTTTATGAGTGAAAGAGAGAGATATGTGGGTGAGCTGTTGTAAATTCCCGTGATATATTTTACACTTGGCAATTGTAAAATAAAACAATCTTTATACAGTGTGTGTGTGTGTATATATATATATGTATATATATATATATATATATATATATATATATATATATATATATATATATATATATATATATATATATATATATATATATATATATATAAGTGACCCCTAGGTTAACGAACTCAATCCGTTCCAGAAGGTCGTTCGTTAACCGAAAGTTCGTTAACGAAACCATTGTTTCAATGGGTTTTGGGTAATTGGTTCCAGCTCACCGAAAATTTCCTAAATTCAACAAAAATGGTAGAAAAGTTCACTTACTTTGAGGTGTGTATGTAGAAGGCTCCTGGATGATGATGATGATGATGGGAATTACAATGGGGGTGGAGGAGAAGGAAGAAGAGAAGGCATTGGGGTGGAAGAGAAGTCACCCCATGGCACCATTTCACCCATAAAATTTTAGTTCTCTTGGTGTATTTCAAGATTATTTTCTTTAAATCAACACTGTACTGCATTATATATTGTCAATATGTAAAATATATTTCAAAATGACCAATAATTTGCTTGGAAACACAGAAAAAAGCGTTTAGTTGAAGAGAGTCTCAAGCAAGATGTTACCTCCAGTGAAAACAGAGAGACTAACGCCTGTTTGCTGTGTTAAGAGGCTGGATGCTGCGCTTTAAACTAGTCACTTTACCTTCAATTATGTTCAATAATTGTTAAAATGACTAAAAAATTGAATATTAAACTTTTAAAATTATTGAATAGTATAAACTTCTTGATATTTACTAAAATAGTTAGGAATTTAAGCCCTAGAACCGATTAATGTATTGGCGGACTGATACTAAAGCTGGTTGCCCGGCCAGTGCAAGCGAAAACATGCTGAGGTCGGTTCGTAAGAAATTCGTTAACCGAATTTTTGTTCGTTAACCGAATTGAAGATCCTTATGGAAGGCAGTTCAACCCAAATTAACCGGCAAATCACTATATATATATATATATATATATATATATATATATATATATATATATATATATATATATATATATAGAAGTAAATGGTGCCTCAAAATGTTTTAGGTCACCCTGTATATTTAAATCCAGTTGCCCTCTCTTATATTTTATTTTATATATATATATATATATATATATATATATATATATATATATATATATATATATATATATATATATATATATATATATATATATATATATATATATATATATATATATATATATATATATATGTATATATATATATATATATATATATATATATATATATATATATATATATATATATATATATATATATATATTATTATTAGCCCAATAAAGCATCGACTTTTTAATTCAACCCACAGCTCATGGGCTGTCAAGTCCTGGCGGGTTGAGGTGTTGATTGTATGTGTGTGTATATATATATATACAGTACAGTGAACCCTCACTTTACGCGGTCAATTGAACCCACGGCGACCCGCGTAAAGTGAGAAACGCGTAAAGTGAACAACATAACATATGGGATTAATTGAAATAGAGACCGGGCCGACCCCCAAACTCCACTTTTTCAGTCACAATACCTACGTTGTAGTAAAAATAACTTCTTAATTTTATGATGGTATGCACACACAATTAATAATTAAGAGAAATATCAATAATATTAGGTTTTTTAACACTTACATTAGTAGAAAAGATGGCTGGGCACACGGGGATGGGGGGGTTGGTTCCGAGGCAGAGGGCAGATTATTGGCCCTCACCTGTATCACTTGTATCACTATCTACCACAGAGGCTTGCAGGGCCTCTTTGTCAAACCCCTCAAAGTCCATATAAATCCATATCCTCACTATCATTATCACTATCACTGACTTGGGCCGGCTGTGGTGGGTGGCGGGTGAAGAACTCGGTAATGTTTTGATGACTGGGCGACCTTGTGCGCACCCTGCTTTCGCCGCTCTCCGCGTAAAAGGGTACACACACCGCGGAAAGTGAGCATTCCGTGTTCGGCAGGGTACTGCGTAAACGTGGAAACGCGTAAACGTGGAAACGTGTAAAGTGGGACCGCTTAAAGCGAGGGTTGACTGTGTATATGTATATATATATATATATATATATATATATATATATATATATATATATATATATATATATATATATATATATATATATATATATATATATATATATATATATATATATATATATATATTGTGAGTGTGTGTGTGTGTGTCTTGGCTTTGCAGTAGCTATGGTGCAAGACATGTTCTTTCACCTTGGGTTAATTAGTGACCAGGCCACTTCCTCACCATCTGACCTGCTACCACATATTGTGTTGTAGTGGTAGTTGTGGTGTACATGATTTTGTATGGGCTTTGTTGGGACTGGTTGAAGGGAGATGTCAACTGTCCCCACTATAAAATCATATAACATGGTGAGATTGTGTATTTTGGATGAAACTATGTAGATTTAGTTGATGGGAGGTGTCAACCACTCTACCTCTTTTGATAATCACACTGCCAACAAGTATGCAGGATGCACCTAACACATTTATCCTTCATGGGCCAATCAGAGACCAGTGTATTTCCCCACTGCACAGCCCCACCACCACATACTGGCACCTCACTTTATTTCACAATTCATTTGAGTTCCATTGTATATTGACTCTCACTCAGCTACATGGTTGTCTTAGTCAGTATGACACTTGCATTTTTGGCTAAAAAATCATATACCTACAGTATGTGGGGAGACCCAAAGGGGGAAATCTTATATTTATTCACCTTGTTCATGCAAGTCATGGTTCTAGAGGTTGCATGTTTGTGAGAGTTTACTGGAGTGAATTTGGTTTATAATTTTTAGGAAAAAATAATGGTATTTTAATATAATCCATATATTTTGAACATATTCAGAAGTCTAATTTCAGGTTTAAGCTACTGTAATGTGATGTGACTTTCTGAAAGGTATTTGTGTAATATTGTATCACTATATCAAAGCTTACCTATGTTGTAGTACAATACAGTATAATGATATTTAATTTAAAGTATATCATTGAGCTGTTATAGGCTAATTAAGAATGTTAACCAAATTGTTTTAAGGAGGATAAATATTACAATGAAGTGCCAGTATAACATACATTAACCAGTATGAAAGAATAACTTGTGATATATTAGGTTTCACATTACAGTGCCTTAATGTGTAATTTGTGTAATTTTCTATTTGTTTAGCCAAAGATTGCTGTAACTATTATGAAAGGTTTATAAAGTAAAGGGTAAGATAAAATTTTGCATTTCCACAAGTCTTCCATGAATATTTTCTGCATTGTTCTTCTGGTGTAAAAAATGAGGGTATAATTATTTTTGTTTCCATGCTAATTACCATTCAAGAAATTTAATCATGAACAGTACAGTATATTTACAGGATGATATAGTATAGAAAGAGCATCACAAAACTATAGAATATGGGAGAAGCGTTTTATCTTTATGGGAAGGGAGACTGTTACATTGTGTATAATATTGTTTGTTATAGTGATACCATAGATAATTCCCTATATAGAACTTTATAATGTTATTCCCACATATTATTGATCAGTGATAGATATACTGTACCGACCCTGTTGAAGTGATGCAGCGGTAGAAGTGGGATCAGGGCAAACCAGGAGTATTAAGTGTTAGGGCAAGAGGATGAGATGTGATCCACTACCCTCTTCTCTGTTAGGAACCTTGTATGTAACATGCCATATTCGGGCTTCTCACTGAACTTCATAATGGTGAGAATTAAATTGAGACAGACCAGAGAGGTTAGAGAGGTCTATTCACATTACAGTATATCCTCTTTTGTACATTTGAGCAAGTGCCAAAAGAAAAAAATGCTGGGTTGTAATTTTTGGCATTGTTTTGTGTTGCAGTAATTTGCTTTTTGTTTCCACATCTGCTCGTAATGTTCTAAATTTCTTGCATCACTCTCCCTTACCATTCTCTCCCCTCCCCCCTGGCCTGAGGTTCCTTTTCATTCCTTCACCAACCTACAAAATTAGGAAATGAAAAAATAATAAACTGGTAAATTACAAACAATTCATATCAAAGATTTTTCTGAAATGTATTGATCAGAATTAGAGATATTTTGTAAATGTAAACTCTTATAGTGATATGGCACAGTGATGAATTTATTGGACCTCTCATACATAGTGTATATCATAACTCAAGACAGTACAGTATAAGTATATCCTTCCAGGACTTAAGTAAAAATACAATGCTGAACCAAGGAATGACACTCATGTGTGGTAAAAAGCTTGAATCAGTCAGTGAGGAGAAAAACTTCAGAGCATCTGTATATGGGTCAAGGCAAGATATACTGTAACATTTCTTTCAGCTCTAACCTTACAAATTCTATCTGTACTGTATTTCCTTTAATGCCATTTCATGATATTGCCTATATATCAGTAAAAATATACAGTTAATTAAGAGAAGAGAATTCAACGTGTCAGTAATTAAATCAGGGTCACAAATTTTACCTTTCATTCCTTGTAATTACTAAATAACTGTTATCATAAATTTAAAATGAAATAGTATCACTAAAATACAAAGTGAGCATTAAGGATATATGCCAGATTTGTAAATGTGGTTCTTTAAGGATGTAGCCAAAGAAATAGAGACTTGGTCCTGAAATCCCAGGTGACTCGGGTACTGCATCAATAAGTCTGGGGTTCTCGGGGCCCTGAATATGTGTGTCTGGATCTGTATTCCAAAATCTATTAAAAACCAGATACAGTACCTAGAAATGATATCTCTCCTGACTCAACCACATCCCCTAAAAGTTGGGTAGTGTTGAAGAATCCGTTGCCTCAAGCCATACTAATGTCATGTGCTATGCAATCGAAGCAAGTTAGAAAATTGGGAAACAGTTGCGATCTACTGTCAATTTTAGCTCACCCCAACACCTATGGGAGGTGGGAAAAATTTGAATTGTTAGATGCAAGCTTAGTTTTAAAATTGGACTTTGGATCCAAGCCGCATTTGCTGCTGATGCAGTGAATCCATCATTATCATCATCATGAATTCAGTGCATCAATCCTATTTTATAACCAAGCATGGATCTGGCAACTCGGATCACTCCCTCCCCCTTGGTAAATTGGGAACTCATGAAAACTCTGGCCAGTTGGTGCACTGGGAAGGGTGGAGGTATGACTCTTAACATTAGTGAGGTTTGCATCCTTTACCCCGGGAACTATGTTAGAGGAGCCAACCTTACTGGTTCCCTGAATGCCATGTAGTCCAGTCTTGAAGTGTGGTAGTTCATATAAGCATCTGGAAGTGAACACCTCTGCTTGTTAATGCACTCTTCTTCAAAGGATGGAGTTTATCCAGGAAGTTTAAGGAGGAGGAATTCTCAAAGCTATAGTCCCAGCACAAGTTAAGGGTCCTGCAAACCCTGGGGTGTAAACCTGTGAACTTTTTGATGCAGTTCATAAGTTGCACAATTCTTTCTAGGCTATATAATTTGATTTTAGGATTAACATGCAGCTAGATGAAGACTCCTGTGCATTCACTAGGTCTGCAGGTTGGAAAGCCAGGAGTCCCTAGTCCCAATCTGATGATTAGTTTACCTCCCTGTTGCAACCGTTGGCCTTTAAAAGGGAGATTTGGAGTATCAGTCATTATTTAAAGTTAGAGGATGAAGGGTAGTAACATTAAAGAAAATTAGCCACTATGGTCCAGGGTCTCTGAACTAGAGACATAGTAATCACATTGTACAATTCACCAAATGTCATACTCCTTCCTTAAACCTTTTTCTTTTATACCATTTATTATTACTTTCTTGTATAATACTTGCTAAGTTATCCATAATCCTATTTCATAGCATGTGGCATCATTTCAGGTACTTAATTGCCAAACAAACACACAGAATTATCAAGTAAATATTTAAGGCAATGCTGTTAATTCTTTATCACTTGAGGATGTAGAAGTACTCAGAGCTCCAAATATTAAAATAATTTGTTTTTATTCTAACCCTCATTTGAAAATATGCAAAGGCAGTATGATGTAAGTTGACTAGATATATTCTACATTTTGAATACTCTGTACCTATATAGGCAATTTAAAATCTGTTGGTTCCACTTTATATTTGCAAGTGATCATAGTTTGAATCTTGAATTCATGTCACCATTGATCTGGGGAAGTTCCTACCTCATATAATCATTTCCTGATATTAATCAAGTTGTTGCACTCAGACCTTCCTGGAACTGCCACATTAAGTGACCATCTTTTAACCTACTGGACTGTATCTCAGTATTAATGACCTTCAGTAACATGCTCTTCTGCTCTCCTCTACCATCATAAGTTTGGTCTTCCTTAACTATAGTACAAATAACATAAACATTAAAGAAACATGAAGGTATACAGTACTGTATTATGAAAACACAAGAATGAGTATATACTGTAAATGTGATCACCTATCAACAGTAGAATTAGTAAAGAATATGTTAATTATTGTAAGTTTGTACACCTGATGGAACTACTACCAATACGTAGAAAGTATGTATTTTGAGGTAACTTTTAGTGAGATATTAATTGAAGACAAATGCATTGTATAGTCAGTTATTAATGTTGTAATTAATACAGTATTAGAATTGCTCTATTAATTGAATTATTTTTTATTGTTGATGTAAACCATAACTGTTGCAGGAGCATACAGTATATGTATGAATGAATATGTATACTGTACTGTAATCATACATACATAGGTACATACATACATATTAAAGATAATTTTCATTTGGAAACTTGGAGCGACCAATATTCCGATGTAGCCTTGAATTTAGTGGTTTCAATTTTTTTTTTTTTTTTACAAAAGGAAAAAAATACAGTACAGTAATTACAAAAACCTTTTGTACACATTTTCCCATAGACTCCCATTATAAAAGCTGAGATATGTTCCTTGGAAAAAAAATGCCCGGTCCAGTAATATCTCCATTAGCCGGAACTCTCCAATAGCTGGAATTGAAATTTGGTTGGAAGTTTTCCATAAAATTCCAGGTTTGGGAATAATTTTCCAGGGGGTGAGTTTTCTGGAAAATTCCGGAAACACACTCCAAATTTTATTTTTTTTCCGGGTCTGAGAGCAAATTCTGAGGATGAACTAGTGCTCAGTTCCAGAAATTCTGAGAAAATTTTCCTGATACCGGAAAAAATCCAGGGACGAGGAATTTTTTCCGGGTTTGAGAGATGAAATACTGTACAGTATTGTCATTCTGGAAAATTCCGGTAACTCTTTCCCACCAATTTTTTCCTGGGTCTGGGAGCAAATTGTGACGATGATATAGTTCACAATTTCCAGAAAATTCTGAGAAACTTTTTCCAGTACAATACCCGGAAATATTCCTGGGGTGGGGGATTTTTACTGGGTTTGAGAGTCATCTCGTTACCCAGAAATCTCTCATTCCCGGAAGTGCTCTGCAGCAATTGTTTCAGCTAATGGAGATATCACTGTATTTCCCCTAAAAATTTAAAATCCTGAAAAGCATGTTTTAATGACAATTTTTGGTGTACTGTACACAATGATTATGAGCCAATAATAAACATGCTGTACAATACAGTACAGTAGTAATTTTATACCTGTACTTACAAGAAACTAGATGAGATTTGGAACAAAAAGGGGAATATGAAATGCAAAGCCAACATCTCTAATGTGTTGCTTTGGTAATACTGTACATTGATTTCTGTTCCATAATATGAAATACGTTTTCTACGAACAAAAGTCCTACACTTGACCCTGATGAGATATTGCATCATCCTAAATTCCCTCTGCTCTCCCGTGTATTGCTGGCAATATGCTCACCTTCAAACTTTTGCTCACTTCCAAATTCCACCCTTTTCTTGCAACTGTATTTAATTTGGCACATATTACATGAGAGTAAATGAGATGAAATTGGACGCTCAGGCAACTGGTTGAGTGACTGTTGGTGGTGATGAGTCTGCTTATCCCCTGTGAATTTAAGGGGTAAGTTATATGATGATTGTAGGAGAATGATGGCACATTTCTAGCGTAGTGAGTGTTAGAGAATTATGAAGTAATTTAGTGAAATATGTAAGCATATTGGTGGTAAAAAAAAGTTTTATTTTAGCATCTTTTCATTATTATTACAGAAAATAATTACCAAAGTGGTGAGGACAAAACTTAACTTTGAATTTTTCATTCATAAATCAAACCATAGGATCAATTTTTTTATCAAACCTCTGTAAACCAGGGATTGCCTGTACAGGTATATAATTTCCAGTATACAGTATATGTTTATTATACATTACTGAGTTTTGTATATCAAATATGTTGTTACAAGGTAATTCTTTAAAACTTGTGTCAACCAATCCAAAACGTATCATGACTCCAGGGTTTGATGGAATAGAAAATGAATGATAACCTCAAACGTGTTCATGTATTGGTTAGGTTGGTCTTCGCTTGATGTTTCTTATTCTTTCAGACACTTCAGGTCTCTAAACTTTTTGGATTGGCTGTACATCACTATCATTATTATTTTAATTATCACAAACTTGAGTTATTATGAGTTTTTACCTATATTAATCAATTGTTTCATCATAGCTGAGGTTGTGTTATATTAAGTTACTGGATATGTAATGTTGAATTATCTTAAGCTTTCTGTTTTTCCTTTTCGCCATATTACTTGTGATTTGCTTGAGTATACTCTTTTGTGATATTTTATACAAGGCACAATATGACTAACAAAGTTTTTCTTAGTTTTCTGTGTTCCAACTTTCAGCGTTTTTAGAAATATGGAAATTACAGTTATTTGTAAGGCCTCTTCTTTGGGAGATATTGTATTTGTCTTATCTGAACATCCAACAAGGCCTTGGTTATGCTCTATCAGGAAGTTGTAAGCTTGTAAACATAACATATGAAATTGTTTTAATGTTTTAAAGATTTGAAATGTTTGAAATTGGTTTATGGATTGTTTGTATGTCAAATGGGCACCAGCCAAACATAACTGAAGGACCAATTAGGATTGGAGTCAATTAGTATTATGACCCATTAGGACTAGCTCTCAATCCTAATACTGTATACAGTAGTTTGGTTATGGTTGGTTGGAACCCTTTAATACTGTGGCTCATTTCCGAGTAATCTTACGGATTAGCTTATGGCTGTGATTATAATCGTGAGGGGATGCATCCACATATGAGTGACAAATGGCTAACCTAAGATTTTATAATAAGGATAGATGAACAATTATGTAAATTGTAATAGTGTGTTTTACTGAAAAATAAAAAATTAATACGTATTGTATTATTATTTTTTGTTTAAGTTTTGTATCCAAGAACTCTCAGTATTATTTTTATAAAATTCAAGAATTTTATGTTTGTTACAGTAATAAAAAGTGAAAAGGAACTTGGTATATCTAAATTAAAGAAGAATAAGTCTGCTGTTTATAGTACTAGATAAAAGTGTGTTTTAAAGTTACTACTAAGAGAATTGCCATGGAAACATTGAGTGATAGAGTTTTGGGGAAGAGTATTGTGGGTTGAGAAAAAGATGATGATGTATGGGTCAAATGTTTGTGTGAAAATTATCTGAAGACGAAGGAGGAACTTATTTTGGTGTTTATGGATCTAGGAAAAATATAATAAAGTTCCCAAGTATTTAGGAGGTTGTCAGTAGTCAACAGTAACACCAAAATTTTTTGTAAATATTGATACCAGAAAAGAAGAATTTCCAGATTAATTTTGCTTAGTTCCATCAAATTAAAAAGCAGTGAATGGAAACTGTGCCAGTGGCCACAATGGGCCGGTGTAGAATCTAAAAAACTTGGATAACACAGAAATGAAAAATTATGTGAAGCTGTTGACCCAGTATAATTACTAACCTTGTTACATACTAAAAGACCTTAGTTGTTGAAGTGCAATAACAACATTATAATCTCAACGACCAGTAATTTACAATATTGTACTGTATAGAATTGCTGTTACATAATTAGATACTGTATCACCTTGGTATTGTACTTTATTCAACTACAGTAGTCAGATATATAAGATTAATACATTCATTTCTCTTCACAAAGATAACAAGTTGAATGAATCCTCACAAGCTTTGAGTGGTTACCATAGTCTCCATGATGTGAGAATAGTACCATATGTGCACATAGACTGCTAAATGCTTTAAATAGATTACAGACAATAAAAAGCATCCCAGAGTAAGATATATTTCAAAGACATACTGATCAAAATTAATTCATGCGTCATACTGTATACGGTACGATATATTCATTACCATGGTAACACATTGTGATATTGCAGAAATCTTGGAATAAAATTGTTTATGATATTTGGATTGATACTAAATCTTTGAAGAACAAGGGTGATTAAGAATTGATCATTGGTTGTGTTAAACTGTACCTGACAAAACATCTCTCATGTACAGTAGGTACAAACATATTCCCAGGTCAAGTCAGGAGAGGGAACCACTTTGTTAATTGAATGTAGCAAAAGATGTCTTGCCTTTGTATAAACACTCCTATGTAGTATAGTCTAATGTATTTGGTGTGTGGGAAGGTATGGTGGTGCAAGTTTTACCCAGGTTCTCTTGCAGCACCCTGGGGTCTTCTTCTCAACCACTATAAAATAGGTGATAGTGAAACAGAATGTAGTTAGTAGCAGATGGTGGAGTAGAAGCTAAGCCAGTACAGTATGTACAACAGTGAACCATTAATTTTATACAAGGGTATACTGCAAAGAACTTGGTTGAACCTTGTCCCATGAAGGGAGGTGGACATTTAGATACAGTATTTCTAAAGAGCTATAGCATAAACTGAGTACTGTAATTTAAACTGTTTTGACATACTGGTAATCATGAATCACTCACAAACTGCACATTTTGATCTTTGGCTGTTTACCCAAATTTTGTATACGGTAGTTTATAGAATTTTGTTGATATTACACTCACACTTTCACAGATGCATATACTGTACCTGTATAGATAGACCTTACTAACCTCCACCAGTGGGGATTGAACCCAGACCTATAGCAGGATTTGACACTAGGTAGCTCAATGGTAGTAACACAGTTTCATGCCATGAACCCAGGTTCAATTCCTATTGGTGGAGGTTGTGTGTTGTAAGGATATCGGGTTTTTTTGTATACTGTATATGTTTCTGCTTGTATGAGTATGCTGGCACATACAGGTACATATTGAAATGTACTTTTTGTTTGACTTTCAGATATTTACTTTGAGCTTTTATAATATGAGTTTTGAAAACTCTGAATACTGATGGTGAAACTTTAATGATATGAATAATGTTGAAAAGCATTTGTTTAACGTATAGAGGCAGATAATGTTGCAATTGATCACAAATTACAGTAGTATACTGTACAGTATTGGTAAACTCAAGAAAATTATTACAATGGTTTTGCCAGATGACTGTTTCCATAGAATGTCTCAGTATCTGTGATGGTTTAGGCTCCTACCAGAAGAATTTAGCTAGTAAGAGGTTATGTTTCTGGACCGAACATGACCTTGCCCAAGAAGCCAGAATATTCGTTTTGCGTTCTAGTTGACGAAAACCTTAGAATAAGCAAATTCACATTATACCTGGAAGAAATGGAAGCATTAAAAAATTATTATACATAAGAGTTACTAACAAGTTTTAATGTTAACTTTAAAGAAAAACTAAAAGAAAAATTTTCATCAACAGAAAATTCTTTGGGTTATTTACCATATTTTCATAATTCCTAATTCATCGAGCTGTTGTCTTTCCACATCTCTTACAATTCAATGAATATTTATTCATAAAAAATGGAAGACTAAGAAAAATCCCCATGATTAAGAGGGATTCAATGAAGTACAGGTATTTAAGTCTTTGATTATATGAATAATTAAAAGATTATAATAATGATAACTAAAAAATTTTAACCTCTTTAATTGATCATATACAATGATGTTTGTGTAAATGAGGCTCTTTACCATATCTCTGTGCAGCTACAGTAGTTTGACTAAGTACTTGTGAATTTTGGCTGTGACTAAATTTAATGAGGCACTATGATTACTGAACCTGACTTTTAATGAATAAAATATGTTTAAGTTATGACACAGATGGACACACACAGACACACAATATAATCAGCATCATTGTATGAGGTCTCTCTGTGCTGAGTAAAATCGTATTGCATTAGCCAAATAAAATATTAAAAGTGTGGTTCCGTAGTGAAGGGTTTAATTTTTAATTGTTCAGGATTAATGTATTTACTAATTTAGACTATGTGCTTAAGTAACAGTACAACAATCCCACACTCACTTCTTGGTGGTGTGTTGGAGTTCCTTCCCGCAGTGCAGCTCTTGGCCCATGCCATCATTCAAGTTGAGATAATCCTTGCAGTGCTTCTTAGCTCTGGGCCTCAAGTTAAACTCCTCGAAGTGCAGAAATATTGAGGAATTTAAGGCAGCCTGTAGAATTTAGGTCATGTAAGAAATCTTTGTCTTTCATTTTTCATGTCAGGCAGATTCACATAAATTTTCTTTCATGTTTTTTTTTTTTCTTCCTCACCAGCTGCAGTACCTTTATGTCCTCAGACTACCATATTTTTACAGATGTACCATATTGTTGAGTTTTAAATATTGACATCAAGTGCACTATTTTGTCATAAGTGTCTAAAAGATATTATTTTGTTACAGTGTTATACAATACAGTATTACAGGTATGTATAACATTAGTAATCCATACACTCCTCTGTACCTTCTTACATGAGCAGTAATTTGGATATTATAGTACAATGTATATGGTATTCGGAAAGCTTATACTGTACAGGTAACATTTCACTGATATCTTAATAAGATTCTTCTTAGTAATGTAATGAAGGAAGAGTTCATAAGATTGGTCTGCTCAAGACAGTTACAGAAAAAATTCTACTCTAAATATTTTGTGAGCCACATTTTTAGCTATTGTAATGAAGAAATTGTAAAGTAGGTTGATTCATAAATGTTTCATGCTCAAGTGCCTGATGTAGGACAAATCATGCCGTGACCTTCAATTTTTTATGTAAACAAAATACAAGTTCCGTTCCTACAGACGTTAAGTTGAAAATGTACTTCAGTTGAAACACATACCCTATGTCCATACCGTACTTACAGAACAATCATAGCCTAAGTCCTTATATACATCTATAATAACTTAATTTAAGAAAAAAGAAGAAATAGAATGACAAAAGAAAGTAAAATATAAGTCATCAGGTAAAAGTAGTAGGTAGTAGACAGCTTTCAAACAGGGAGGAACTAATGCCTAGGAAGATATTGGAAGCATAATGTGTTGTCTAATGTAGCTCGGTGGGCTAATCCTCGTAAACAAAAATGAGAAAAAACCCTCTAAATGTAAAGTTTGTATCGCCAGATGTTTGTAAGTCAAAGATATACAACCTGGGGACCTCCTGTATTAAATTACTAGCATACCAGTACTGTACTTGCTTTATTAGCCAACAGTGTTATAGTGTACAGTACTAAAGACAATCTGGGTATAAATGGACTAGAAATCATCATCCAGAGTGACATTAATTAAGGTAACAGGAACAAGCTCTTGGCTTAACTATGTCCCTTGTCCACCCCCTTGTAGATGTCCATGATATCTTTTATGCAGGTGTGGAAAATCAATGTTAAAAGATTATTATGAATAGGGCTGCAAGCCATTTATTTTTCAGGCAACATGAACCAACCAAACATAACACAACCTAATGGCCCAAGCAGCTAATGAGCTGATCAGTGGTGAAGAGGATAAAAGTAAGAATCATTCAGTTAGTTTTAAGGTTAAAATTATGTCAACCAATTTCAGAAAAATAAAACCTAAATAAAGAAAAAGAGTGTAATCACATTTGGGGTACTTTAACAACATTGCATGCCTTGTAGATATGTGTTTGTCTCACCTTTATCACCCAAATGCACAATATGTTTGGGTAGGGCCTGGGATAGAGGGGTGTCTTAATTTCTCCCTCCGTTTTATCAATAAGTCCTCCACACAAACAATGGGGCATAAGTTTCACCATAAATTGCCCCTTGTTTTTTCCAATGTCCTTCAAGGACAACTCTAGAGTCACAAGATCTTCTATTGTCTCGAAGTCAATGCTGTCCTTGTTGCAGAACCTGTATTTTGTAAGATTAGATAAAACTATAATTTAGGATGAAATGTAAAAGTTTAATATTAATGAAGATATAGATGAATGAAAAGTGAGAGTAAAAAAAATTAAACTCATGGGTAGGTTGTACTTATAGTATTATTTTATCAAATATTGAAATTGCATTAACTTAATTTCATGTGCAGTACTGTATATAATAATTACTTGTTGATGCGACCCGTCTCATCTTCGAGGTCGTCGACGTCGGTGACTCTGAGGTAGGAAGAGGTGCATAGTTCACCATTGTCTGGGTCCTCAAGGTCCATCTCACCCTCAACCTGCATGCCATACTTCTTAATGCCAGTGTCCTAAGTGGGAAAGCAGCATATTTAGAGGGAGTAAAAACCATAGAAATATAAGCCACTGGAGTGTACAAAGTTTAGTTTTTTAATGTTGATAATGACATTGGATTGGGTAAAGTGAATCATAATCATCCCAACCAGTAATTATACACATATACCATGTCTTTATGAGGCAACACATCTTGGCCATTATACTAACACCCCTGAGGCAGCAGTTTCAGTTAGTAATCTTGGCTGCACTGAAAATTCCATTTGGTTTATCTACCGGTAATTCTATTATTCTCACTGAGTGACGTGATGATCAAACAGATGCAGCAGTCACTGACTGCATGTGTGATTGTATTGTATAAGGAAAGTTTGGTCATGTCAGGTCATATAATATAGGTGTGTCATATAGACAAAAGGCCTCCAGCATTCGAGCAATATCGCCGCTGGCTTCAGCTACACAGTGATGGCATTTGCGGCTCAACCACTGTGCTGTCTACGAGTGGCACCTTACCCAAACAAACATAAATCTCTCAGCCTACGACCACGTACGCTGCGACCTCCCTTGGCCGTGCGACATGTGACCTCGCCAGATGTTTGTAAATGTCACAGCCATAGAACAAGCGTTTTGGAGTGTTACCGCTCACGGGGAACTGCGTGGACAGTGTTAATAAATTGTTAGAAATAGTCTAGTTATAAGCGTATTGAACAATGTAGGAGAGGTGAATGGAGCAAGCTAAGGGGATGTTTACAGCCAAGTGGTCCTGGGTTTCTGCTGAGTAGACAGTTCTGCAGGTGCTGTGACTGTCTGTCTGGCCTACCTGATGCCAGACCACAATCTACAGCAATATGTACTGTGAGGATCTCCACCCTCTGCTGGCAGTAGTGAACACACCCCATCACAGCCCTGTCCCTGGGTTTTGTGCTAGGACAATTTATGCAGTATTGTTGTCTCTTGCAACACCATACTGATTTACATCTACCCGCACTTGTAAGTACATCCTAAGTGATGACGTACTCCTCAGTACTGAAATACTGTGGACTAATTATGCTAACTCGTTTCTTCCTTATTTGGAGCATCTGGAGCAATAAGACAATGTGTTATGAGGCGCAACTAAGATTAATAGAGTAATGAACTTTGTATTATGTCACTATGTTTAATATTCTTATGTAGTTAAGATAAAATTGTGTGAGACTAACTAATTATGCATCAGATGGATTACCGTGTAATACTAATGATCGCCTTGTTCTCTGCATGTTTTTGACGATATCAATAAATATTCAGTGCGTCAAAAGGCGGGTTTCAATCATTCTCTTCGACTTGCCTGTCACTCGACCGTCCTTAACTAAGGTGGTTTCAGTGGTCATTACTGTATGGTTTTGTTACCAGTGGAAGGCTGGAAGTGGTACTGGAAGTAATGGGTAATTTTCTCTGATTCTACATAGTATGCTAAATAGGGATAATTACCTATTGGCCACAACTTCTATGTACTGTACATGGACAGATTAACCCAACCACAGGCTTGAGGCTGAGGTACATATGGGGGCCTGTCGAGGCTAACACAAAAATAATGATGCTCACGTTATTTGTCTAAATGCGTAATAAAGTAAAATTTATCAATATTACTTTATATTCGTAGATGGTAATAGAACTTTATAGAAGTTTGTTTTATATCATGGAATTTTGCTGTCTTAATAACCCAAAATATAGTTGTTTTGAACACTATGGAGCAATTAAGAACATAATTATAACCTGAAAAATGTGTGAGCTATTTTCTAAATATTCAAATGGTACATTAAACCCTTGCTATTTGCGGATTTGCGATTCGTAATTTCAACTATTTGCGGTAAGCAGATGGTGGCTAGCTTATGAGCTTCTCCGGCAGCGCAACGAGTCACCCCCATGCACCCGCAGCGTCTCCTCTCCCATTGTTTGCTCTCAACCTTTGCCTGTGATGCAGCATCTCTTGTGTTATACTCAAAATTTTAGTGTTTGGTGTTTGTGTGTGAAATGGCCTCTAAAAGACTGCCTAGTATCAGTGCTAGTGATGCTAGTGGAGTGAAATGTATAGAGACACTCAAAGCCAAGAAGAAACAACTACCAATCACAATGTATTTCAAGAAAGAACCAGCCACTCGCCCAGTTGATTTGTCTCCCTCACCTATGCGGTCAGCTGCTGCTGCTGCTACTGCTCCACCAACCACCTCGCCAACACACGCCTCTCAACTACCCGCCTCTCCACCAACCACCACTGCATCACCCTCGTCCAACACTGATCCTGATGATCTCTCTATGCTTCAGTAACCAGATTTCATTCTACTGTGCAGTACACTTCATCAGGCTGCAAACTTCAATATATGAAAGAGAATAGTATTGATGACTTAAGTTTCCCATATACAGTATAGGTATACAGGTATAGTAGTGCACTAAGGTAGTACGTAGTATAAGTTGCTATTTGCAGTTTTGCCAATTCGTGCCATTCCATGGAACCTAACCTCCGTGAATAGCAGGGGTTTACTGTACTCATAGACTCACTTTGCCATTTTACGTTTCCTTAAATTGTTTTCTGTTTCTTCTCGGTGAATGCAGAGAGCACAGAAGAAACATCGATTTTGCGTAGAACATTGGTTTCTGTGCACAGCAATGCCAGATGATTCAATTTATTGTCTCCCATTGTTGAGCGGCGATAATTCTTGATCCGCTTTAAGGCAGAGAATGAGCTCTCTCCAGTGGCGATTGACACCATCATTGACAGATAAATTTGAAGCATAACTTGCACATTGGGAAACACTTCATCCAACCTGTGAGTCTTTAAAACTCTCTTCCTCCTGCAGAACTGCAGCTTGAGTTTTGACTTGAAGTAGCTGACAAATTGTACAATCTCGTCATACAAAGCTGGTTCCAAATCGTTGTATTATGCAACCAGAGTATTTGCTGCATTCTTCACATTGGATCCCACATTTTCTTCCAACAACTTTGCAAGGAATCCGAACTTTTTGCACGCATTGCTGTAGACCTTGGTTCATCTTGCCAGTGCTGGTGATAGATAGTCCACAATTTGTGTTATGACAGTGACTCGAAAACTTTTCCGGTTAAGCAGGTGCAACCTTACAAACGTGCCAGCTCTTGTGAAAAGATATGAAAGACGTAACTCAGTAGGCACCTGAACCTATAAAATGGAATTCTCATTTCAAATAATTGTTGAATTCTTGTTTGATATGAGCTTTTAAAAGTCACAGGCCTGAGGCTTCAGCCTCACCAGCCTGTTGAATAATCCGCCCTTGACTATACAGTAAATAGAGTATCTCCATTAGCTGGCATCCCTGTTAGAAGAAACTCTCCACTACCCGGAGTTGAATTTGGCTTGGAATTTGTCTTTGATCGAGTTTTCGAGGTTGAAAATCAGGCACATTTTGGGGAAAATTCTGAGAAAACTCAGAAACTTTCTCCATTTTTTTCTGGGTTTAATGGCAAATTGTGAGGATAAAATACCCGTACAGTAATGAATAATTCTGGAAAATTCCTGAAACTCCAATTTTTTTGGAGGGGGGGGGGGGTCTTGCAGCAAATTCCGAGGATGAAATAATGTAAAGACTCTTCAAAAAAAATTCCAATTACCCGGAATAATACCGGGATGTGGGATTTTCCAGGTTTGAGAGAGTTGTAGTGGACGTCTCCCCTACAACTGCCTACAACTGCGTAGCGGCGTCACCAAGCTGCTACCATCCTCCCTAGCAACCAACCAGATGTTACCATATCTTAGCAACGGAACTAGTGACCGGCGACTTCTCGGGTTTTCCCAACATGACTCATAGCGGCTGCTGCTGGGTATATAAGCTCTGTCTCTCCATTGAGATTCATTCTGACCATTCTTCTTGAACAAGCAACACCTCCTCCTCCACCGCTGCCTGGCTGCCTTCGCTCCTCCTCGCCTGCCTGGCGGTCCTCGCTCCCGCCAGCGAGCATGGCGACCCACCAGCTGTCCTTCTCTGAGCTTCCTCACCAACCAACTCTCATTCTGCCCATCTTCCTGAACAAGCACCTCCAGCACCAGACTGTCTATCATATAACTTATATTATACAAGAAAACCACATTAGAGTTTCCTTCCATCCTGAGTGCTAGACAACATTAATACTCGATACCCCACAGAGTCGTCTCATTATCAGGAAATCTCTCACCCCCAGAAGAGCTTTGAACCAATCATTCTGGCTGTTGAGAATATCACTTAATTTCTCTTTTTTGGTAATCTGAGTGGCCATAAATGGTCATCCAGATCATCAAAATACTGTTCATATAAATGAAAGGCTTCATATGAAACCTAACTTAACGTAACCTTACTTAATCTGTTTTAGGTGTACAGTAATTTGGCTATCCTATTTTTACTTTTACTTTTATTCTCTTCACCACTGATCGGCTGTTAGCTGCTTGAGCGATCGGTCACGTCTTTATTACGCACTGTTGGCAAGTACTGGGCATGTACTGGCTGCTGAATGTATCTGAACCTACTCCAGTGCATGTCAAGTCTGGTCTTGAAAGAGCTCACATTCGGTGTCGTCACAACAGATTATTCCAAGAGTTCACAACTCTCACTCCGAAAAAGTTACCCCTCATAGTTTTCTGGGCTTGTGGCTTCTTCAACCTTGAGCTGTGACCCCTTGTGGGGCAAGCACCTGCCAGCTCCAGGTAAGGGCACTCTACTGAATAGTGCCCTATGAGATGTTTGTACACATCAATTAGGTCCCCTTTATCCCGTCTGTTGTATAATCTAGGCAATTTCAGTCACTCTAATCTCTCAGGGTAGCTGAAGTACTGTAGAGCAGGCGCCAGTCTGGTGGCCCTTCTTTGGACATTTTCAATCAACTGACAGTCCCTATCATATCTCGGGGACTAGATGGAGTGACAGTATTCCAGACGGGGAAGCACTTCACTCTTGAAAATTGTTACGAGGGACGAACCATCTAGATATCTGAACGGCCTTCTTATAAGACCTAGTAATTTAGTTGCCTGAATCATCTTCTCGCAATGGCCCAGAGCTTCAGTTCATTGTCAACATACACACTTAGGTCCTCTTCACATTTAATCTCCATTAATGCAGTTTCTTCATCCCGTTGGGACATATGATACACCTCTTTACCGATGGTACATCCCAGGTGCAACCTCTTACACTTAGTGACATTGAATCTTAGCAGCTATTTCTTCGACCATTATTGAAGCTCACAAAGATACTTCTGCAGCTATTCACGGTCTGCTTGGTTCTTAATTTCCCGAAATAACTTGGCATCATCCGTAAACACTTGTATGGAGGAATGTACAGCATCAGGCATGTCATTTACGAAGCAAACAAACAATAGTGGGCCCAATACACTGCCCTGTGGTACCCCGCTTGTGACGGGTACACTTGATAATTTCGTGCCATTAATCACAACACACTGCTTGCAGTCATGGAGAAAGTCTCCGATCCGCGCTAAGACATTTCTCCGAATCCCGTACCCTTCCAGTTTAATTTTCAGCCTTTAATGGGGGTACACTGTCGAAAGCCTTGGCAAAATCTAGGTATATATTGTCGATATTACCACCCTGTTCCAGAATTTGGGTCCAAATATCCAGTACCTTGAGTAATTATGTTAAGCAGAAGCACCCCGGCATAAAACGATGTTGGCAATCCTTTACAATGATATTTCGTAGTAGATGTTCCACCATGGCATCTTTTATAATGCTCTCAAGTATTTTACATACTATGCTGGTCAGGCTCACCGGTCTACAGTTATTCGTGGAGTGACGATCGCCCTTCTTGAAGATAGGACTCGCATAAGCCATTTTCTAGTCACTGGGGACCTTTTGCTCATCCAGGCATTTACAGAACAGGATCTTCAGGGGCTCAGCAAGCTCGTTGCACAACTCTCTTAGCACTCTGGGATGAACAATGTCAGCCCGGGACTCTTATGAACCTTTAGCTTTGGTAATTTATTTCTTATAACCTCTTTTGTGAACACAATGTGGGTCAGTGCTGTTTCGAACCGCCTGTTTTCAAACGCAGGAAGATTAATCGCATCCTCTATTGTGAACACCAAGGAAAAGAAACTGTTCAATGCCTCAGCTTTGTCCTGGTGAGAAACTGTGTGACTACCATCTTCAAGCCTCAGATCCGATACTCCTACTTGCGTTTTTAATTTAGACTTTGCATAGCGGTAAAACGACTTTGGGTTTGATTTGACTTCGCTTGCAACCAGCCTCTGGATCTCCTTTTCAGCCCTTCTACACTCTGACTTTGCTTGGTTCCTGGCTCTTGCATACATCCTCCTGTCCTGCTCATCGTTTGACCTAACCCACGCCTTGAATTTCTGAGTTTTCTTCTTAACTTTGTCGACCGCCGCATGGTTCATGTGTAGGGGTCTCCTTGTATTCCTAAAGGCACTGAGTTTGGTCTTGGGTATATATTTCTCAATCAAATGGTTCACTTTACTGGCTATGATATTCAGCATAGTGTCTGCGTTCTTATACCTTAGTGAGCCAGGCCAGTGGATACCCCTCATCTCCTCCCTCAACCCGTCGTAATTTCCCTTGTAATATTGGCAGCTTGGCCTGGTTTTGTCGTGAATTAAGGAACAATTAAATCTGAATGACAACATCACATGGTGGCTGGTGCCAACTGGGGCTAAATGTTCAAGTTTGGCCACCATACCTTCCTCGTTTGTTATGATGAGGTCCAATGTCTCGGTTTTTTGCTCCCCTCTGTAATGCATCGGGTCTTTAATTTGTTGGAATAGAAAATTATCTCTGTTCCTGCAGTGTTTCACCAAATCCTCCTCAATCAAGGAAAGAACACGTGCGAACTGTTGTATGCTCAGGCGAAAACATTATTTGATTTTTTCTTCATCCAAGCTTAGGTCTTTTACCAGAGTACTGTAGGCTCCGATTCTGCAGCAATCTATGAACCCACCATCCATATTTCCTTGTCCGTTTTTCCTTTGATTTACGCGTGATATTATACAAAACCAGGATGTTTATGAATCATCCTGTTCATATAAATGGCGTCGTAGCTTCGATGCACTAGGCGCCATCTTTCCTGTCCTGTTCCCGTTGGAAAGACAGCTGCATGCATATGGAAACAGAGGTATCCATTTTTCAGGGCAATTTAACACAAACGCATACCACAAACGTATACCGCAAACGCACTGCAAACGCATATATGGATTCCTTGCTGCACACTGTAAATTCACAAGATAATCTAAAATATGTGGATTGTTGCCAGTTATTGTTATATTAGCTTGAAATAGGTTTGACGTTAGCTTAGCCAAGGATTCTAATACGTTACTATATTGTATTAGAATCCCTGGCTTAGCTTAACTAGGGATTTGACTAACCTTGACAGCAACTCGCAGGTCAGCCAGACACTCGCCCTCCACCAACGTCTGGTTATCACTGTCGAAGTTCACGATCAGTTCCTCTTTCTCCTCCAGTATGATGTGCAGTTTGTCCCCACACATCATGTAGTAAACTGAAGCATGGTATTGATTATTATACTTAGAATATTTTGTCCCGCTCTAGGTTTGACAAATATTATTGACACTTACGTATTTTTTGCGGTCATTAGTCCACCCGGGCACAGGTAATTTTATAATGACCCACATCAAGGCCTGGGAGGCGAAAATATAATTATGTGTAACGACCCTCCTCCTATCACCGCTTGCCCAACTTCCACCACTGGTTACCAACTTACCAACTTATCTGTACACAAGAGTTTACAGATAAGCAACAGGCAGGTAGATTTCCACCAGGTCACAGAAACACACTTGTGCACTGTATTTTTCTTTAATAAACAGTAATTCTTCACAACACTGTTAAGAGGCTAATAATGTTGTAGGGTTTCGTGGTATAATGTTGTCTAGCACTCAGGATGGATGGAAACTCTAAGGTGGTTTTCTTATATAATATAAGTTATATGGTAGACAGTCTGGTGCTGGAGATGCCGTGTGGTGAGGAGCTGCTCAGTAGACACGTTCGGTGAGTAGCGTGTTGAAGGAGGTAGATGTGCAGGAGCTTCGTTAGAGAAGATGTTGCCTGTTGCTGGCCTCCAGGTTGAATGAGAACGGGACAGCGAGGAGCTTGCTTGGAGGAGGTGTTGCGTGTTCAGGAACCGAGAGCAGAATAAGAGAGCTGGTTGGTGAGGACGCTCAGAGAAGAACAGCTGGTGGGTCGCCATGCTCGCTGGCGGGAGCGAGGACCGCCAGGCAGGCGGAGGAGAAGCGAGGGCCGCCAGGCAGCGGCAGAGGAGGAGGTGTTGCGTGTTCAAGAAGAGAGGCCAGAATGAATCTCAATGGAGAGACAGAGCTTATATACACAGCAGCCGTGAGTCAGCCGTGAGTCATGGTGGGAAACCCCGGGAAGTAGCCGGTCTTTTGGCTCCATTGCTAGGATACTGTGGCATCTGGTGACGCCCCTCCCTGGGCCGCTCGTTTGGTTGCTTGGGAAAACGTAGCAGGTGGCCTGCGGCTACGCAGTTGTAGGGGAGACGTCCACTACAATGTCTTCACAGCTTAACTCCACACTTCAAATATATAGCCAACACATTACCAGTTTACAAGTCCTTAGTTTTCTCACTCAATAATAATCACAGCAATTCAACAATACTTGCACAAAAATTTTCTTCAGTTGTTCTGCTAGGCTTTCTTAGTCTTTACACTAGGTGAGGCGAGCAACTAACTCTAGGCAGCCCGTGCCAGCTTATACTGTATACGCCTCATCAGATGCTTTACTTCTCGAATATCCTAGAATAGCCAGGAGACGCCTGAGAGATTCTAGAACGTTCTACACTGATCGAGGTTTACAATAATAAGTAAATCAGAACAAAAATGATGCAATACATTCTAGAATATCCTTACATAATAATACATCAATATCATCAACATCTACACGAAAATATCATTAAATTTACCAAAAATAAATGCTGATTGGGACAGAAAACAATCAAAACTCCTAGTTTACAAGATTATAATACGAATTTATGCCTCGGCATAACAATACTAATAAAAATAATTATAGTAATAATAATGATAAAAATAATATTAATAATAACAATTAATAAAATTAATAGAAATAATTAACTATTATAATATAAGAAAATATTAATAATACTAATAAAAATTTTAATAAAATAATAATAATAAGATTAATAATAAAGAACCATAAAAAAAATCAAGTGAGAAATGTATTCTGTATGTACTGTATGTTGTGTTGTCAAAGTAAGATAAACAATTGAGACCCTGCAATTATATGTAAATGAAGCAGAAAGTCAGATCAGCAACCTGGGACTTGGTCACAATTTTTGTGATGCCATATGGCAGCAGGGTCCATTAGACAACACATTATGCTTCCAATATCTTCCCCCAGGCCGTAGTACCTCCCTGTTTGATAGCTGTTTGCTACCTACTACAGGGATAAAAGTTGTTATTCTTTTAATTGTGTGTAGTAGTTAGGTTTAATTGCTTAGTCTGCCAAGGTCTTGTTAGTTTCATATACTATGACAAGAGAACGTTTAAAGAACGAAAATCAATTTTTTCACCAAAGTATTATTTGCGTATCAACACTAATTGAATAAACTCCGGTAAAATAATTTTATTTAGGCCTACCTGTTACTTTTAATGCATTTTGGATGATACAACACAAAGATCATTAAGCAGCGTTCACTGCCGAGGAGGGAATCTTACTTGTGGAGTTCTCATGGCGTGTAATTGGCCAAGCCAGAGCTGCTCCTGCCACCATCGTCGCCACTACCACCACCACACCCTGTACCAAAAATATTCACATTTCAATGAGTGTTTGACCTCTAGTCTTAAATTAGAGTTAAGTGCCCTTTATTGTCGAAAATGACCAGATTACCTGTATTATTTTGCTTCTAAGTTTGTTTTGTGTGTGTGTGTGTGTGTGTGAATGTGAGTGTGGTTCATTTATTTAAAGTAAGAGCTTTACCAAAAGGATCTTCAATCTTCCTGCCGGCGACTAATAAGTTTCTTGAACGAAGAAGACTTGAAGATCATGGTCAAACTCTTTCACCTGAGACATAATCTAAATTGAAGAATTGACCAAATAGATAGCAAGAAGAAATTAATGGGGATTCAGGGAAACTAGATCAAACTTAAGGTCAAAACAGCGTGTCCAGGTCAGTTAACTCATTATCAACTACTGGCACACTAATGATACACTGCTGACCTATAAACCACACACATACACACACACACACACACACTCTTCATCCTTGACCACCGTAGGGTCAAGACGCACATGGCGCTGCTCTGGCAGCAGCCACGTCAACTGTTATGTTGGCCCATACCAACTCCCTCCCCTGAACCCCTCCTCCCCACCGGAATATCAACAAGTTCTCGCCTGAAGTTACTATTTCATTTAGGAAAGGAATGGAACCAGTGTTGAATAGTGGTGAACAGTGATTAAGTCAGTGAAAAACAAGTCGGCACTATGCAGTTAAGTCGTAGCCAAGCTAACCTTCACACAGTGAGGTCCCAGGTACCCAGTGATAACTAACTGCCCCTGAGACTAGACAACATGTGTTAATCCGTCCACTTAAGTGAGTGAGGTCCTGTGACACCAGACCACGTGGTGTCCCCATGATGCTACCACACCACGCAGTGAATGAGTTGCTACAGCATCATGTGAGGTTCCTCATAACACCATCTGTGAGGGAATTACTACACCATTTTGATGCCCCTCATAACACCATCTGTGAGGGAATTATTACACCACATCAGACCCCTCATACACCATCTGTGAGGGAATTACTACATCATCAGGCCCTTCATAACACCATCTGTGAGGGAATTATTACACCACATCAGACCCCTCATACACCATCTGTGAGGGAATTACTACACCACGTCAAGCCCCTCATTACGCCATCTGTGAGGGAGTTACTACACTACGTGTCTGCTGTTCAACACCTTAGCTCGCATGATCTACGTGACCTCCACTGTAAACATTAATCTGTATGTTCACTGTATGTTCCTTTACCTTTCTCTAATGAAGGCTTTTGTTAAACCACCAATGTATGTAATAAGTCATTTATGTCCAATGTATATTTTCAGCCTTTGGGCTGCAGAACTTTTTCAATAAACCGTTAATTATTATTATTATTATTATTATTATTATTATTATTATTATTATTATTGTATGTATATTATGATTATTACACAAAGTGACACAAACTGACACACTGCTAACATACTTCTGACACATCTATTGTAATTCTTTTAATACCTTAATACTGAGTTACCAAACTTGTGTCACACTTCAAATGACACTATAATCCCCTTGGCACCCTTCTACCATATTTCTGACGTTCTGAGACACTGACACTGGTATGTTGATGGTATAATGTATTTCTGTATTTCAACTTCTAAGTTTTTTTTTTAACTGGAATTAGCCCACCCGGGCACAGGTCGAACGACCCACAACGGGGCCTGGGGGCGAAAAAATAAGAACAGGGAAGAATAGAGAAGAAAAAGGTTTTATTGTATTAATGTTCACCACGAAGATGCCGGAAAACCAGCTTTTTAAAGTGAGACAGATTGTATAAGTATGGAAACACAGAAGAAGGCAGAGCATTCCACAGTTTGGCTGTGTGAGGAAAGAAGGATGTACTATAACGGGTTATTCTAGTGTGACCAACATCCACAGAGAAACGGTGGGCACCGCGGGCAAGCCGTGTGTTACGAGCCCACGGCCTTGCCGGCGGTACACAGGGTGCCAAATCCACCGAACATTGCCCGTTAAAGTACCTGTAAAAGAGAGAGAGTGAAGCAACATTGCGGCGAAGAGATAGGGAAGGAAGATTGTCGACTAAAGGAGGAGAGTTAATAAGACGAAATGCCTTTGATTCCACCCTATCTAATAGTTGGACAGAAGAAGAGCCACCCCAGATATGAGAGCAGTACTCCAAGTTAGGACGAATGAATCCTTTAAATACTTGAAGCAACTGCTCTGGAGTGAAGTAGCTACGGCATCTGTACAGCATTCCCAACTTTCGGGAGGCAGCCTTAGTTATGTTAAGAATGTGTGATTTCCATGACATATTGGAGGAAATGGTGAGGCCTATCATATCTGTTTCAAAATTTGGCGGAATGATAGCGTCCTGAAATGTAATTGGTGGGAGATCATCTAATTTAGAAAGTGTAATTGGTAAATACTGAGTTTTATTACGATTGAATTTATCCAAGTTTGTACCTCCCCATTCAGAGATGCTGCACAGATCAGCATTGATAGAAGTAATGATATCAGCTCTAGAAACAGATCTAGTTTGAGACTTAGGAGGAAAGGGAAATGTGAAGACGAGTGAAGAGTAGAATCATCAGCCTAAGAATGGATAGAATTAGTTGTAGTGTGAAGTAAACCATTGATAAAAAGAAGAACAGAGTAGGTGAAAGACCAGAACCCTGTGGGACACCACTATTGGTAGAGAAAGAGCGGGTGATCGATCCCTCGACAACAGCTGCCATGGATCGGTTCTCAAGGAAGCTGGATATTAGAAAACGAAGTGGGGGAGAGAAATCATAAGAGGGAAGTTTAGAAAGCAAAGACTTGTGTCATACCCTGTCAAATGCTTTGGAGATGTCGAAGGCCACGACGAAAGTTTCCCCACAATCCTTAATAGAGGATGACCAAAGATGGGTGCAATAGGCGAGCAGATCACCAGTAGATTTCGCCTGGCGAAAACCATACTGGTAATCCGACAAAAGAGAATGGCGTTCAAGGTGACGGAGAAAATGGGAGTTCAAAAGTAAATGTGGGCGGTTGTTATTTTACGCAACTAATTTTTTTCAAATTTAAGGTGGAATCCCAATATAATTTTAATGTTAGTTTTTTATATAACGTTGGTTTGCTTTCAGAGTAAATTCTCTGCTATCATTTGTCCAATTCTGCTACAAAATTTTAACTAATCAAAATAATATATAGATGATTCATAAGTAGTGTTCATTTTTTAAATTTAAATGAATGAATGAGATACCTGTCAGAGTGTCAAATATTTATGTTTTCATTATACATTATAACGAATTCGCGAGGCTCTATAGGTGAGTCAGGTGTGTGACGTGCACAAGTGTTGGGAAACTTAAGTGAGGCACAGGTGTGTTACCGAAATGTCAGCAGGGGTGTTAGATAGGCTGTATAGCACGGAGGTACAGTATCACAGAGAATTTGTTAGAAGAGATTTTTAAATTAATTATTAATGTCTAGTGTATGATCTAACTCACAGGGCACACTTAAATAAGCTTATGATTGGTTGCGGACATCTGCCTATTTTACAGCACCATATAATTTTAATATTATTTTGTATTTATTGGACAGTTAGAGAAACTTATATCTTCATCATATTAGTTCACATGCCTGTCAAGATAAATTTAAAAAAGTTGTGCTTTAATGCCTGTAAATGCTTTATATGGTAAGTAAGATAAGCAATGATTGAATGTGTTGTTTCAAAGTATCAGTCAGTATAGTTTGAGAACATGCATAAGTCACCTACTTTTATCAAAGTCTTGAAATACATTTCTTAAACATCCGACATAGTTTATATACTACATACATTCATACAGTATATCGGGATGGAAACCCTACCCCCAGAAATATCTCACATTCCCAGAAAAGGTGCAGCACAGAGCGACTCAGATGTTCCCCACTGTTCTTGATGTCCGAAGGCGATGGCAGATGAACCAGTATTGGATAAAAGTTATTTAATTAGCTTGTTTATTTATAAAACAAATAATATGACATATATAAATACGATGTAGAGTAAAAAGACAGCCTCATCTCAGAGCACTACATGACATCATCGTCAGGCGGTGACGCTTCTATGGGGTGGTAACAGCGTTTCTTCTACTGATCAACGTTTGTCGTGAGTTGCATATCTTCAGACTTCAATATAATTATAAAGTGACTGTACAACATTGGTCAGCAAATGCAACATCTCACAAAGCCAGGTGTTAATGCAGGCGACTGTACTTTATTTGCCGAAGGCTGAATTTGTGTCGGGAAGCATTTCCAGCAATTTATAGGAAGAGACAACTAATTACGGTGAAGGTCTGCACACCTGAAAGTCTTACGAGGTACAAACATTGATTGTAAACTAGTTATTAATTACCTTTTGAATTGTTTAATAGTAAATTATAATATTGAATTTTAGTTGCATCTTCTTAATGTTTAACTATTTTCCATTTTTCTAATAGCAGTAGAACATGACAAAAAAAACTTACGTAGAATGAGTTTATACAAAGGTCAGTAACTGACATTGAGGCGGCTCTTGACTCTACGCCATTAGTTTCTGAGGAAGGATGACATGCCTGAACCTTACTTTACCTACAGTATCCCAAAGAGGGTTTTTTTTTAGTAGTTTGATATGTTTGCCGTAAGCTCAGGTATATCTCGTAATTTGTAATTGTTGATGACTGGTGTATTTTCTAAATTAGAATGAGCTTAAAGACCGGGTCAACTGCTTAAGCTTACCGTATGGTTGGTAATGTAAGTTCAAAGTCTTTTATCTCTAATTTCCTAATATGCTCGTGACCAGTCTAAGGTTAGGCAGCACGGGATTTTCACTACCGAAAGATTAAGCATCATTAACGAAGATTAGTACTTTTCTCCCAAACGCTTGGAGATAATAACAGAAAAAAAATATCCCGCCGTTAATGTATAACCTTTAAAATTTCAGATTAATTTCCAGCCTTCAGCTAAACATACCTCATTTCACGGTGACTTATTACGTTTATCAATAATTACCTGAATTATATACCTTGATTTTAATTCCCTATATATTTTTCCTTCTAAGTAGTGATTAGAGTCTCATATTAGGGTAAGTGAAGATGATACCTGGGAGTGACCCATTGATCCTGTTACGTCACATCCGCCATAATACTTTTGTCACGGCTCAGGTCACCACTAAATTCTTGAGTCACCTTCATGCTTGAAAACCATATCCATTATTCTCCAGCTACATGACATCCGCACACCTGAACAGTAATTAATTTCATTTTCACACTTATACACTCTACTGCCACTCAGGGCCGGATTAAGACCCTCAGAGGCCCAAAGCACTTAAAAGATTTTGGTGCCCCCCCCCCCATATATATGTAATTCAAAATATAAACAATAATAAACCATAAAATAAAATGTTATTTTTCGAAATTAAACAAAATTTACAGTAAGATGGAAAATAATGTTTATTTTTGTATCCGTTCACTTTATTTATAGTTGAAAAGTTTTCTCCTACTTTTTTAATTGCAAAGTCTTTGATCAGATCCACAAAACTAGTCTTATGTAACACATCTGCTTCTATACTTAGTAGAGATAAGGCATCCAGCCTGCCTTGTTGCATAGTTGTTCTGATGGGATTTTTAATATACTTCAACTTAGAAAATGAACGCTCAGCTGAGCAATTTGTGACCATTAATGTTAAAAATATACGAAAGCCAATATCAACATTTGGAAAGGCACACTCAATATTGTCTTCTACAATCATTTTATAAAGTTCAGCATGACTGAATCTTGTTTTTACATTTTTTGTTGCACTGACCTTATGGCGCACATATAAGTGAAACTGCTGAAGCTCAGCTGAGAAATTAGTGTTGAAATCCTCTAGGTAAGCATCAGTCAGCTTTTGACAGCACTGAGAATACCTTTCAATTTCAGTAGATGATGAAGTGGCATTATGTGGCACATCACTTAGAAAAGAAAACCTCTCTGCTATTTCTTTATATATCTCTCCTCTTCTTCTCATCTCAGTTTCAAGTTTGTCAATAATTGTGTAAAAGGTGGTGATACGAAATTTATCTCTGTCATTCAGATATACTTCTGGTGCACCTCCGTCATTGGGTACCTTCTTTCTGATACGTTTGCGAGTTTGAGCTGCCTTGTAATCAACATCTGGTAGCATATCCTTTGTAACTGCTTCATATCTTTCAAATTTATCTCGTGAAGTGCACAGTTGGTCAGCTAATGATCCATACAGATCTGCACATGTTTTTAAGTTCACATCCTCATTTTGTAGAACTTCTATAATTACTATTTATTATTATTATTGTATATATATATATATATATGTATTTTTTTAATTTAATGTGTGGGCCTCTTTTTGTGAACCCTGGTTCAGCTGCACCATTTGCAGTTTTGCACCATATGGTCCATGGTAAATCAGGCTATGGAAAATTTCTGTGGTGCCCCCCTTCCCTTGATGCCCTAAGCACGTGCTTATTTTGCTTAATGGTTAATCCAGCCCTGCTGCCACTTCTTCTATTTAAAGTTAATTTTGTTTTTAAGTTAATTAGTTTTCCAGGCTGCTTTATAAACCGTTTTATTTCGGTTGTTCATTGGTTGGAACACAGTGAAATAAAAACATCATATACAATGAAAATATTTTAGCTTCGCTGTTTTTGTTTGGACGTAATCCGCCTGGTCCAATGTATGTATACAATGCGTCATCATCGTCACCACTTTGCTCAAATTCGTGTTATTGTCACAAGTCATCTGTCTACCTGGGCATGTATCCTAACTATCACACACGGGGTCAAAACTCCCACCTGTATCATCATGGCTGGATCCTGCGATGTCCTGCCGCAATCGTAAGTCGTGTGGTTGGTCTGGGGTTAGTCCGGGTTAGTGAAGGAAGGGAGATACGGGAGAGTGGGCCACCTGGGTTCTTTCACACCTGATGCACAAACTCGGTCGGTGTCAACCATCACACCAGGCCGCACCATATATCCACCTCAACATGGATCCTCACATTGACTCTGGCTTACCTTTAGTGAATGATCCATATTATTATTCAATACTGATTCATTTCAAGCCATTAAATATTTATACTCCAAAGAAATACATAAACTCATGGAAATAATTCGTTTATAATAACATCATGTTTAGGAATATCGAAGTATTAACCCCTTAACGGTACTTGGCTTTCACTCGGACACGGTTTGGTCAGTTATACAAATTTCTGACGTCAAAATTCCCAGGTGTAGTGTAATGAATATGTCAGTACAGGTATCGGGGTGAAGTGGGTGCCTTGGTGATGGAGTTCATTCTGAACACCTGTGTCACATAGGCATTAGGTGATTACTCTTTAAGACATTCATATATACAGTCTATTAATATGCACACACGGGGTTCTTGCTGCGTGGACGGTATCATATATACATTCTCTCTTGTAAATATTCATGATGCTTCTCTGTCAACATGTATGTGTCCATGATATTTAGGTTAGTTCAGAATTCTGTTCGTGAGGAATTGAGAAGTAAATACTAATAGTAATTTTATTGTGGTTTATGTTGATCTTTTCATTAGCATAGTTTTTTAAACTCTTCAATTCCTTGAGGAAAATACTAATTATTAGTTTGTGTTAGTGATGATCGCTGGGGAAGAACACGTCGTCTCAATTTAAAGTCACTCCATAATATCACCTCGTTCACTTCTAGCCCTCATTTCCTTGGTGGCAACTTTCCATTTAGTCATCTCTCTCTCTCTCTCTCTCTCTCTCTCTCTCTCTCTCTCTCTCTCTCTCTCTCTCTCTCTCTCTCTCTGTATTTAGGGGGTGGGGCTGAGTTAATCAATCCAACTAGTGCCTTTCAAGACGCTGATGAATGCTTTTCGCAGTCAAGGAATGTTCTTTCAAATGCTCCTCAATGTGATTTATGAGCAGTTTTAGTTACTCGTGTGATAGCTCCCGAGAAAGAAGAGAAATGTGTTTTATTTCGATTTTTTTTTCTTACACAGTTTACAATTGGTCGTCACTCATTCAGTTCTGAGTCAATTATCATGAAATAGGACGGACTTGTACCCTATTCCAGTATGCCAGGATGCCCCTTTATATATATACACTATGAAAGGTGAAACAACCCCCTAAACGTATATTTTGATCCGATGTTCTGTATCTGGGAGGTAAGTTGTCCTTTTGTTTTAATCTCTATTGGTTAACATTCAACCTACTTGTTAAGTTTCATTCACTTATTTTAATGTCGATAGTGCTGGGAGTCGTGGATACTCTCCCCCAACACTACATGGGTACTGACTCTGACTCTCAACATTATATCAGTACATCAATTATTTCACGTGTTAGGTGTTACTAGAGAATCCATATATTTCATTTTTTGCTGTGTGTGATTTTAGATATATTGAAATAAAATAACAATCCCAGTTACAAGGGAGATTAATGCACTGACGTCTCTTTAACTTTACCTTTAAATAATTTAAACTTAATTAAAGTATCTAATCTTATATGAACAAAACCACTTTCCATGTTTTCATAAAAAGTCACACGCATCCATGGAATCAATTCTGTACTTTTTGAGATATGGGCAAAATAATAAAAAAAAACCTTGGAAAATAAAAAAGTCGGGGGTACGTACTCAAAATAGGAACTTAAGACTGTTAGGATAGTATTTAATTAGGAAAGATACAGTGAAAGGACAATCTGGGATTAAGATAAGTAAGATGGGCAAGTTCAAATAGCATTAGTGGAGAAGATAGTCACTTTATATACATTTAAGTGGTAAGAACCATGAGAGAGGTGTTGGCAACATAAAGCAGAAGTTGGATAGTTATGTTAATAGATTATGGGCAGCGTCAGTCAAAGTTCTATCAGTCTAGTATGGGTATAATGCTTTCTGGGCAGCGTCAGTCAAGAGTTCTATCAGTCTAGTACGGGTATAATGCTTTCTGGGCAGCGTCAGTCAGGAGTTCTATCAGTCTAGTACGGGTATAATGCTTTCTGGGCAGCGTCAGTCAAGAGTTCTATCAGTCTAGTACGGGTATAATGCTTTCTGGGCAGCGTCAGTCAAGAGTTCTATCAGTCTAGTACGGGTATAATGCTTTCTGAGCAGCGTCAGTCAAGAGTTCTATCAGTCTAGTACGGGTATAATGCTTTCTGGGCAGCGTCAGTCAAGAGTTCTATCAGTCTAGTACGGGTATAATGCTTTCTGGGCAGCGTCAGTCAAGTTCTATCAGTCTACTATAATGCTTTCTGGGCAGCGTCAGTAGAGTTCTATCGTCTAGTACGGGTATAATGCTTTCTGGGCAGCGTCAGTCAAGAGTTCTATCAGTCTAGTACGGGTATAATGCTTTCTGGGCAGCGTCGGTCAAATTCTATCGTCTAAATGCGGGTATAATGCTTTCTGGGCAGCGTCAGTCAAGAGTTCTATCAGTCTAGTGGGTATAATAATGCTTTCTGGGCAGCGTCAAAGTACTATCAGTCTAGTTATAATGCTTTCTGGGCAGCGTCAGTCAAGAGTACTATCAGTCTAGTACGGGTATAATGCTTTCTGGCGGCGTCATCAAGTTCTATCAGTCTTACGGGTATAATGCTTTCTGGGCAGTGTCAGTCAAGAGTTCTATCAGTCTATTATGGGTATAATGCTTTCTGGGCGTCGGTCAAGAGTACTATCAGTCTGGTACGGGTATAATGCTTTCTGGGCAGCGTCGGTCAAGAGTACTATCAGTCTAGTACGGGTATAATGCTTTCTGGGCAGCGTCAGTCAAGAGTACTATCGGTCTAGTATGGGTATAATGCTTTCTGGGCAGCGTCAGTCAAGAGTTCTATCAGTCTAGTACGGGTATAATGCTTTCTGGGCAGCGTCAGTCAAGAGTTCTATCAGTCTAGTACGGGTATAATGCTTTCTGGGCAGTGTCAGTCAAGAGTTCTATCAGTCTATTATGGGTATAATGCTTTCTGGGCAGCGTCAGTCTAATACAATGCTTAACCTGTAGATTGTCAATAATTCGGATTAAGGCATCAATAAATGAATCTGAAAATGAACTGTTATGAAAGATTTACATTGATATAGTGTAGTAAAAAAATAGCTGTGAAGTCCATTGAATATTTATTTACAATGGCTGAATTTAATGTAATTTTAAGAAAGAGGAAAGAAGCAGCGGAATTTGATCACGTGGGTTAGGTGATGGTTATGATAATACATTTTTGAAAAGAAAACAGGATGATCATAGCAAAATGCATGTCTTTGAAATTAACATAGATAAGGATGTTACCAGTGAATAATGAAAATGGTGTTACTAGATATGAAATTGATTATATTTATGTAAAGAAATTTTTAAGAACTAGGGAATCCAAAGTAAGATTTATCCACAGCCAGACCATATTGCAGGATAAAAGAGTATTCAGGATAAAAGTGATAGCCTTACAAATTATATGTTTGGGAAAATGAACAAGAGAAGAGATGAAATAAGACTTACAATAACCTTCACAAAGAAATGTAGATTGGCATTCTTGTATATATTGTTTACATTATATTGTCTACATGTGCATGAATGTTTATGTAATTCTGTGATGCAACTTGATTTGCATATTGTCCAATGTTTTAGTTTAAGATAATGTACAATAGTTGTTGCTGTTTACTTAGAAAGTTAAGGTAAATGAAAAAACAAAAACACTACCAGGCATATATCACAGTGTACTGTCTTATGCACTGTCAAGGATGTTTGTGTCAAACTTACCAGCAATTAGCTAAGACCTTTTAGCATAACCGACTGCATTTACTTCTAAATAAGTTATAATTGTAACACAGTTTTCGTTATACTTTGGGCTCCCATGAGTCCTTCCTATAAGCTGGTATGTAAGGCAAAATGAGAAAATCAGAAACAAAATAATTGTGAAAATTTATGAGTTGAGAAATGTGGGATGGGTGATTGTAGCTCACCATGAAGTGTACAGTATACATAAATTAAAGTAAAAAAAATTAAAGTAAAATAATGCCCTTTAAAGCAATAATTTGATGATAACTATGATTTATATTAAAAATTGTTTAGCATCTTCGAATATGTACATTAATAAAGAGTACACTATACATAAACAATAAAGATAATTTATATTTTTCCTAAAATAAATAAAATCTACTTTTAAGTATTGTAGTCACCCTCCAAAATTTTTCATTAATAGCGAATTCGTTTTCTATGATTAGTTAATTTTAACTCTAACTCTTGTAGGTGGCGTATTAAGCTCTAGTCACACCTTCATACTAAAATTACTCCTCAAGGCTTACAATTTTGTTGATTTACCTATCTTCCTTAAGTTCCTTGTTGTGCTGCTTCAGTTCAGTTGTCATTAGTACGAAGTGGAATGCTTGTCTCTGTTAAACACTGTTGTCACGTGCTGGGCATGTACTATCGTGGACAAAAGTTCTCCCCTTCCCAAACTGAAGCAGTATTGACTCCAAATGAGATAAAACAGCACACCCGCACCAGATGACAGTCAGGGTAAGGCAGTTCGGAGATTCATTCCCGTGACTCAGTTTCACCACGGGGAGCGAACTTTTGTCCACGACAGTACAGTACTGGCTCAAGATTGTATATGTACAGTCACCCAAAAAAGTCCTGTCGCGAACCGCGATTCAGACTCGTGAACCCGAAGCAGTAGACACTGATACATTATTCTGTCCATAAATGCTTCGGATTCAAGAGTCTGAATCTCGGGGTTCATGGTTCGCGACAGGATCTTTTTTGGGTGACTGTACCTAACTCAGTAATGGCCAAATCTGGTCTTGAATGAGCTCACACTCGGTGCCAACATTCTCTGGCAGAGTGTTCTGAGAGTTCACAACTCTTACTCCAAAAAAGTTTGCCTTGACAATTTTCTGAACTTGTGGCTTCTTCAACCTTAAGCTGTAACCTCTAGTGGGTCATGCATGCGCCAGTTCCGGGTATGAACACTCGACTGAGTAAAATGTCCTCTC